GATCAACAAGATAAACGTCATTTTTTCTAGAAAACGCATTAAATAATATTGCAATCATGTAATAATTACTATTTATTTTCCTTTGCGTAATTACGTAATGTTAATATCTATTTAATTATTATTATGCACTTGAATATTAACTACTATGCATGCATGGCTTTATGACGTGTTATAAAATATGAGAGATGATAAATGGCAATAAATTGAAATAAAGGATAAATTATGAGTTTGAACTTGAGATCCAGAGAAGCTGAGTTCAAGTTTGTTCAAGCTGGAAAAAAATTGTTTTGAGCTGGTTTTGTGATCGAAAGCAGGACTTTAAATGAATAAATTGCTGCAGTTTAAATGCATCAATTAATAAGACTTAGGCACTTAATATCTTAAATGTAGAGTTTGTTGTGAATTTAATGGTAAACATATTTATTATACAAGCCTGCATGTTTTTTTGAAAATAAAATAGATTTTAGAAATTTTGTCACGTGCGCTAGCCGAGATACTAAAGTCTCAAGTCTAATAAGTGCAACAAAATATTAAAATATTTTTGCAAAAGTCAATTTTTATATTCTCATTTAGCGCCATGAGGATTTTTTTTAATGATCTGAACAAGTAAAATTTTATGGCTTTTTTGCTGTTTATGACTTTTCTTATCAATCACACATTGTAAATTAATCTAAAGGAGAATTTATAGATAAGCTTATTAAAATTGAGTTGTTGTACCGTAGAAAATTCTTATGATTTTTAAAATCAAATTAAAGGTGAGGAAGATACATCAACTGCCATGAATTCAGAAAAATTAAAGTTTTGAGGTCGTTCTCCTTTACAAGTTCCTTCTTATTCAACTTTTTTATAGAATATAACCTTTTTATAGAAAATCCAACATTTTATTTGCTTAAAGTCTAGCTTACCTACACGGATATTTACTGAATATTTGTTGACTTTCGAGCAATTCATAACTGTCAGAATGTCAATATTTGCATGACTCACGTCATTATCAATAACTACTGTAGATTTACAAGCAAATTTAAATCCGAGATTTGTTTTAAATTTTTTTATAGCTCCAAAGCTATTAAATCCTATCAAATATTAATTTTAATTGCCATGAATAATTGAGTTTAAGCTAAAAATAAGGCACGTAGTCTTACAATAAAAATAATCTAGAATCTATAAAAATTGTCAATGTAAAATTCATCCTATTTACCCTAATTAAAATATTACAAACCGTAATATTAAAATATTTATTCTAAGCAATTTCACGCTTGATCTAAATTTCCATATTTGCATATAAGAATGTATGTCTCTGAGCCTGAACTGTTAACTCATTCCTTAATCCATTTTTCAACTCGCTAGCAGCACTTTTTTCACCTATAATTAAACTGCGTTTTACTGTTAATCCCGCTTCAATGTTTCAATACTAATGAGATTAAGCTCAACTAATACGGAAGAAGTTATGAGACAGGTTCTTATTTTTTTTCTTGTAGATTGTTTAGATTATCAAAGAATGTCATATTTAATGCGATGAATTGAGACAGGATTTTCACATTTTTCTGAGTCTAAGGTTCAATTGTTTTGCATTTATTCATTGTATTTTGTAGTGATTGATTCATACTGAATTAAATTATAATAAATTGTGATGTCAGACAAAGAGGCGATGAGATCATTGTGTGTAGAATTTTAATTTTGAAATTTTCTTAACAATATTTATGTTTTCTCCTTCAAAGGTCGTCCATCAAACCTTCAAATAGACATCTAACAAATAATTTTAACTATCTATATAAGAACATCACTTCTAATTAGCACAAATGGATGAAATTTTGACGAATTAGTTTAAAACTATTAATATATCATTTCATGTTTAAAAATTAATTAAAACAGCAACAGATCCTACTATGTGGTAAAGGAATGCTTGCTGTTTTGAAAAGCTTAATTGCTGTCTCTGTTTCCATTTCATGATTTTCTCTTCTTAAGAACAAATACTTTTCTGCTACTTATTTTAATGATCGCTTCCTACCCATCAATCACCGACTGATTTTCTCTGATGTCTTGCCTATTACATTCCAAAATTAAATTCTAAATTAGCAACATGGAGAGAAAATAGCAAGGAGACGAAAAAGAATTTAGATAGATGTTCTGAGAGCGCATTTTTAATTTATTACCGAATTTTTAAAATTTCGAATTTTCTGTCAATTTTTTTTTACAAAATGGCTACCATATTTAAAAGTTTTTTGTCAATTTTAGCTGAAATAACCAGAGTTTCATCAAGAAAAGTATCGAATACGAAACAAAAAAATGGCACAAGTACATCTAGATTACATTAGACTTGTTAAAACCACGAAAATTAAATAAATCAACAAGTAAGCAAAATGTCGACTCAGATTCCAAACCGACTACATTTCCTCATCACTATTTGCAAAATATTCAGCACACAAAACAATATTTTTCTAATTAAAATCGATCTCTCGTCTGGTTTTCATTGTATGCTGGCTGCTGCCACATTCCTCATCATCATCAATAATGATTTTATGAGAAGGAAAAAAAAAATATTTGTAATCACTAAAGATGAATAAGTATATAAAATAAAATATAATTCGAAGGAAACAGCACAAAAAATGCTTTAAGTAGATAAAAATTACGAAGAACGACGATCATTCAACTTTAACGCATACGTCTGATAATTTTTTTCAAAAAAGGCATAACTTTATGTGTATATAAAACTTTATTTATTATTATTAAAAGGCATTTCAAGTGATAAATCACAAAACAAATGGAGCATAAAGGGCAACAGCAAGTAAAGCAAAAATAGGCAGAGAGGAATATTTTCTCATTGCATCATTGAACATTTCACGTGAATTTAATTCATTTCTTCATTATTCTCAGAGATATTTTTAACTGGGTTGCGTGGAGATCTTAAGTAGCTTTGTGACCCGAGCAATAGAGGATTACTCTTAGTTTTAATGCTCCAAAATTCAGAAACTCGTTAAGAACCTTTAATTTTCACTTAACTGTGACAATTCGTGTCAATACTCTTTTCCCAAAAGCCCACGTGTGATATCATCACTCAACCGCAACTCCCATGCTACTCCAATTTCACCCCGGGATCTATTTTTATTCTCATTCACTATTGATGGAATTTCAAATTACATTAATATAGGCTATCATAAATTCAAATGTCTACAATCGTGAATGACGCATGAAAGTGTATCATATGAAGTGCGCAAAATAACAACAAGTATTGAGAGACAAAGCAGAACTGGTCTGAGATTGTGCTAAACAGTAAGCAGCTACACATTTAAAAATTGTTTATGCCAACAGTTTTGTAAGTTTAATGACAATGCGATGTAGAATGAATTAAGCTAGAAAATTCTCGTTGTTTGTTTCCTTTTTGGAGTGGAAATTTTTTTTGGATAGAAATTTTTTTTAAAATTCAAAAGTTCAGAACAAAAACATTCCAAATCCTTGAACAAATTCACGAATGTTCTAAATATCTCCAGGAAATTCCATTATTCCTTATGCAATTTCCAACACAATTGACCTAAAGTCACGAATCAGCAGTTTAAATAAACATAAAGAATCACAAGCAAAACAAATGGAAAATAAATAAGCAATCACAACAGTCAATAATTCATTAATTCGCAATAGCTTAGCATCAGACAGCTTGACCCCCATCAAACTTAACTAGTAATTTTCCTAGTAAATCTTAAGACAGATTAATCGAAATGTTTTAATTCATAAGAATGCGTTTCTCAATATTTTTCCATTTCTGCTCGTACACAGTTCACAGTCTATCGTATTCGCAAGATGCTGCAATTGCATTTAAAACTCGATTCTTACTTTCTCATTCTTCTCTCTTTCGCTTCTTACTTGTCGCTTTATATCGCTTTTGTTTGTACGATTCTCATGTTTTGTTACCATTTATGTGGTAAAACTATAACTCCAAAAACAGAAACATAACATGACCATTCTAAGAGGCATTAAACAAGAACTTCTTTCTCTTTCTCTATCTCACAATATTTTTATTTCTTTCTTCTTGCTTTTATGCGCGTACACATTAGCTTTTGTGCATTTTGAAGGGAGAACGATTGTATGGATTGATGGATGTTTTGGTAGATTTAAATAAATGATTTTACATACCCCGATTGAAAGCAGTCTTTAGTCAATAAAATGTCCATTTGATAGATAATCTTGCTCATGTTCACGTTGACTTAAATTTTTATTAAGGCTTGATGGAAAAATCAGGTTTTTGGACATTGACAAAAATAATTTTAATTTTTATTCACTTTATTTTAATAATTATCGCACCTACTATGGTTTTAGAAAATCAAAGTTTAGCATGTTCATTTCAATTCCTTATTTTGGATTTCTAATCAGAGAGCAGCCTGACACTAGGATTAGTCACGAATATTTGGGACCATCTTTCAACTTCCATCTACCAATAATCTGTTCGAAGTCATCTTATTGATAACATCAGAAGTGATGAATCTCCTACAACTGTTACTCGTCCCCAATTTTCAACTAATCACATGCAAGTCCTAAGTCTGCTAAGAAGCATCAAAAGTCAACACAGCTTGTCTAAACATTAACATTCACAGGTTGTAACAAAAAAGTCAGAAACAAAATCTAAATAAACAGAATAAAAAGCAAACACAAACCAAATCTCCCATCCGGATGAGCCATCGCATAAGATATGCAATATTTTCATTCGAAAAAGGGAAGACGTTCGATCCATAAAGGAAGAGAATATAAGAATAAGAAAAAGAATGTGTGAGAATGTGCAATCAAAAAGAGAAGTAGAGAAGGCAGAAGACATCAAAAAAAAATAGAAAGAACAAGTTGAGTCATCATGACAACGATCTTAAAGGGAAATTGCAAAACACGAAGTTGAAGGTGCTGAATATAATATGCATCATAATAAAAGAATGTTTGGTAACTTTTCTCAAGAACAAAAGGCACAAAATGTGGATTTGATTGATTGTTTAACAAAAAATAAAGCCTGTGCAACTCACCAAAGAAGTCTTCCCATTTCTCATCGTCTGATGTATCCATGTTTTCTTGTTATTTGATTGTATATATCTGTTGAATCTCTTTTATATTTTCGATTTATTATTATGTTTCTTATCGTTAACTAAGGGCTTACGTTTCACTTCTTTTTATTCAATAACAATCAACAGAATGTACACACAGTCTTTACAATTCACCAAAAGAAAGAGAGGAGAAAAGATCAAACGTGATCGATTGACTTGAGTTAATTTACATGTATGTTTATTGCTCTTTCACATAAATTTGAATAAAATATATATTCGTAAAAATTATTGAGTGACTAAATCGAATGATGAGGCTAAGGGCCTTTTAAACATCAATAATACAATATATGAATTAATATTAAGCACTATATATATGTAACAAAATCGAATAGGCGTTAGCACTAAAATTTATTCAATCGTGATGTAGACACATTTACTCAAAATATTTTTATATTCACTTCTTTATATAAAATTCACTCTAAAGATAATTGTTCAATTGAAAATTTTCTTCTTTCACTCATCTCCTCTATATCTAAATTTATAACATGAGTAGATGTACGAAACTAACAATCAAATTGTAATTGATGATTTCATTAATTCTCATTTTCTTATTGTATTTTCACTTTTAGTATGTAATTTTTATTGATGAGCTTAATTTATCAAAATTATTTTTTTGCACATCAAAAATTTTAAGAATTCTCATTTTTAAAATAATTTTCCACATATTAAATTCTATAAAATATTTTTAAATTCAATCAAATATTTTTAAAATTCAATCAAATATTTTTAAAATCAATAAAACTCAATATATTTTTTTTAAATCCAACAAAAATTAAATTTCACAAAATATCTATAAAATTGACTTTAATCATTCACAAAAACAAATACGCGCGCCGTCCTACGATTAGATCGTTTAATTATTTGCGTCTTTATGATCGAACTGACTGAAGGAAACTGATCAGCTCATGTTACATCTCAAACAATTCAGTACATGTGGAATGATCTCTCTCAAATGCAACTTTTATTATGCATTTTACTCTCTTGATGCTTGAGATTCTCTCTCTGGACAATTTTATGACTCAACTTTTGGATACTAGATGGCGCTGGCATAAACCTCACATGCGTTAATTGAATTTAATTTGACAAGGTCGCAAAGTTTCTTTATTTCTTTGATAATTTACCGATTCTAATGACATTCTTCAATTAAAAATTTTTATTTGTAATGAAGGTTCACGACAGTTGAACATTTCATTAATGAAATCTCATAAAAATAACTGCGTGAGTCTATGAAGTGTAGCTGTTGGATGACCATTTATTAATTTTGACAAATAGATCGACTCTAATGTAATGACCTACTTAACTCATCACTTAGCTCGTTTAACTACAATTATCAAAAAACATTAGATTCTCAAACCTAAGTGACAAGTAGGCCTTAAAATCCAATAACAATTCCAACAAGAATCCACAAAAATAGCCATCCAACAAAACTAGAGACGATCATTACCTTTTTGGAATGTTTCTCTTCAGCGCGACATGTAAAGAAAGAAAATTGACAGCTGAAAAGATTAATGATTATTGAGCATTTTACTTGCAATTATTTTACACCTTGAGGTAGCTTGAACAATTTTAGATTATCTGTGATATTGATCAGTACAACCAGTAAAAAAATCTAGTGCTTTAAGTTCAAGCTCAATTTTTATTAAGCGATATTTCAAGAACAGTTTTTCTAATTTGGATTATTGAATGAAAAGGTCTATTGATGCTGGGTTTCTGTCATTTTGTGAAATTTGTTTTAGTTTCCTGGTGATAGTCAATGACTTTTGGCTGTGTGATTTACAAGGAATAATTTTGAGATATTTGACAGAGACATGATCTTGCATTCGACCGCTTTTGTTTTTGGAATATTTTGATATTTAAACTTAATTCTAATCATATGAACAAATAACTTGTCAAAATTAATATAATTATTATAATTCAACTATATAGTAAGTGTTAAAACTAGTTTTATTTATAGGATTTTTATTTTTTCTAATTTCAAACTCTTCAATTTTTTTTGATTTTATTTGAATTTTTGATTTTTAAAATTTTATCAATATAATTTTCAAACTTAAGTTGATAAAAGAACATTATCCTTAATAAGATTAAGTTCGAATGATCGTAGATTATAATTCTTAAATCTATTGTTTTTATATCACTTATTTTTTCACTTATATAAATTCCTAGCTAGTATATCTTTAAGAATTCAATAAATATAAATGTTTTACTATAAATTCTCAGTTATTTTAATCTTCAAATTAAATATTTTTTTAAATATACTCAAAAGAAGTAAAGTACGAATTTGATAAGGATTCTATCTAAATTGAAAATGTATTATATTTTAATTCCATACTTAAAATAAATGAAAACTCCTGAAAGTAAAGAAATAGAAAATAGATTTAAATTGATATTTTGAAGATGCCCATTTATTTTAAGGAACATGCATTTATCTTAGTGAAGTTGATAAATTCAACAGTAAAAAACATGCAAGCATTAAAACTTATCACACATTATTCATGCAATTCTCGCAAACCTGATAAAAATTGACTTATTTGTGCAAGATACAAGATTTTAGAAAATTCCATTTCAATAATTGGAAACTCAGCTTTCATCCTTTTTAATATTTTTAAGAACTTCATCAAACATTTGCTTTTGCTTTTGCATAGTCGCAGTCATTGGTGTAGCTGGTGGCTCAACTCTTCTCTTCAATGGTGTTGGATCAATTGCTTCAATTATCTTTTGGACTTCTTCATTTTTCTGTAAACTTGTTCTTGGTAATGGAACTGGTCGAATAAATGACATTCTTGTTGGTGGGAGGCTTAAAAGTTTTTCAAGTTTTTCCTTAAATTCTACTTTATCGACTGAATCATCTTCGCTGGATTCTGAGTCGGTTTCTTGTTGAACTGGAATTCCTGCTTCTGCTTTTCTTTGTTGAATTTCATCAAATTTTGCAAATAATTCTTTGTTGATCTGTGGCGGTGTCAGTGTTTGTGAATGAAGTTTGACTTTTGGTACTTTAAGTTTATTTGGATCTTTAGTTCCTTCCTTTATGAATTTATCCTCATATGGCGTCACGACTACAAGTTTTGGCTCATTTCTCATTTCAATTTGCCTCAATACTTCTTGAAGATCTGGAGCACTACTTGAATGCTTCATTCCTTCATTTTCAGTCTTAATTTCCTCGTGCAAATCTTTCTTTTTTTTATGTAATGTCTGCGTCTCTTGAGCAGATTTATTAGACATAATCAGATCACTTAAGTGGGTTAAAAATTTCTCATTTTGGAAAACATTGTCATCGTCATCGGCTGGACTTTGAATTTCATTAACTTTTTCAGATGCAATTTCACAAGCTTGTTCGAGAATTTCGTCAAGTTGCAACTGCAGATCATGAGTGTCGATAATCTTTAATTTTGGCAAGATTTTCGGTTCTTCTATTTGTTGGATCTGATTTTCATTTATATCTTCTATACTTGCATCCAAAAATTTTGATAATCGTTTACTGTATTCACTTTCTTCTTCGTCTTCAAGTACTGTGTCTAATATCTGAATAGCTAGTTGACATTCGTAATTATCATGATGTTTATGATGATTTGTGTGTTCTTTGCTGGTTGATGGTGCTTCTGATCTTAGAGTTACGTGAATAATTTTTGGAGCTACTTGTTCGATATTGTGGGAAGTGATATCATTGCTGATTTCAGGTGATTTGAATTCTTCTGAATTTTTCTCGTTCTCATTCCTATTATCTGTTCCTTCATGCTTAACAGTCTTATTAGTATCATTAATATTATTCATGCGAGTATGATGGAACCAAGCATATGGGAAGTACACAAGGAATCCTTGATGTTTGGGTTAGTTTATATTTTATTACTTTTCATGCAATTAAGAATATCCAGAACTTACCTATTAGCATCCAAATACCGAAACGTATCCATGTGAAATAGTCAAGCATTAACATTAAATAAATATTGATGAACACACTAATTGCTGGCAAAAATGGGACAAAGGGGACCTTAAATGAAAAAGATATTAATTTAGTAAAGCATCAAGCATGTAAGTTTGCTTTTCTCACCATAAAAGGTTTGGTAGTAGTGACAAAATTTTGTTTAGGTTGAATTGATATCAGCAAAGCAAAAAGGACCAACAATGCAGATAAAATAATCAACAAAACAAGTGCCCACATTTCTCCATTTATTACTGCTTGCCATCCATATGTAAGAAGTAACGAGACCATAAGTGATGCAAAGCAATAACTCAAAATTAGTATCCCAACAACTGTTGTAGAAATTGTATTCGGATGGGTTGATGAATTCATGCGAATGAGTTGCATGAAGAATCCTTTGACGGTGACATTGTAGCCAGGTCTCAATAAATTCGATGTCTCGATACAATCGCCATTATGAGTTGGAATTTGATCTGATTGTGAAAATCTACGAGGTAGAAAATGTAAAATTAGAACCAGTGCTAATTTATTAAGATAATATTGTGAGCTAATAATAGCTGTGTTAATATTTTTCTTAAATATTTTTTTTGCACCGTAATCTTAGCCAATTTACCTCAAAATAATAATCGATATAGCAACAACAGTATAGGCAAGTAACACTCCGATACTCAGCATATTAACTAGTGCCGCAAGTTCAAACAATCCAGCAAAGCAACTGGTCAGGAAAGCAGCACTTAATGTTCCCATCACAGGTGTCTTAAATCTCTTTGAAATCACTCCAAATTCTTTAAACAGAAGTCCATCTACAGACATAGCGTATAAGATTCTTGGAAGTGGAAACATAGCACCAAACAAACTGGCTATGAGACCAACGATTCCTCCAATAGTTACTATCCATTTTGGAATGAGGAGACCTTTCTCACCAAAAGCATGTGGCAGTGGAGCTTCAGCGTCCTAGAATAAAGATTAATTACAATTTGAAAATGTTTATTTTAAACTTTAATCAGAGTTTTGATCTTTTAAATGTTTACCAAAATTTATAGCACTTACCAACAAGTAATACGGCCACATAAGTGTCAACAACGAGACTCCAAAGTATGCCAGAAAGATAATAATCAGTGAATATAAAATTGCCCTTGGAACAGTTTTTCTTGGATTTTCGACTTCCTCTCCTGTTGTAGCAATGCAATCAAATCCAACAAATCCAAAGAAGCATGTTGCAGCTCCTTTTAGTGTTCCAGAAAATCCAAATGGAAAGAATCCACCTTTACCGACTGCATTTCTATATTCTGCTGGAACATCAGCTGGATCAATCCTCCAATATTCTAAATTGGCATAAATCAGCACAACAATGACAACAAAAAGCACAACAAAAAGATTCAGGACACAAAGGATATTATTCATTCCAGCTGACTTTCTTAATCCAAATGCTAAGGCAAATCCAAGTAAAAGTGGACCAGTAAATGCAAAAAAGTCAAAATATGTTGATAAAAAATTTCCAGTGTACGTAATTGGAGCGATATGTCTGAAGCTGTTTTTCATTGTATCATTAATTAAACTGTCGATATATAGACTCAGTCCTTTTGCTATGGACGCAGATCCAATTATATATTCAAGTAATAAATTCCATCCGATAATAAATGCAATAAATTCTCCGATAGCGACATAAGTAAAGACATAAGCTGAGCCACTTTTCGGGACACGTGATGCAAATTCGGCGTAACACAGACCTTAAAAAAAATAATCGTGCATAATAATTTTAATATGTAAAATGAAGGTCGTTTAAATTTGTTTCAAAAGTTCAAGAATTTACCGGCAAGAAACGATGCAGCGGCAGCAATTAAGAATGATAAGATAACGCTTGGGCCAGCTTCGAGTTTTGCAACGTGTCCAGCGAGAACATAAACGCCGACTCCTAGCGTGGCACTTACACCTAATGCCGTTAAATCGAAAGTACTAAATAAACGATTAAACTTTGATTCTTCATTATCATGGACCGGCATTGGCTTCTTCCTTGTCATTATATTCCAATAATTTATTTTTGACATTTTTGAAAAGTTTTTTAATTTTCACTTTTTATTAAGTTTAATTGTTTCACAGCTCACTGATGACTAAAGATTAGTAATAATTGTTTTTTACACTGCACAAGATCCTCTCTCACTTGCTCTTCTGAGCGAATATTTCTTATCAATTATAAAATAATAATAAACAATTATTGAACAAATACGGCAGTAGGTGTAATTTTTGATAAGATAACATTCAATGATTCATTCAGGGATTTCGAAATGTAAAGTTGTGAAAGAGATGGGAAGTTTTGTTTAATAATTAGAATTGAGTGCTTTGAGGAAGCGTCCAGGTAAGCTAATATTCAATTATAATTAAAAACCATCAGACCTAAACTTAGGAATCAAATTAGATTCTTATTCTTTAAGATTTGCCACGTTTTACAAAACCAACAAATACAAAAACACAGCAAAAAGTTTCAAAGATTGAATTTTTCACGTAAAATTAATAGATACATATCGAACCGTGCTTCAATACATGTGTTTCCTTATCACTCTTTATCATTTTGAAGAGAAAATCAATAATGTTGCATCCGTCAACCGATATATTATTGTTTTTTCATACAACCAATGAGCACGTATTTGTTTTATCATCAAAACCTTGGCAATTAAAGGATAATCGATAGCTTTAAATGCACAAACTATATGAAAGCTGTGTTTTTGTTGCTCGTGGCTTAATCATGAAAGTTGGACCTTTTTATTTGATCCTTTTTACATCATGTAAAACTTTAAACTATAGAGCTTCATTTAATTGAAGCTTCTTTTAAAGTTTCTTAATCACTTAAGCACCCCCGCAAATTTGACTTGACCCTTGATTCATTTTATGATAATTTACGTCATAGCATTTTGAAAATAATTCAACTTGTTCATAAACTTCAAATGAAAACTACGCAGCATTACATTTATTTTGATTAAAACACGCCATATAATCTTAAAATATCAGCGATCAAAATAAGAACTGAAACAATTCGAAAATAATGCTAATCCAATCTACAATTTACAAGTATTTCATGAACGCAATTATAAATTAAAATATGATAATTGATTGATAAGAAACTGTGTCACATTGTCAACCAGAAGAATTTGTATTAAGGAGTAAGCCAAGTTCAGGAAATAATCTCTGTTTTTGGGCTTGTTATTTGCTTTGTTGTGTCATGATCAAATAAGAAGGAGAAGGACGGGTCAGATGTTAGCTATTTTGATAGATTTGACTAGGTGTTTTTTTGCGAATAATATAAAGGAATTTAGTTCAATATTATTGCGATTGGAGAGGTCAGAATTTTTTCTTGATTAAAATATTAAAAAATTTCTTTTAAGTGCGATTCTTGAAGAACATATGCACTCAGGAATTTAATGAATTTCCATGACATAGTCTGATTTTTCAGTGCTAATACATTTTAAGTTTGACCCTAATCCACTTTATTTCTGTGACAATTCCTGTTCTATGTCAAACAATTCTTAATTTTGATGTAAAAACTGCGAGCAAAACTTGTTTCAAGATTCAAAGCTATCAATTCAATCTACAAACCCTTGAACTCTATTGAAGCCTTATATTAGAATAAACCTTAGCCCAACTGAACACCTTTGATTTGATTTTATGAATCTTTTAACAATAATTTCGTTAAATATTGAAACGTGCGTTAATAAACTCAATTATCTCTCAATAAAATAAATCAATACAAATTCTCAATTTTCCCCAAGTGACTCATCGAATCTAAATGAAATAAAAATCGATCGTGAACGCACTAAGAGCATTAAGATGCACAGACAATATATAGATTAGGGCAGTATTATTTATGATTTTGTTTTGTTCCCGCATTTGAAATAATAAAAGCACGTGATGGGGATCAATGAATAAATAAATAAGCGTTGATCTTAAGCACCTTTTTTAAACGTGGACACGGGATGACATTAACTATTGTTAATAGTTTTATTCTCGAATGATGCAATTCTTTATTAATCTAACAAATCCTTGACTGAACTTGCAAGTTGCTTTAATTGATTTCATTACTCAGCTATTGTTTTGATTTGATAGTGACACAATTCACACTTGTCATACAAATCTACTTGTTTTCTTATGCGTCAACACCTCCTTTTTTGCAAAAAATAATGTTCAGTCTTGAAAATTCGATCTTTTCGTTTAAACGACTCCGAGAATACTGATTGATTCTTTATTGTGCACTCAACTGATTAGATTTTGTGTTCAAATGAGCACTAGAGTTCTGAGCTTATTTACTGATAATAAGTTTGTTTTGTATTCTCTCGTTTTTTCGTTCGTTGCTGTTAAATTCTCTCACGGAATTTAATTATCATTTTGTTATCAACTGCGAATCGTGTGAGACAATTAGATGCCATTTGAAGAGTTTAAGTGAAATTTTATAAAATAATGAATTTTTGTCAGGGTATGGAATGTTGAGTGTCGACTTAGAATGAGAAATTTATTTTTTTATGAGCTTTTGAAATTTTAGAGAAATTCCCTTATTATAGGCATGGTTAAATTTGTGAAAGTTTGCAGTTTATTGAACTTGATTCACATTGTAAAGGTACAAATTCCAAAGTAAGACCATCTCATGAATTATAAATAGAGGTAAACACACGTGTTAAACCAAATATTCCTTGGAAAATTAGGGACGACAATTGACGTCTGGGGTTTCTTTAAAAATGTTAATAAGATTTAAGTTACTAACCATTAAGGCAAAAATTTCTTTAAAAATATTCAGAATTCATTTAACAAATCTTTCTTTATTTCAAATTTGGAATTATTGTAGTTTAAGTTACATTTCTTTGAGTCTTATTTTGACACCAGCCTGAATATGGCTTTAATTCAACTATATCTTGATTAATTATTAATTTTGATGAATGAGATTTACATATATCATGAAAATGTGGCATAAAAAGTTTAAAAAAAGTTGCCGAGCGAGAAAAAAAAAGCCTTTTTTTTAAGCTTATGAACTACGTTAATAAATTATTTTTGAACTGGCTTTTTCGGTGCTGGTGGGCAGCTCATGAAGCCATACTTCACCATGATTTTAAATGCAGTTCCTTGAGGTGCATCCTTTGGGATCTTTCCGGCTTCGTCTACGAAACTGCAGAACTGATTTATTGCTTCTTCAATGTTGGGGATTCTCTTTAGAAGAATTCATTTAAGCAGACTTTTAAGATCACTTTTTTACTTACTTCGCTGGTCGTACAGATCAATTGTTATCCATGACCTCCTTTAGTCGTCCCCTAAAACTAGCTTTATGGCTGGTTAACGTCTACCAATTGCCAATTTCAAAAACAAAATTGTCTCTATCAACAGCCTCTCTCCATGAGTTAAAGTTAAAAGCACTTACTTTTAAGATGGTCGGACTAAAATAATGGCTGTAGTATTGTGCAGCATTTCCTAAAATAATGCATGAATTGTCTGAAAAAATAATTTAAAATAAAATAACATTTTATTCGCTTGCAAGCTTGAAGTTTAAAATAAAATTAATTGAATTTCTTCAAACCTAAGGAACAACTTTGTATGTTTAACCTTCTATCGTCTGAAAAAATCCAAATTACAAAATTAAGTACTCAATTAAATTCTTTCATTTATCACATAATTAACAACTTTTTATTCATATTTCAATTCTTTTCGTTTAAATTTTAATGGCACTCTCTCATATAAACATATATAATACACATATATCAATAAAACATTTATTCAGTGCTCCGTTTTGACTTTGTATGCTGATTTCCAAATATCAAACAGGCAGATGGTTGAGTGATATCTGTAGAAGATTGCTAATGGCATAGATACGTGAGTTATGATTACCCAAGCCCACGTTCCGAAAAATTCAAGATGCGTGGGTCGAAATGCAGCATGACCCTTTATTAATGTGTTGATAAACCACATGGAAATATTAGCGACTAGTAGGAATGTTATAATTTGTCGTCCCGGTCTGAAAAAATAAAATATAAATTCATCATCAGGTTCATTAAAATGAAATAATTTAAAATATCACGAGATTATGTCAAAATTTTGTTTATAAATAGAAGATTAGCAAATAATAATTATTGAGTGTGAAAGTATGCGGAAGATCGTCACTTGATTGTGGTCGACCTAAATTAAAATGTTCGGCAAATTTTTTTTGAAAGTCACATTTGATAATTATTAATCAACAGCCTTTCATGGTGACACAGAATCTCGAAGTTTCATTTGACGTAAATTTTTTTTTGATAAGGTACGATCGAAAGGAGGTTTGTCTGTCGTGTGGTGGCAATAAGATTATTTTTTAATGAGAAGAATTAATGAGAGTAAGTGTCATTTTTTGGAACTTGATTGAAAATTGTCTGCGGTGGGGCTCAAAGTTCAATGTTTTAGACATCACTTACTTTGTTCGATTTTGTTGAGCACCCCGACATCGCCTCCAACATGCATTCAGTACGAATAAAGTCTGGAGCGAAACTTCGACTAAGCTTAAGATTTCAGCCACGAGTCCTTCTCCGGAGCCTACAAACAGACAAAAAATTAATTAAATTTCAATTTTTAAAAAACCTTTTGTAAATCTCACCTGGCAAATCGTCTTGAACTGCAAAAACACTTCCCATAATACTGAACATTCCGTAGACATAGACACCAAGACCAGCAAGCACAAGTAGAGTACAGTCTAGTTTAACTGAGTCAGAATGATGGTCTGAAATATTAAATCAATTCAAATTGATTGGGATGTGATTATTTAGTACAGTAAAGCTAATAACAAAGTTCAAAGGGAAAAGCAGGAAGCTAGTAAATTATTAATTCCTGCTTTATCCCATCAAGTTTCTGATTATTAAACCTTAATCTAAATACTTCCACCACTATTCACTCACCATTAGCTGATGGTCTATGATATTTCAAGTCACGCATTTTAAAGAATGCCATAAGAACAGCACTTCCAGTGACTGTATATAATAGAATTTCATAGTATGTAACTTCTTTAATTGCTAAATGAAGATAGTCTTCTTTATCGTGTAAAACAAAATACATAATAAGACTAATGATGGTTAATACGATGACTACAATTCCTGCAAACATTCCTCTCTGTGCCTTACTGCAGTCAATTGAGAAATGATAAGCATTCTTGTGTGGATGTGTTGCATTTCTTAATGAACTTTTTCGTGCCTTGTTAATTTCTGGAATTGACTTGACTTTCTTCCACATTTCAAAAAGAATGACTGCACAAATTAAGGAATATTCAATTGTACATGGGAATAAGAAGGGACTTGAATTTTGAACTAAGGATCCCATAATATTTGTTCTCTGGCACTCTTGGTATTTTTGTGTGACTTGTACTGATCTCCTTACAATATCATGCACAGCTTCTGTTGCGTTATGAGTTGAGTTTGTTATGTTATGATGATCTGAAAGTTCTGCAAAATGTGCATCTGAATGATGACCTTCGTTGTTGTGACTTTCGTGTGATAAATGCCAAATTTCATGCTTTGTTTCTTCTATCAAAGTGTAAAGCCATTCACATAAGTTTGTGGCAACCTGTAGATTATAGAATTTTACAATAAGAATTTCTTGGCATGTCTTAAACTTACCATATGCATCAATCCAAATCTAGATATGACCTTGTGACTTCCCATGTCCAAATCATTTGTGTTTAAGACTAAAATTAAAGATAAGATTTTTTATGTCAATTCTGTCAGTTGGAGACAATTTGTCTATAACTTACATATGAACTGAATCTGAACGATCGCCAGAAGCATACGGAAAGATGGTTGAAGGAGGTTGAATAGCTGTAAAGGTGGTAAAAACATGAATTAAAGTTTTCAAAATATCTAGCTACGGTGAAGCTTTCTGCAACTTAATTAGCTGTTATCAAATGAATTTAATACTCATTTTCTGAGGCTTATAGAAGCTGTACGGAATGTGTTACTAAGCATGATCGATTGATTTTTAAATGATTAAATTTGTTGTAATCGATCGAACCCAAGAAATGGCTTCTTCGTAACTTAATTCAGTCAAAAAAAATTTGTAGCCATAAAGACACTGTTTTAGAACTCAAGCAAGGAACAAATGGAAGTAACTTACATTATTACAAACTGCATTTTCACTGTTATTCATTTCGAAATATTGCCCCAATTCCAGCCCTGAATAAACCATAGTTCCAATACCAAAAGCAATAGCTCCAACTCTTAAGTAAAAGCTTCCAAAATGCGGCGCTCGTTTCTTAGTCGCATGATAGTCAGCATCTGATTTCGCATCTGTGCAGGGTAAAAAAAAATGTTTTTAGTAATTTTTGGATAGATTTCTAGAGCTGGATTCTAGGATTGCTCTACTCATAGTTCTAAGCCCCAAAAAACTAGCCTCTCTTCACAAAAACTGTGAACCGCGTGACTTTTTCAAATACTTACGATAGTCTTTAATGACTCCCAGCATAGCTTTATTCTTGAGTTGTGCAGCATAGATGAATACAACAAATGAAATACTGACAAAATACAAGTAAACATAAAATCCCTGATAGACTCCAGCAGGTATTCGTTGTGATAAAAGTTCAGTTATAGGTAAAGCGATTCCGATAATAACAACAATTTTTGCATATAATGCTGATAAAGCTGTCGATAAAGCATCACTGAAAGTATTTAATGTTGCACGAGTTGGGGTTGTGAAATAGAAAAATAGAAAAAAAAAATCAATGACAATAATATGTAATGTAATTAATATCATATCTTATCACTATACTCACTTTCCAATTCGTCTGTTTTTACGTCGCTGCTCAATAGCTTCTGGTTTATTTGCTGGATCATTTGGATCTTCATGTTTTGATCGAAATAACATTAGTGATGGTCGCCTTAGTGCTGCCATTATTGTAGATGATCTTCGAGATGATAAAAATTCTTGCAAAATTTGAACAGATCCACGCCGTGAACTATTATGTTGATGCTTTTCCTCACCACCGTGATGTTCAGCAAAGTCTGGGGTGAGGTAATGTCGATTATGTCTATTACCCCCCGTTATATTTTCTGTCGATGACTGTGGTGTTGATAAACGAGCGTCATCAAGCGAATGCAATAATTTGAGATTTTCTTTTTTATCTGTTGGCGAGTCTGGATTTTCACCTTCTTCAACAATCGACAATTGTGTCTGATACACTTGTGTTGGCTTGTGATTTGTTAGCGCATCAACGTCACTGCGAAAAGAAACACGATGAGTACGACTTGACTTTGGATAATTCATGTGATTTGATTTTAATTTATTTATAAATGTGTAAAAAAAATATATGCTTAAAAAATGTACTCAGATGTTAATTGGCTATCACAAAAAAACGAAATGTAGACTTTTTTATTCGTAAACGACTCTTTTTATAGAGCAGCAAATATTTTTGTTGTGTGATATGATAAAAAACATTAAATATATAAAAATGGTTCTACGATTCGTTTACGATTTGTATGGCTGATTTTCTTATAGATATGGTGGAGTTGATTGTATTTTTTGAATGGCTGACTAGATTTTATCTGCTCAAGGAATCAGTTTTTCGGAGGATTCCTCTCTCTCAAATTTTAGACTCCTTTTGAGTAAATGATTAAATTGGTCGCTCTTGTGGGTACCTAAGGTATTGTACTCGAGTCTATAATAGGATGTTCTCGAGAAAGGATACCCAAGGTAGCCCTCAAAACTGGCACCAATTGCATTGCTCAATTAAAAATGTTTTACTACAGCTTCACAATTACCGACGGTATGAACAGATCAAGTGTCAATTTTACACGCTTTTTTGATGTTGAGTTCGATTCCCATCATAGTTCAAACTTGCACACAATGCTGACGAAATCAACCACTATACACAACTTCAATAAAGATCAAATCTAGTTACTAGACTAGAAAAATAAGTCATAAGATACTAGATACTTTAAAGTAAGAAGAAGAGATTTGATTGAAAGTTGTTTTTCATCAATTTTGTTATCCGATTATTTTAGAGGTACAGATTACTTTTTCCTGTCATTTGCAAAAAAATGCGCCTTAACTGATCAACACCCGACAACATTTTCAAATTTATTTCGTCACCTATTCCGATATGATAACAACAAATTATCAGCCTAACTGCTTTTTAATTGCTCACAAATCACTCTGCGCACTGATTTATTTTCATTCTTTTTCTTCCGATTGATTGTTTACTCATTTTGTTGTACCGCAGCCACTGTCAATAAATATCACAGTTAAGGATGATGACTGTTATCTTCTCATATGAGTCTCGTTTTTTATTCGTGACGTTTTAGTCACGTATTGTTGCCAAGACTTTGAGACTTGAGATAAATGTGCTATTTTCGGACATTAACAACTTACAGTGCCGATTGTTGAAGATGGTGATTTTCAAGAATTTTTACAAGAACTTCTGTCAACGCCTGACACATGCTAACTGTCAGTCAAACTTCACCGATTAATGCGATAAAACTGGTACTTTCATGAGTGAAAGAGAAATAATTGAAAATATACATACCGATGTTATTTTTATTGTCAATGTCGTGCCAAATAAAATTTTCTAGCTACTAGCTACAAGATAATTGGTTGTAGATATTTAAACATGGCAGGTAACAAGGTAGTTTGAAATATTGAGATTAGATTTAAAAGGGAGGTAGATTTTATTTTAAATAAGCTGGTTTTATGCGGCGGGAAATCGGTTTTTATAGGGATTGTAGAAGCACAAGCTGGTAGCTTTGATTTCTCTATAAAGGAACGTTGTCGTAGGAACAACTCCCAACTTCCCAGATATTTAATATATTTTTTAATTAAGTAGCTTGACGACAGTAGCCAAACTATCTATTGAGTTCAATTTTACAGCCCAAAACAGACCTATTTCTCCTCATTTTCCTGTTTCACATTTTACTGTATAACTTTTGTAACTTTATCCAAAAAACTCTTTTTTTTTCTCACAGACTGGATTCACATATTTACAAAACATTTAAATAAAAGTTCCTTATCTTATCGCAACACATAAATGAATAAATTAGTGTGTATGCACACGATTTTATTGCCATTGTGTTATGTTTATTTATGGTAGCTTCGCTGTGCTTTCATCTCATTTTAATTTAATTAATTGTGAAACGTAAATTTTACTTATTTTTGTGTGTAGGTGTACACACAGCACTGTGCGCTCATTAATTCGTGTAGTGATTTACTGGGAAATATCAACATTGTAGACATGCTTTGTAATGTGAGAATTTTTTTTGTGTGTTATGAAAAATTATGAATCAGTGTTTTTGTCTGCTTCTTTTGGGTGAATGGCATAGCGAATTGATAAATATGTAGTCTAAAGTTCAAGAACGTAGGCGTGTTTATCAAATTTATTACGGTAGGTTGGTCTTGGGGGATATCTTGAGGAAGAATGAAGACTTGTAATGCTATGTTATATTTTTGGGGACAATTTAGGGAAGTTAAGCATGACTATAAGGTACCAAATAGCTCGATTTGCCTTTAGAACGTAAAAACCTATCACACCCACTCTTCATCCCATAAAATTCAACGTGAAAGTTCCACTACCGCATTGTTATCATCTCACAAACCACTAATTATCCAATTAACACAGCAATAATTGCGGCAATTAATTGATATTGCTTATTGTTGCTGATATAAGCAAAAATTCATTGTCATTTTTATGATTTCATTATTTTAATCTTCAAGCGATACTCCCGGACAAATCTGGTTCTTATCAAACAATTGATTAAAATTTGTTCCTCATTTTCATTAACAAATGTGGATCAAAAATTTATTTTACAATTCTCAATTTGTTCCTGATAAGATAATTTAAAAATAATTCCAACTTAATGCCTTTCGACAATCAATTTAAAGGTAAAGTTAAGGATCATAAAAGTTGTCTTTAATTTATTTTTAAACCTTTGATGATTGCCTGCAAAAGACTATTTTAAGCTCGTGGCTTGATAATGCATTTGAAGTACGTCAAAGAAAATTTCATTGTGGATGAGATTTGATAAATATTTTTGGCAGAGTCAACACTTTTTCATGACGATTCAGGTTGATTAGTAAAAATTATGATTAGATTAAATTTCTAATATTAATCTAAAGCACATGGATGTTGATAAACTTTTTCTATATTTATTGTAAACAATCTTTAATTTTTGGTCAAGGAAATGGGGTTGAAAGGAAAATTGGCAGTTTTTTTAATGATTTTTTTCTCGTTATCTAAATTGTTGCAATAAATTGACAATTAAATTCACATTAAAAAGTGATTATGGGATTCTCCGTGTTATCATTTATTGCCACTTGTGATCGAGTGATGAACCTCTTTTGGAGTATCTTGTGTCTTTTATATAAGCTTTGCAGCCGTTCTCAATTCACGACAATCTAGAAATATGGTTGTTTGGTCTTATACCTTAGGCTATTAGTCTTGTAATTGAATTTTATTCCAAATTTATTTTTTTAAATTGAGACTTGAACTACCTAAGCCTCTTAACAACAGACTCTAGCAGCCGGCATCGTTATTGTTTTAGGATTGACATTTACATTTTATGATAAATATTGTAAATCATTTTCTTTAATTAATATTGATATTTGTACCCTTTTATTATCCTTCCCACACAAAATTAATTTCTCTGTAGAGAGCTTTTTGTAATTAAACTAATTTGTTGCTCAGATAGTTAACATACGGACGGAAAATTAACAATTGTCTTGTTAATGAAATTAGCATATTATGGATTTCACAAATTATGAGGTTTTGACTCAACTAGTTTCCAAAAAAGCTTTGCTAAGACACTAACAAGAAGTGAATTAAATATAAAAAAAAATCATGAGCTATTTTAACTTTTTAAAGGTTTTTAAGATTCGTAAAAGTAAAAACAAAAATTATTAAAATTTAACTTTCAAAATTCAAAAAATTATATTTTTAAATTTAAAAAATTAAGTTTTTCAAAACATTCTACAAACTTAACAATTTTTAAAAAAAGATTTTTTTTTGACTATTTAAAATCATTATTATTTAAACTCTCATTTTCTCGATAACGCCAATAAACAAATATTTTTCCACCTCAAACATTTCTTTTTCTCACAAGCACATAAAACTGAAAACTTTTAATTCATGCCAAAAAAATGCTCACTCGATAACAATTTTCGGAGCTTGATTCCATATATTATTTTTAACAGGCGACATTATTCCAATTTATTAACAAGTCCTTCCTTTCCAATTAGCAAATAATATATTTATTTCTTTTTCACCACCCAATTTATTCGTTCTTCTGCCAACACTGGCTAAGAATGTACTGAATAAAGTTATCACGAGAGTTCGATCACTTATATTGAGTTTTTTTTGTGAGCATATAATATTTACACTCATACGATCTCAAGTGTTATTTTTATTTATTTTTTTTTTGGCAATTTGATAACACAATTATATCGTAAAATAGAAACAATAAGAAATATTGGAGATAATTGAGTGCTATCGATCAAAAAATTCGATCGTTTTAATTCTTTTTTTCTTTCTAAAATTAAACTTTCGTTCGGTGTTTTCAATATTTTTTAAAGGAATAAAATAAATATTTGAATTTTCAAATTTTAATTTGCTTGAAAATGGTTTTAGCATGTGAATTATATGAAATTTCTTAATTTTCTATTTTTTCTTTAAACTTATTACACTTTCTTCAAAATGTCAAATTTCATATTTATTCTGAAAGTTTGATATTAATCTTATAACTCGAGTCTCAAATATTTTTTAAGGATTAATTTGAAAATAATGTAAAATTTGTTAAATAAACTTAGCGAACAATCTTAAAGTTGTTGGTAAAGATAATTTCAAAATAAATTTTAACTAAGAAACCAAATGCAGTTTCCATTAAGAAACCTTTGGAGCTAGCCCAATCAAAATCATACTTTTTTCTAAAAAATTGCCAGCTTTTGCTCTTTGAATCTTTAATATGTCAATTGATCAAATTTTTTGAATTCCTATGCACTTGCATTTTTAATCTTCATTAGTTAACAAACTGCTAGACTACTTGCAATCTTTAAATGCATCTTAATAGATTCTAAATTAGATTCATAAAAATTTCAAAATAGATTTGAAATTTACCTATTTTTAATCATATTGCTTGTATCAATTTTGAGGTCTTTATTCTTCTGATTTTCTAAATATCTTGAATTAATTATTCTGTCAAGTTCCTTTTGTGAGATTTTTGAGTAAATTTGTTTCTCCCTCATTATTTTATGTCACTTTACTTGCAATATCAAAAATTTTAAAAACTTAATTCCGATTTCTTTAAATAATTAAAATCATTCTCGATATTCAAATATTTCCAAAGATGTAAAACAGGTGCTTTTATTTAAATAATAGCCTTGCGAATGTTAAAGAACTAAAAGTGTATTGAGAATCCACATTACCTTTTATACGAATTCGAAGCGACTGAAAAGCGATTTGGAATCAATAAAGCACTGCGATAAAAAAATTATACACATTATCAACAATGTATTAGTTCGCTTCTTTATCATTAAAAATTTTAACAGCGAGATAAGAGAAGGAGTGAGAGAAGAAAAGGAACAAAAATAATCACTTTAATTGCAGTTCCTCTCAAATAATTACAAATCTTTTTTTTGCTTCCATTACGTCGACAAATTAAAGTCCACAATGGTGAGCAATTTGTGTGTAGTATGTTTTATATTTAGATACAATGCCGAGCTATACAGGATTATCTTATTTCTAGACATTAGTACTTATACTTTTAAGTCTTAATCTTATCTTAGTTTTCGGAAAATCTTCTAAGAAATTATTAAGTAGAGTCAAACAACTGTGATTCTCAAACTTTACAATGAGGTAAACTACAAATAATGAATTAGTGATCTGATCTTCTAAGTTAAACCAAGCATGCAAATAAAAGAGTGAATTCGAGAGTGAACGTAATTTTGAGCAAGTTATATTTGGTTAAACTCACGGTATTGATTCAAGATGCATGATCCGATACTCTGAGCCATTAAAAGTTGCTTAGAAGCTTAAAATTGCCATTCTTTATCTGTTCAATCTTTGGCGTTTCTATTCATTCAGCTTAACATTGAAACCTCGAAAAATTCCTAATCCTGTGCAGCTCGGCAATTTCATTTGCCTTCCTCAATACAAACTTACAACTTCTCAAATACACACAAGATTCCTTCAGTTCTAATAATATTGGGTCGAACGTTTTAAAATTAGCAAAAGTACTGCAATTATAATTAACACATTGTTAGGAAAATTGAGACTGGATATCTTAATGAATTTATTGAAAATCAATCTCCAACATGTTAATTTGTAAAGAAATTACGTTTTTTGTCTCTTTTTGGTGAGAAACTTGTGGATGGAATTGACTTTTCTTGTTATTTGTAATGTGCGAAAGTTCGCATGAGATCATTTGTTTGATAAAGATGCAATCTAGAATGTTTTTTCTTGGCTTAGCATTTCTATTTCATGTAAACTTTTACTTTCAATTTTATTTTAAATTCTAAATCTATTTATGAGAACTGTGCAGTGTTAAACTAGAAGCTTTTAAAACTTTCACTTTGTTTCTGATTTCTATTTTTAAATTCACGAATTTCGGACAATATGGAGTTCATATTTTATCATTATTGGTCGTGTTTGATTAGTTTTGAACCCAGAATCAAATGTTGATTTACTTATACTACCTCAGACAACTTGCAATCCTTATCATTCTTAAAAAAAAAAAAATTCATAACTTTAAAACATATTTTCGAATTAAAATCAAAATTTTCCATCAAATCTTATTTATTTTCCCTAAGAAAGATGTAAATTATTAAAACAAATAATAGGCTTACGTAATTCCAATTCAAAAAAGAAGTCTAATCAGCCATTCACAAAATTTTTCCACTTATATAAGTCACAGAAGTTCTATATTTAATTAAATATATTTAAATTCTTTTGTGACCAATTTTAAACATCTAATTAACACCACAATCGTAATAAAAAATTTTATTTTTGGGATCACACGCTTCTATCGTACATGAGAATTAATTCCAATTTAAATCAGATTTTATTAACATAAAGTCACGAATAAATCTTTACACATTGTTACGATTAACTCACCTGAACGATACTGATGATGATTTTTTGCCAAAGTGTCTGTGATTGCCGCTGCTCATGTTTGTTGCCTTATAGAACACTGAACTGCAAACAAAAATACGAATTCACCTGTAAATGGGATTGGAGAGATGATTAGCAATAAAGGAGAAATATTCACACATAGATTATTTGGGGACAGTCATCAATGACGTCTCATATTATGGTGCGGCAATGGTTTAGAGCATAACATGTTATGCTTTATATATGAGGCAGGTTAAATGGAAGAAACATCACATCATAAGCGAATGACTCCCTAGCTCAGTCATTGATGATCACTCGAGTTATTTACTGTAAATAATTCGAATATTTCACTTTACTCTAGCATGAGAAGTTAGTAAATGACGAGTAAGTGTCAATTGATTTTATTTTTTCTATAAAACCAGATTATGTATGTGATGATCAATGTAGATTCTACTAAGTATTGATGCTTATACAGTTAAAGCTTTACAAGCTTTTCCATGTGACATTTTTAAGATTCCTCAGAATAATTCTGAAAAACATCCATACCCTGTTTTTTCGTTATAAGCTACTACTCGTTACTAAGCTACTAGCTTAGTAAAGTTTTTTTGAACTTGAAAATTTTTCGGAATCTTTACTAAGCTCCTACCAAAAATAAAGCTTAATTAATCTTTTTCAATTTTCTAAGTATCAGTTTCAATGCCTTATGACATTGCCAATAAAATAAAATCGAGAAGATAGCAAAATCTCTTTAATTAAGTTAAGAAATTCAAAATTTTCGTTGAAGTTCAATTTCTTTACTAAGCTACTACTCGTTACTAAGCTACTAGTGAGCCAAAAAAATCACTTTTTTATTCTTCTAAGCTACTAGCATATAACGAAAAAACAGGGTACGTCAAGTGAGCTATTTTTGGAGTGTAACATAGAAATTTTTGTTAATTTCACAGATCAATCATTTTTGACGTGTCTAGGCTTGTTTAAAGCTACAAAAGATTTTTTTGGTTTCTGGCAACAAAATTATTTCCTATGAGTTATTGAGTCTTAAATGGAACGTGACGTCCGCACGTGAAGATTCTAGAAAGCTTTTTATTGAGTCAATAACCGTTAATGTTGACTGAATTAATCAAGAATATGAATCATTTTGGAAATATTAAGGATCAAAGTTTAAGTAAAGAGAATTCAAACAGAGGAAGAAGGTGAGCTTTTAGGATCAAATTCCGATTTATTTAATATGTTTTCGACTCTGTGTAGTTTTAATCACTCTCGCTTCTATGTTCGCTTATGAATTATTCCCTAACTCGATTGTAGAAGTATTAAGGGACAAAAAATCATTTAATTATTCCTCTTAATTATTAATGCTAAGTTATAAGCATGCATCTACACGAGAGGAGTATTAATTAGTATAATATGGATTATATTTCAACTAATCAATAGGATTAATATTAATTGACATGACTCATATGAGAATTTATAGATAAATACTCATACATATCTCATTATGACGAGTCAATAAGTCAAGATTATTGCATTTTTGCGAATAAAATTCAACAAACTTTTAAGTTTGATGTGGTTTTGATATACTTAATATAAACATGACCACATGTCAGATAGATAAATTCCAATAGTGTTCACATGTGTGTATAACTAGCGGTAAAACTATAAAGCATCATTCGAGATTCATTAGAAACTAGTTTAACAAATTTTAGATAAAAATGTCATTGCATCAAATTTGCGTCACACGAGACATCGACTAGTTAAAAACATTAATCAATCATTTAAAAAAATCCACCTTTAAATAATTAATTGTTAATTTGTTTTTAAGCCTTGCAATGTCACTAATTCAATCAATCTAACGATCAAAATTTTAATTCCATTATTATTTTATGGATACAAATTGGAATTCTTTTGATTACTTTTGAAGAATTGTAATTGAATAAATATTTGTCCAATCTATCACCCAATCAGATTTTCAAATGTTTTGATAAGAATAATTTTAGAATTGTAAATTTGAAATTAAGGTTGTCTTGTGAATGAATTATGGGTTGGCTGTATGTGAAGCTTCAATGGTTTTTGATCCTATTTCTATACTAAAGGGAGCACCTGACACAAGTCGGTTAATCGATCAGAAATTCGGGACCAAAACGGTGTGACTCTGGCATGGTGCTGGTTTTAAATCGAAGCTTGGCACCGAATTTGACATTGATTAACCGACCTGTGCCATTCGGGGTAGATAGTTCAACATTTAAGCGCTTAGCCACAGAAGTTGGTACCAAATGATTCTGAATATTAAGAATGGAAGGAGGTGTTTTTAATGAATGCTATTTTATTTGTAAAGAAGGAGGATTTTTTAGAATTTCATAAGGTTGACAAAACTGGTCAAAACCAAGTAGGAATAAGAAATCCTTGATTTGAACAAAGGTAAATCTATAATGAATTATCAAGATACCTATAAACTGTCTACGTTTATGATACGCGTGACACTGAAGTGGTTTTATTAAACCAATTATCATATCACTTGATTAGGAACTAGCATAAAGTTAGAAAAAACAAAATTGGACTTTTTATAGAGAACCCTTCCTGCATTACTCCCATCCCCCCCCCCCCCCCCCCTCTTGATTACAGTCCATATAAAACTTTCCCGTTGCGCTCGAATGAATTCTTTGAGAAGAAAAACCTGAAATCAATGCAAAATGCGCTTCAAGTTTCCATTCCCTACCCCAATCTTTCCTCCTCATGCTTTGTTTACACCGAAAATAAAAACCGTTTAAAAAGCAATTATGTCTGATAAGAATCCAATATTTATCGCCGATAATAGATTGTTCAAAAATAAGTTGAGTGGATTTACGCGCGATAGTAATTTCTCTCTCTCTAGTCAGCTTCTTCTTATTAAATAAATATTAGTGACTTCTTACCTTCACAAAATATAACGGACGACTAAATAGACTGCAAAATGTATCTAACACTTTAATAGACAGCAAAGTTTTTTTTTTGACACTTAATGTCATTATCAGCTGATAGATTATTGGTTGGAAATTATCAATGAAACACGATGACAAGCATTCGGCATTCCTCTTTCGTCTCCATTCTATTTTCAATAGAAAAACTGCTCGTCTTCTTTTTTGATGTCTTTTCTTATCATCTATTGGTAGTCTTCATCACTTTATTTATCTATAAATCAAGGTATTTAAACTGATAATGGAATTATTGTTAATTGATGGCGCTTTCAGGCTTAGTTCTGATCTTTTCCCACGCATTAAACTGGATTTTAATTTAGAAATTTTTTTGACATTTCCAAAAATACATTAAATCAGATAAGATGCTCGATCATGTTCCTCATATCAATTTTAATTACTTGAAATGTTTTAATTGTCAATTTTTATTTTTGATGACATTTTTTGGTCAGAGCTTTTATGATGTAATAAGCTTCCGTTTCTAAGGCTTTTTCTGTGACAAATTAGGCTGAATCAGACGATTTTTTTTTATCATAGCATAATATTTAATGTAATAGATACAAACACGAGCAACATACATGTCTCATGTCAGTGTTTAAGGTGTCAAAATTGCCTGAAGAAACTTTCAAACTTCTATGACTAAATTATGTCTTTCTATACTCTTATTACATGTGGAATAAATCAAATTGAAACTTTATTCTTATAGTTATAAATAACAGACATGTACTTTAATTCATTTCAAATCTTTTTAATGCCTTGATCGATCAGAATTAATTAATTTGTGAAGAATTAAAGTTATCAAGAAAACGACAGTTGAACAAATATTCAAAAAAGTCCGTTATAGAAAAAATTCAAAAAATTCAGCAATTTGCTCAGTTTGGGGGTTATTGATTTGAATTTCTTCATGTTTCCAGAATTTTCATAAAAAATTCAATTATTCAAATCAAAGACCCCCGTAAACAAACTCGTGAAATTCAAAAATTAATTAATTAAGGCTCTAAAATGGTTAAATTAAGTCCAGAATTAATTAATTCGTGTATGCAGTTTATAAATCCATGCAGAGATCGAGAATTGGATCTTCGAGGTGAGCATTTTGATTGATTTTTAATGTGTTTACGCGGCTTTTTAGGTCAATTTATGAATTTTTAAGAACTTAATTAATTTGGGACTTATTTACAGGATATAAAATACCGGAAATACAAAATCTAGGAGCTACATTAGATCAATTCGACACGATAGACTTTTCCGATAATGATTTGAGAAAATTAGCTGGATTTCCGTATTTGGGAAGAATTAAGCAGCTCCTTTTGAACAATAACAGAATAACGTATGTAATCGTATGCCTTTATGTCCATTTTAACATCATTACTAAGTCCAGTTTAATTGATTTCATAGGAGAATCGCTGATGATCTTCACGAAACCATTCCGAATCTTGAAAGCTTGATACTTACTGGAAACAATTTGCAGGAATTAGGAGATATAGATGGATTAGCGAAATTACCGAAGCTCATAGTCTTGTCACTCCTCACTAATCCAGTTGCCAGCAAAAAATATTACCGTGAATATCTCATTTTTAAGTAAGTTATGTGTTTTTTGTTCTGGATCTTTGAAATACTTAACTAGATCTTTTTGTTACAGACTTCCGCATCTCCGTTTACTTGATTTCAAGAAAATAAAGATGAAGGAACGTGAGGAAAGTGTCGCATTCTTTAAGAGCAAAAAAGGTAAAGAGATACAGCGAGAAATCCAGAAGAAAGCACGTCTAAGCATGGCGAATGACACAAATGCAGCAAAACCCAAAATTCAAGCAACGACAGCAGACATTCAAAAGATTCGTGAAGCTATTTCGAAAGCTAGTTCATTGCATGAAGTTGAAAGATTAACAAAAATGCTGCAAAGTGGACAGATTAGCAGTGAATTCTTAAATGATGATGATGAGCCAATGAACTAAAGCTTTAAAGGTAAATTTTGAGTATTGAATGATTTTTACTGATTTATTATTTTCTCTTCCTGAAAATGATCACAAAACTATATAGGCTCAATTATGAGCTGATAAGAATTAAGATACAGAACATGATATAAGAGTCTTAGCTTTTACATACTTTTTGTGAACTAAACGTCATTAAATCTTTGAAGCGATACAAATGGTTTAAAATTAATAAACAGGAAGTTCAGAAATTATTTAATTTTGTTTTAATTTAAAGGTTATTTTTTATCAATTTTAGAAGTTTGAAGCTATTTCAGGCGATGTTCTGGATTTAAGAAATTGAAACTTGTTTTTGAAAAAATAACGGCTGGTAAAAATTTGAATAATAACGTTTATAAAATATTTGAAAATTGATGGTGCCAATTTTTGAAAAAATAACGGTTTTTTAAAAAAATGGAATAGCTTTATTAAAGATAAACTACATCATGTTCCATAAATGAGCCACAAAAGTTTACATCTAATACCTTAAGTCACATAAAACAATAAAATTTTACCCAACTTCAGGATAAACCTTCCAATAAATTATAAATCCAGACAGAACCTGTCCATCCAATGCTATAAAAATTTCAATCCTATAAACGCCATCCTGTAAATGCGGTGGAAAGTTTTGGATATCTCCAACATAGTTTTCAATTTTGTAGTCACCGCCGGGAAAAATGTTTTCAGCTTCTTTATCCTCAAAAGCAGGTAGATTTGAATATGGACATACATCAGGTTGGATATGAGGAATGTAGATATCCTTCAAGAACTGTGAAACTTTTTGTGGTGGTGTCTTGAAGGATGTCAATTCCCATTGGTTATTTCCTAATTTACTGCGCCAGCAGTAAGCTTCAACAGTCCACGAATCATTGAACTCACCGTTGATCACAAATTCACCATCCGCGACATAAACTAAGGATTTTGAATTTTTAGACGTTATGGACAGTAAGGAACAATAAAATTACTTACATGTTCTGTTGTAGCGCTTAACCTTTAATCCTTTAAATACAACATAGTCAGTATCATTCATTGGTAAGACTTTCTGGATCTCCAACTCATATTTATGTCCACCTGAGGTTGGCTTAACCATTGCTGAAATTTTGCAAACAACTGCACAAAACAGAACAACGGAACCGACTACTTTTAACATTTTTTCAGGTCTCTAAACTTTACTGAATGGACTTTGATGAATTTTTCCATATTTATAGCAGAAATTGATGTTGAATTCTCGAAAGTTGCTAATTATCGGGATGTACTCATGAGATTAATTGATGACAAGATCTTAATCAGCTGCCAATAACAGTTTAATGAGGTTTTAATTTGTTTATTAGATTTAGAATCTTGCATTATGTTGACGCATTGACGGGAAATTCGATATAATTAAAGGGCATGACTAGGAATGACAAATTAGCATGTTAATGCTCTGATTTTGGATGTCATTGAATTTCTGGAAGAACTGAGGAATTCAAAAAAATTAACGGTCAATTTGAGTTTGAAATTTTCAAGCAAATTGAGTTTGAATCTTAAAAAACCGTTAAAAGAATTTTAATCTTAATAGGCTAGTTCCAATAAAGTTCATAAATCCATATAAATTACATCTTTCGGCCAATCTCTTCCAAATTATGTCAGTTTCCTTCCGAAAATGCTTACTAGAACCAAAATTATTTAAGAATCTAGCTAAATCCACATCAATTGCATCCTCAAAGTTCACAACACATCAATCAAACCAAAGGCAAGTCCCAAAATGCACCTACGTCCTCTCACCAACTCAATGGCTCAAAAACAAGATAAACTTTCAAATCTTAAAGTTGCATGATAAAGATTTCAATGAAAAGGAATTTACGGCTGGTGCCAAGCAGGTAAACAGAATCAGTCAAAAGATATCCATCCCACACAGCTTACGTACATCTTGTTTACACATCCTACAAATCACATTTAGGCTGCACTAGTAATCCTAGAAATAGCTCGAACACGCAATGCTGCACAGCTAGCAAGAGTATCAACACTTCGAGGCTTTTCAAGAATCTTCAAAGACATGCTCGCATCCAAAGATGATCCAAGAAGGAAGCTCCTTTATTTCAACAGTCAGGATATTCAAAAAATCATCACAACTGATGTTCAAATTGCAGAATCGGATGTAAAGTTTCTGTGCCTTATTGAAGTCTTCTTCGTATGTGTCAAGTACCTCGATGACGTCATCAAAATGTATGAAGTATCAAATCCTAATGTTAGCTTGAAAATTTATCAAGACATAAAGGAGGTTGAGAAATTATTGAAGAAGAAAAATTACACCGAAAAATCTCAAGTTCCAACAGAAGAGAAGTTATTAGTCACTGAAGGATATTTCCACTTGTGTACCAGTTTTCCAAAGCAGCAACAACTGGATGAGGATGAGAATGAATGGAAAATCGATCATTTTAAAATATCTGAGTTTAATATTGTTCGATTTAAAGACAGTTTTGGGAAATAGGAAGGCTTGATTTGAAGTTTCGAGAAGATCTGAATAAAACTAAGTTTCCCTAACACACAAAGAGCATGCTCTTGTTCAAGAGTACGGTTGAGAAGACGCTTTTTTAACATCCTCTCAAGAACGCAGTAAAGAGCATGTTCAATAACGGAATCAATCGTACTCTAATTATAAATAACTTGCATGCAAGTTTTTATTTGAAATTTGCAAGTAAAAAAGCGTACTCTTGAGAGCGTGATTTCTGTGGTACCCAGCTGCGATTTCCATTTGTATGGGAGAGTACGTTAATTTAGCGTCATCAAATTAAAAAATTAATTTTTAAAAATCATGCTCAGATCGTGCTCTTTGTCTGTTAGGGTTTGTTGCCATAAAGTTTGTATTTATTAAACACAACCAGCTTTATTCAGTCTATCAAATCTTAAAATGCATCGATCGACATTTTCTGATGAAAATCTCTTCCTGGATTTGTGGGATATGATGAGAGAATTGAAAGATACTTCCAACACTTGGTGAGCTATTTAACCTCAACTTCTGTAGATTCTGTCGAACACCAAACTCATGTTTCTTGGCTGTCAAAAGCTTCCTTAATTGTTCATTAGATTTGGACATTTCGATTTTGTAATTATTCAGCATTAAGCAGTCAGCTTTAATAATTGACATCTTTCTATAAAATTCGTCCACAAGAAGTTCATTGACATGAAGTTTATCAGATTGATTTGAAGATGCAAGCGATGGATATTTTGCTGATAAAGGATTATTTTCGTCCGTAAATTTGATTTCATTGTCATTTGGATAATAAGCATTGAAATCAGGACTGCTGTAAATTTGAAGGAAACTCAATGGATTGCTTGCTGAGTTATTAGTGACGTTGGAAGTTCTTTCATGTCCATCAATCTCTCTTTTGTTCGAGTCTACAGACTTTTTCAAACAGCTTTGATTATTTATAGAATTACATTTGAGCTTCTTTTTGTGGATACATGCTGAATTTTGGTCATCAATAGTTAAAATTGAGGAATTTCTAAAGCTGAAATTTAAGCTTTTTTGAGAGAGTTTTGTATTAAAGCTTTTAAAGTTGTTAGAGCTTTCGGAAGTGTCCAAAGGCTGGTCGAAGAATCTAATTCTGTCCTGGATGGTTTCATATTTAGCACAGACCTTCATGAGCATTAAAATATTTTCGAGGGTTTTGAGATTTTTTTGTAAATGTTTTGAAACTTTTGAAGAAAGGTTTGAGACAGCTTTTAACTTTTCACTGTCCTGATTTTGAGCATTTCTCTCAATCGTCCTTAAATTGATAAGTGACTTTTCTAAATAGTCACAATAGTTTCTTAGTCGCGATACTTCTTCAGTCCATAATATCGTCTTCTCATCCAACAGATTCTCAAGTTTAAAAGATTCATATTCAGCTTTGTCAGCTGCGACTTCAAGTTCCTCAATTTCAGCTTGAATCTCGTTGTATTCCTTTAATGTAACTTGATATCTCTCATTTCTTTCTTTTGGCCAGATCCAAATAAATATTTTGTAAATGTCATCAAGTTCCTTAATAATTTTCTCATCAAATTCAGATTGCTTGCTGTAAATTCTTTCACATTGTATAACTGTGCCTGCTCTTATAGCTATTTTGTCGTCTATCAACTTCTCTTTCTGATCTTTTAAGCTTACTTGTAATCTCGATACAAATTCATGAGCGAAATTCTCAAAACTTCTCTTTCCTTCGTGCAGCAATCTCTCCCAAACTATTTTCTGAGCATAAAAGTCATCGACGAGATTCTTTCGGTTCTGTTCGAATAAATCTTGTAGTGTATTTTGAAAAAGTCGGAATAAATCTGTGTGGATTGAGATGTAAATGACATAAATCAGGAAAACTATCAGTCAGTCAAGTTTACCTTTCATGTACTTGATCAATTCAGCCTGAGCAAGTTGTGCATGCGAAAGATGATCGAATAAATCTTGTCGATCGATTGTCAGCTTCTCAACTTCATTTTCTGCTTGAGTAACTCGATGATGTGACCATTTAATTGCTGCACTCTTTTCTATTGCCAAGCTGTTAATTTTGAAGTTTTCAGCTACTTTAAAAAATGTCTTTCCACTTCTTCTGTGGCTTAATTTTGCAAAATTATCTTCTCTTTCTATTTGATCTTGTAGGGTTTTATGCTGCTTTTCCGTTCTTAGTGCCTTTTTCTCTTCATCGGTCAGCTTTTTCTTTTTCTTTGATTTTTGTTCTGCTTTTGGTGCCATTTTGGGTCGAGATTCTAAGAAATTGAATAATTTGTAAATAATGCAACTTGCCGAATGATAAAATGAATGAGATAACTTCGATCTAATTTGAAAACCAGAAACTCTAGAACTAAAGTAAATTAAGTTAAAGTTCTGATGTCTTTAAAATGCTGATTGATCAATGTTCAGTCAAGCACAGTCTAGTAAACAATATTTCAGACATAAAAGTGTGAAAAGGTGATAAACTCATCTCACAATTTCATAGACCTTTCTGCTTACTAAACTGTAATTTAACAAGCAGCACAAGTCATGTCAAGCTCACTTTCAATCAATCAGAATAATGATTCCAAAAGTTCCTTCCAGCGATAATGTCTTCATGATTGATGAGTGGATAACGTTTCTAAGTATATCCATGAATAATTATGTATTTGATCCAGGCATTGTAATTCAAGCTTTTTTTAGGGATTCAAAAAATTGTATCAGATTTCATTTTTCCATTCAAAGATTGAAGAGCAAGTAGCAACTTTGAATCCTGAGCAAATATTTTGTTTATTAAAATCAATCATAAAATCTCATTAAAAAGGCAGTCTGCCTTGAAGACTGAACAAAAGCAATACCTGCTATGGGGCCATTCACTTATTACGTAACGCTTTTAGGGGGAAGGGGGGGGTCTAAGATTTTGTTACGGTTCAAACAAGGAATTTTTTTTTTCATACAAATTTTGTTACGAGGGGGGGGGGGGGGGGGGTCTAAGAAGGTCCTATGGATAAGTGTCAAAGATGTCAAAAGTATTTCAATGCACAGAGAATCCTCAACCTTTATTTCTCCTTTCAAAAGTGAAATGGCACACAAAGTAAGAAGAAATCAAGGTCATGAAGAGCTTAATAATATTCAGTCAAGTGATATTATTTTGTTGTAACTGTACGAAGGTTAGTGGCTTCATAAACAAACTTAATTATGGCAATTAAACAATAAAGATATTCTCTTATTGCTGTATACTTTTATCACTGACGAAGAGCTAGTTATCTAATGTAATATTCTTAATAAACTGGAAATAATCTCAATATAACGATAGATATGGACGTTGTAAATGATAGGCCTGAGAAGTCCTTAGAAGAATTTTGGTATGACTTCAAAATCCAAAATGGAACTCGAACTCAAGTTAGTAAAGTAATGATTAATTTTAGGTTAAGTTTCTTGACTAGATCTCACTTTGAGCTACTAAAGTATCTAGCAATGGAGTCTAGTAATTCACCAAAAGTATTGACTATCGTTGATGTTTATTCATTTATTTGGAAAGTTGAAACTTTAAAAAAAGATGAAATTTCTGACAAAATCCTCTACAAGGATCTAGTAAGTTACACAATATTTGCAGTCATAAACTTATGTCATAAAAATAAAGAAAACAAAAATATAAACCGATGTGTGGGATCTGCTAATTTGGCTATAAATAATTATTATTATCAAATCATTGATGCCAACTGTTGCATTTTAATTTGACATTCTGGGATTTCCCGAATAAATTCGTGCTTTTCCTTTTTTTTATAGTTTGAAATAATTTGCAAGTAATTTTGTAGACTTAACTTTGAACTAAAAGGATGATAATAATCTACAGATATAATTTAGATTAAAACTAGCGAAATTCGAACAACTGTAATCACTTTGACCTTCCTCAATGCTATAATTTTCATAACCTTCATCAATACGACTTACAAATTCAACATATGAAATCAATCAGTTTTGGATATTTCAAGGTCGACATGAAGACATACACATAATAATATTTTTGATGACTCTTTCAAGAAATCCTTCACATCCTTACATATGTCTCTAGGGAAATATTCATGCAAAGGAGATGTAATCAACAAATATTTTCTCTCAATTCAGATTTGTTTAGGAGACAAATTGCTTCCAAAATGTTTATCACTTGATGCTGTTATCTTGCCAAACCTTTGATGGCCATTGAGTTAGAATTTGAAAGTTTAAAAATAGAAAAATTTATTTTCTTTAATAGAAATCAAATACTTCAAAAAACATAGACGGATCTACATTTTAAATTCTAAAGTCAACCTTAAGCAGCCTTAAACTTTAACTCTTCACTAATTTTAATTTCTAAAACTTTCGACATTTCAAAACTTGAATAATCTCGACGATAATGGAACCAAAAACGTGCAATTTATGAATGTTTCTGCTATTGAACTTGTTGGATAATCATTTTTTGATAATGACATTCATAAGTGCTATTGTACACCAATCTACCTTATCAGCTATAAAAAGATTTATTGCAAATTCAGTGAAACAATTAAATGAATTTCCTTTGGATAATCTCAAATGAACAAATTGGGGAAAACTCACTTATGATTTAATATTTAAGAATGTAGGAGGACAAAGAGGTTGTTTAAATGTTGCAAAAACATCATTTTAAGACTGACATTCATGGTTGATTGGCCCCAAAAATTGGAACTCTTTGTCTTATCGAGATTGATAAAAATCGTTTAAAAAGCTTATTCAGAAAATCGTCAAGGTGATTCCTCAAGAGCTTTATTTTCTTTTTCTAAAATTAAAATCAAGTTCAATATTTTATTATCTTTCCTTAAAAATCTGCTTTTCATTTTATTACATCTTATTTTTTAAGCTTCAAAACTTGTAATTGTTTGAAAATATCTTTCAAAATCAGTTCATCAGAATTCAATCAATTCGACTTTAAATAATGAAAATTCAGAAAGTTTTCAGAAAATATTAAGATTTAAGTTCTTTCGCCTTTTTTAATAGAGTTCTGCTTTCATTCGTTTCTTGGTCAAGAAACAAGGAAACAAAATTCAAAATATTGCTTATTCTTAAACTTTCAATCAATGGCATATAGTATGTTACATTTAAAGCCATTTAGCGAACAACAAGAAGAAATAAAGCAGATAAAAAGAAAATTTGAATAGTAAATACCTTCACCAGGACGAATCAGATCAAGCTACAATTTTCTAATGAAATTTTACCACAGAAAAAAAAAACTCAGATTTAAATTTCACCAAATAAATTTGATTTTTGCGTAGATTCTTAAATTGAACCACAAGCTAGTATTATGAAGAGGAAGTAGTTATCATCATTAAAGTATTGTATTACATAAGTTCAAAAATTAATTAATTCACAAAAAACTACAAAAATTAATTAACCGCAAGTTTCACTATCAACTATATTAATAATTTTATTACCATTTTCAGATAATTAATTTTTATACCTCAACCATAACTACTTAATTGTCACATCTATTAATTTTTGAATGTCACACTTGTTGCTTGTCATTTTCGAATTTATAATGTGTAGAATAGAACTTTTCCATGTCCAACAATTATTTGCAAATAAACAGGAAAAGATTTTGTTTACTGTTGATTTCCATAACACCGCAATTGAGCCATTGAGAGAGCTTTTTCTGAATAAAATATTCCTCACACACCTACACATAGCTAGTGTGCTTTAGGATCTCAAGTCTTTTACATTTTCAAACTGCACACAGCAATTTTTTTTTCTCCATTCCTTCTGCTTTCATTCTCGCAATTTAGTTGCGACTCGAGCGTTGAACACAACAGTCGCGAGTAATAATATCTTGTGAATTAAACAAAAGCTTTTTTTTTGTGTGACAGAAAAAATAAAAGAAAATTTTTTGAAGCGAATAATTTCAAGTGCCAGTCGCGATTCGTGATGACTTTGTAGTTAACTTGTGACTGAAAAATTCAAACCATTTAAAAAAAATTGATTGCCTGTCAGTCAATTATTATTTTTAAGTTTCTACTTATCTTGTCAGCTTTAAGATTAACGACTCCCTGTTGAGAGTTCCTTATTTAAGAGTTAAGGTTTAAAATTAGTTTCAAGTGTCAATAAATTTTGAGTTTTTATCGCTTTTGGAGGTTTTTTTTTCATCTTTTTTGAGATAAAAGAATACAAAAAATTGGTTAAAAATACATTTTTGTGAGGCTCGATTGCTCAGTCACTGTCAGTCGTGAAGTTGAAAGGTGTAAAATAAGAATTATAAAATAAAAATGGGCAGAGACGAGCTGGATAATAAAGGTCCATCAGTGATATACAACAATTCCGCAATAATGCAGTCGGTGGAGAATGAAGAGTAAGGAAAAATATATTTTTTAATATTTATTAGAGATGTTAGTGGTGAATTTGCAAGTTTTAAGTGACATTAACTTTTAAAAGTTGTGAAGTCATTGAAGATTATTAGATTATGAAGTCCATAAGTGTTAATATGAATTATTTCGGTGACTAGGTTGCGAACTAAGTGTTAATTGTGTTTAAAACAAACACAAAATCATTCAAAAATTAAGATTATAATGACTTTCTAAGGTCAGTTTTATAGATAAAAAATTGATTTTTGAAAAAAAAATGTTAAATTTTAATTTTTTATTTTTATAAAAAAAGATACAAAACTTTGTTAAAAATGGCAATTTAGGTCCACAACACAAAAAGTCAAATTCATACTCGATAAATAATAGAGCGTATCAAAACAAAAAATATTAACCGGCAAATTTTGTCGATATGTACGCATTATTATAATGAGGATAAATTCAGCAAACCAGTTCTGCAAGTTTTTTTATATTCTGAAATTTCATGTAAAGATTTAGGTCATGTGAAGTTAAAAAAAAACATTATTGATGAGATCATGTAGCTTTCTTGAATTAATGCTTATCCAACTCATGTTTTTAAAAATGTGTTTGATATTCAATTTTTATTGAGAAAGAAATAAAAGTCATATGACTCTGCTGGTTGATTACGATAAGCAAGGTTTAGATCGTAGGAAGTAAAGGTTGCTAAGGATTATTGTATGGGTTTCGTAACCAATAGCTTCCTACAAAGCTACAGTGTTGCATCTAAAAAGGATTATGTTTTTAAAGTCATTCTGACTTTTAAGTTCATGATAAAATTACTAAATTGTATCCAAAGATTAAACGCAAGCATGCTGAAGGAAAATTAGAAATTCAGATATTAAAAGATACTCGATCCAGTAAGAAATGTTCAAAATATTGAAAGAAATTGGAACCAAAAGTTCAAATATTTGATAGACATAATTAATTGAAATCCCTCTTCCAACACAATTACAAAAAAAATGTCAAAAAGCTCAAAATTCAACAACTCTGACTTATCAAACATAAATCATCATGTTCATACACAAAATAACTCAGTTTATTATTAAAACAAATTGCTATTAAAAATGCGATATTTTAATGACAACTCATCATTTTTTATCCAACATTCAATGTCAGCGAAAATTTCTCATAATTTTTTTTGTACTTAATTTAAGTAATGAAAGCTTGTTTAAAGTTGACTGAAGAAAATTTGCTTTGGGTTCATGTTTACATAATTAAATGAAATTCCAAAATGTTTATCTAATCATTTTGAGAGGATATTTCAAGTTCTTCAATGAATTTTATAGCTACTTGATACCACCAAAGAACAATAGGATAGACAACTTCTATGAAAAAATCACCTGCAAAGATAAGTTTGTGCGTCAATTAATTAGTAAGGGATATACCGATCAATCAAAAGGCTTCGACAATTATATCAAGTCATATCTTTTGGTATTAAGAACTTAATTAATTATAATCTCACTACTTCAAGTTTCGTTTATCTAAATTGTATTGAACTAGATCTAATAGCTGGATCTTGAAAACGGGAAGGAAAAAGAAGGAATTTTGCGATAATTTTCAAGAGTTTCAAGCTGTTTTGTCCAAATGATTCATTTTTATTGTTTTTTCGATAATGAATAGAAAGATTTTTTGAATTTGACTGTACTTTTTCGGAAAAGTTTTTAAAAACTTCAAGTTCAAGGCTTTTTCATCATCTTAAAAGTTTGCTTGTTCTTTTTCTGAAACGATGTATCAAGTTTCGGCTTCAAACTAGTTTTACGAAATCAAATAAAATTGTTTTAAAGGAACTAAAGGATGCAATTTCTATGAGCTTTCTAATTTGATGCATGTTTATTAATACTACGATCATTTAACGCAACTCTAGAGACTAGCATAGCTTTCTGATTATCGCATAACATCTGAAACTTATTATTCTTATGAAACTACTCTAAGCTAATCAACTGCAACCTAAGGTTATTGACCGATTGACTAAGAACAATTAATTATATAATCAGGAATTTACCATTTTCTTAGAACTCAGTTGTAACTTGATTTATAATTTCTATTTAAAGAACAAACTCAATCGTTTGTTTGACCTTTTTCTGATTAGAATGTCAGGTGATTTTGCTCTTTTTCTCAACAAGTTCTTCTCGAGTGGAATTTTGAGGGTTTTTGAAAATTTTGTCAATGCGTAAAAGCAGAAATATTTGTGATAATGTTATAAAAAGTCAAGAGGTTGGCACCAAATAAATGTGTCGTATCCATCATACTGATAAAAAAAATATTACAGCTTTATTGAAACTATCACATGACCAGGTGGGATTTACAATTGTTCCATCAATCTTTTGTTGATTTGAAAAAATTAAGGAATCAAAAGAAAGTTTTTCATTTTTTGTCATTTTCCAAAACTTTTAAATAATCCCCAAAAAACAAAAGAAGAAAATAAACCTGTCCAGCTCAATACAAAGTCTCTTACCTGTTTCGCGAATCAAAACAAAACCCAAACAAACCACAAAACAAAAATAAATGGCAAGTCCAATGAGTTTGTGATCATCACAAACACACACAAACAGCAGAAATCCATAAAATAAAGCCAAAACCAAAAATAAAATGTGCTGATGAATTATTAATCAAAACAGAGAGCGAGACCAAAAATTGCTGGTATTTTGGGTGTTAATCTAGATGAGAACACTTTGGACATCAATTTCTTGGATAATAACTGAGATTTTCTAATTAAATGTTAAAATAGATCTGAGGATACAAAAATAAACTTGATATTTTGAGTTGGGTTAGAATGGTTTTAATGAAAATGGCTGTAAAATGTTTAATCGTAGGGTTTGAGTGCATTGAGAGGAAATAAAAAACCAGAAATTTATTACATGATAAGATAATACAGGCTTTTGAGATTAGTCCAAATAAAAATATGAATTTGGTGGAAATATTTTGGAATTAGGATAATTATTTATAATAAATTTGCAAATGGAGTCAAACTTAATAAATATTTATATTTGCACACAACTTCAAACCTTCAAAAATGTTGCAAATTCTTACTAAAATTCGCGTCATATCTGAAATTCCCTCTCTTAATATCCATTTCAACTTGTATATGCGTTCTTGTGCAAATAAAAAAAAAACCTGTTTAAATCACCGAGTTTCTTCATGCTTGATGTCCAAGACCATGGAAATGTTAATTTCATTTAAATTTTGATTTTTGTTTGTTTTGTTATCAACTTTTGATAAATGTTTTTCACAATAAATATCACCGAGAGAAGCCAATGAAGTTAAGCAATTTAAATAATAATTTCCTTGATTTTGTAGTAAACAACAATTGAGTATTTATAAAAATTTCTTAATGAAATAGTAGGAATGAATGAAGAACCAACAAAATTAATATTTCTTATTGCTGATTTTCAAGTTTTTTTGCAAATAAATCAATTATTAAAATGTTAAATTTTTATTTAAAAATTTTGCATCATGTTGAGTTATTAGAGATCGATGGGGGAGAAGGTCTCCTTAAGTTTTAATGTCAAATTTAATTTTTAATAAAAAATAGGATTTTTTTTTAAATTTTAAGAAATAATAAATCTCAACTCATTGAATCAACTCACAATCAGGTCAATGACTTCATCTATAGCTTCAACTTTCTGAAAGATTTTATATTGCAATAAATTATTATGAAAAGTCTTAACTGGAATTTATTTAAATAAACTTTACAAGCTAATTTTCAATGAAGTTTCACTTAGTTCTCAAAGTCACTCAAATGTCATTAATAAATTTAATCAAAAAATTATTACACATGTATATAGGTAATTTAACGCTCTACTGTAAATGGCATGCAAAAGACGAGAGAGAGACTAAATTGAAAAATTCACACACAATAAATGAAGCCGTAGAAAAGAGGCTAAACATTATCTCGACGACATTGACTGTTGTAGATTCATATCATCATTTTATAAATAATAAAATTTTATTGTTGCGCTCCTGATAGCATTTTGAATTTTTATTGATGGTCGTACCTGAATGCTTACTCTTTGTTATTATTACTGAAAAGTTTATGACTTGATAAGTCTTTTATCAGTCACTGTGACTAAATTAGATCCTCATAAAGTGAATTATTTGTCATTTGCTCTTTTTTCTGAATTTAGTTATGATGAAAGCTTCAGTTTTAAGTTTATAAAGTATCTACGTTCAGGACAGAAGGTGGCTTATCAAAATTATTATCGAAGAAAGTGATTCTCAGTTCTGATCCTCTTCTAAGGATGAGGTATCTACAATTGCATCACCACACGCCTTCCTAAGGACCCACTCATATGCTCCTCGGTTTTAAGTTCATATTCAATAATGAAGCATTTGAGGTCATTGTATCAAATTTATTATCCAATAATTTAGTGATTGAATGACGCAAAGCTTATTATTCAATTCATAAAAATTACGAAAAATTACTTTAAATTATTTTGAGTGTGACAAATCATTTCCAACTGTCTGAATAAGAAAATTATTAGATTGTTGACACTAAGAGGATGAAGCTGTCATCACTTATTCCATGTCTTTTAAAATTTCATGCCTTTTTGTAAAATATTACTCACATTGAGGGTTCTTAAGGATAGAATTTATTCCAATATTCAAATTTCCGAATACTTCATGCTTTAATATTCTCTTTAAATTCAAAAAAAAAAATATGAAAATCAATCAAAGCTCTTTTGCCTTCAAGGAATATAAAAATTGATCTATAAAGAAGGTCATTAGAGCTGTAAAAATAAGATTCGCAATATCATGAGTAAATAGCCGGCTTCATATCCAATTACAACTTTTTATATTGAACGAAGAATATTTGAATGAATAGTATCAGATAAAAATGTGCCAAGATGCGGGTGATTGCTCGAGTATTGGTGAGTGGGCAGCTATTGGAAACATTACAGACATTTTAAAAAGCTTTTCTGAGAAAGAAATTATTGAATTTTTATCGCTGATAATGCGAATGATGAGATTGAAACGTGGTTGTTTTGGTTTTTGTGGATAATTTTCTTAGAATTGGATTTTTACGATTGAATTAAGGAATTTTTGATGGCTAAACTTAAATTGAAATTTATTGACAACATCTTCAGCAATGTTCAGTAAATTGAATTTTTATTGATGTAAACATGTTAAAAATTGTAATTTCTGGAAGTATGAAGAGATTTGCATGAGACTTTAACTTATTAAAATTGTAAAACTAAGAAAATATCCAAAAATATTCAAATTCACTACACAAGTCCAACTTTAAAACTCATTTTCTACAACTAATTATCCTTCAATGATCCGAACAAATTCATTAAGTATTCATGAGCCAAAACCTTCCAAGTAAACAGTCCCAATGTTTACTTTATTATCAGGCACGCTCCATAAATTGTTGCATTTTAAAGTAGAGAAAGAGAAAGAGACAGATTGGAGCCATTTCTTGCTGACAAGAAAAACTTGTAAATAAAGCTGACATTTAAAATGTTCAATCAGCTGAGCATTGGCGACAATCAACTGCTTTATGTTAGGTAATAAATATAAGAGCTGGTTTTTTGAGTTATTTTGTCGTGTGGAATCGGGTGATGTGATGATGAATGGGCATTAAAGTTGATAGACTTTAATGTCTAAAATGTTTGAAAATCACCCTAGTAGATAAGAACCTTTCCTAAAGTAGTTCTAATATTACAATTATCAAATTATCACTAGCTACGATCCTATTACTAAAATATAATTAATAAATTGACGTAAATCCACAAATGCACTTTTATACATTCACAAACTTTCACATTTTTTACTCAGTTTTGCATTTTAATTAATTGTATAATAATTTTACAAAAAAAAACTAGTTTTCTTCTGTACCTTTACACATTTTGTTGTTTACGGTCTGTTGAAAGTGAACGACAAAACAAAAATGTAGAAACTCTGTAATGTTCACCTTGAAATAATGAAAATTTATTATAACAAAGTGTAATACAAATTCTGCTAATTTGTATTAAGAATACGGAACGAATTGTTATGCTCCAAAATGACATTCAATTCGTGGAATTTGTTGCTTCTAAATCTTATGCTATTTATAAAATAGAACTCCGTCTTTTAATAAGCTTAAAAATGATAATAGCAATTCCACCATAAAACGTCATCGTCATGTTTACAAAGCTTAATGGATTGAATTAGATTAGCTTGCTCTGCGAAGTAAATATCTTATGGGAAGCATGACAATGAGACTCCTTTAAAGTCATCTCATTTGATACTATGGCATGGATACAGATGAGTATCAATGACAATTTATGTTACTTGTTGAGTAACTTCGAAGGTTTCATGTGATTTGATGACTCAATTTTGTTCTAATGAAATCTCAGTTCAAAAAATTTCCAGCATCAACCTTGAAAGTCAATCACATGTAAATTTAATTAAAAGAAATTTAAATTTACAGAAAAAATCCAGTTTAATTGCTTTTTTTTCTATCAGTGTGGGTTGACTTTTAACCTTTTTTAGTCACACGGATAGAGCACGAAAATGAGTCGACTTGATTGTGTATATTTTTGAGGAATTATACCTCGATTCTTAGAATTCTGCGAACTTTAGGATCTTTTTAGACAATTTTAATTCAGAATGCAGCAGATTTTTTTTTCTGGTTTTGGGTCAATTTGGTATTTTGGATAATATATTTGGTCCAAAAAAGTAATAAATTAACTTCTTAAAAATTTAACCTTAAATTTAAAAAAACCAGCGATGCTTAAAATTTAAACAAACAAAAATCCAGTTTGATTCTGATATCCAAGACAAGATATCCATCATTTACAAACCACCATAAAAATGTCTGGATGTCACGTGCTCTAAACTCTAAAAGCTTTCATTATTCCCAGTCAAGTATTATTTTTATCGCATCTGCTTTTCATTACCTCCTTGGAGCAATGATACGTTATCAGCTGTAAAAAATACTAAAGAACTCATTGTTTTAACTTTTTTTATTGTGTTGTAAGGAGGACAATATCCCCAGCGTCTGTAATACGAATTTGATTACTGAATCTAGTTAAGTTTATTTTTTATTTTTGAGGAAATTGATAAAGACCATAATGTACTTGAGATCCACTTCGTTTTAGATTGTACTCACGTATTTACCCATTTTTGGTAAAGTCTGATTTGTAACAGACTGCTTCAAAGTAGAAGTCATAAAAAACTCATTATTAACTTGATTAGAAATGGGGGTACATACTGTCAAATTATTGCTATACTTCTTAGTTTTCAGTCTTCTCAAAAGATGCTATAAATAGCAAATGATCACGCAGAGACGCAATATTATAACATTCCCATTAAATACACAATTATGCTTTCAAACCCCTCAGGTTCGAAAAGTTAATTAAGAATTGACAGCTCTGGACATTTGATTGCATAATCAAGGATAGAATTGGTCGGAAAAGGCAAAAGAAATGTAAGCTTTCATGAGAAAATTGAAAATTTAATTAGCAAGTTCTTCCAAGAAAATTATCCCTTTTTGGTTCTTCATCCCACTCTCTTGAGTATTTTCTAGTTAATTTCCTAGAAAAACTACATAATAAAGTCGGGAAAACTTCTTCTTTTGTTTTCTTTCCAACTTGTCATGTCTATCAAGAATTAACGTCGTAATATGCTCATATTCCTATTGAGATTGACATTCCTTGCTTACATGAATGAACGATATGATGAAGGTTTTGAAGGTCAGTGATGAATTTGGTGCTTAGTTTTTTTGGGGGTTATTTAAAGTTTAATAATTAAGGATTTTCAGCAACTGATCTTCATAAATATTTATTTAACATAAAATAGCCTCTAAATCCCTCCTTACCTGCTTCCGAAAAATTGTGAATATCCCCAACCATCGACATAATTTCTGAATATCCCCTAAGAAAATTGCTACAAGTTACACATCCTTCACAGGCACTGAAGCTTCAATAAAAAAAAATGTAAAACAATTTTCATATAATTCAAAGAACTTGATTCCACCGAGCTATTAATAAATATCTCAAATTCTCTAGACACTTATTACATTGTGATGTTCCTTGATGTACCATGAACATTTCTTAGATAATATTACAAACTTTTACGTACCGAAAACAAGTTGAGACACATGAACTCATCCCACATGACAGAAATTCTTTAAGCTCATTTTCGTGACGTTTACAACCACAATACCATGAATGAACGTGGATATGCGTATGTTTTGGTGGTTGCTTTTGTTGATATTTTTGGATTAAAGCTAAATTGTAAAAGATCTGATTTAAAACTCAATTTTAAGGTGGAAGTTATTCGATGTTTGGAATGTAGCAACAAAAATTATATCATTGACATATTTTGGTAGTGGAAATCTTGATTTTATAAAATTCCATTAAGAAATTGATCCAAAAATCTTAAAATTCGTGGATGTTAATCCTGTTGTTCATGTTGTTCTCCAGTCACCTCCTCCCACTCAATTAATTATCTTTTCACCGAAAATGTGTCAAATTAATATCCATTGCTCCACAGAAAAAAGGAGAGCGCTTATTCAGCACCCACACATGATTTCGTTCTATCGCATATTCATGCTATTATCCTTGTTCTGATCATGAACTTTGCTTCATCTAATTAATTTAATAAATTCGTATAAAAAGAGAAATCTAATAAATATTAATATCTGCAAATTAATTTACTTTTTCAGGGTAATTGAAACAAGACCATTCTGGCTGAAAAGAAGATATCTTGTCGTTTTGATGGCATTCTTTGGATTCTTCAATGTCTATTCACTTCGTGTCAACTTGAGGTAAAAAAATATAGCAACTTGAATGACATGGGATGTTTGTTAACCTTTCCATCTCTTATTTCCTTAGTGTCGCAATTGTTTCAATGACAGAGATTAAAAACATAACATTAAGCGATGGCACTACGATACAAGAACAGGCATTTGACTGGAATTCAACACAAAAAGGACTGGTTCTTAGTTCATTCTTCTATGGATACATTACAACACAACTTATTGGTGGCATTATAGCTGCTAAAATTGGAGGCAACAGAATTTTTGGAATCGGTATTGGAATGACAGCAATTTTGACACTTTTAACGCCATTGGCTGCAAAATCTGGTCTTTATGTGCTGTTAGCTGTTCGTATAATTGAGGGAGTTTTTGAGGGTGTAAGATAATTGAACTTTTAAGTATAATCCCAAAAGTCTAACTCAATTCCTTTATATTTTCATAGGTGACATTCCCTTCCATCCATTCAGTATGGGCAAGATGGGCGCCACCACTTGAGCGAAGTCGTATGGCAAGTATTGCATATGCTGGAAATTATGCTGGAACTGTGATCGCTATGCCTGCTTCTGGATTACTTGCTGCTGCTTATGGATGGGAATCAGTATTTTATGTGTTTGGTGGTATTGGTGTTGCATGGCTCATCTTATGGCTGATAATTGTACGAAAATGTCCAGAAGACGATAGATTTATTAAAGAAGAAGAGAAGCGATACATTGTAAGCAAGCTTGGAACTGCACATCATAGTCAAACCAAACATATTAGTCCACCATGGAAGGCTTTCTTTACATCAGCTCCTGTATGGGCTATTGTTGGTAAGTTTATGTCATTAAATGATATTTCTATGTCTTGCACGTGTCAGGCACAACTTGAGTTCTTGATTAAAAGTTTAAGTTTTATAGAACTTTTTGGAATATTTCATCAAAAGATTTAAATCCAATTTAAAATTTCTCGTCTCTTACAGCTAGTCACTGTGCTGAAAATTGGGGATTTTATACTTTATTGACGCAATTGCCAACATTCTTGAGTGGTAAGTTTCAATTTTCTCATCCTATTTGTTTAGGATTAAATGTAAATAGTAAGCAATAACGTCATCTTCTTTTCCTTTTTAGATGTTTTTGACTTCCATTTAGAAAAGACTGGATTTTTATCAGCTGGTAAGTTAATAAATATTGATCCATTCCTAGATATTCTTAACAAATTATGTAATTTCCAGTTCCATACCTCACAATGGGTCTTCTCCTATTCGTATCGGGTTATTTAGCTGATTGGACTCAAGTTAAAGGATATCTTACAACGACACAAGTCCGTCGTTATTTCAATTGTACAGCTTTCCTCGCTCAAACAGTTTTCATGCTTCTCGCTGCATTCCTCTTACATCCAGTCACAAGTATTGTTTGTATTACAATTGCTGTCGGTATTGGAGCATTCGCATGGAGTGGATTTGCCGTAAATCACCTTGACATTGCGCCACAATATGCATCAATATTGATGGGAATATCAAATACATTTGCCACGAGTAAGTCAACAAAGTGATTGATTGAGTATGAAATGTTTAAATTGCTCTTTGTTCTAGTACCGGGAATCGTGAGTCCTTTCCTGACTGGATGGATTACAAAAGATGGAGTAAGAAAAATGAGTTTACTAAGGTGTTAATTTTACTAATGATGGAAAATTTTACGTCCTTTACAGACTGTTGAGAAATGGAAGATTGTATTCTACATTAGTGCTGGCATATATCTCTTTGGATGCATTATCTATTGGTTCTTTGCATCAGGAGAGGTTCAACCATGGGCAAAAGTTCACGAGCAGTCAACAGAAGAGAATAATAAGAAAGATGTCGAGAAAAATAACAAACCACCACCTTACGCTTATACAAATGAAGGAATTGAACTTAAGGATGAATAGCGATTTTGTAATTTTAATGAATTCAATTATCTTAAGGATTCACAACGTAATAATAATAAATATAATGATAATGATGATTACATTAAAATGTATTTTAACATTCATAAATGTGATTAAATGTTTTATAATGTGTGAGAGATTCCTTATTAAGGATGAAGATGTTAGAAGATATAAGTTGATAATTTAATTATCGTTAAACGAGAAAAAAAGTATTTTTAGAATTTTTTGTTATTAATCTTATGTTGAACTTATTTTTATTTGTAAGCTCAATTATTGAATTATCATTAACGTGATATCTGCAGTTAGAGATGCTTTAAAGATGATTTGATAAATGGGAAAAATGAATTTCTAAAATAAAAATTAGGTCCTTGAAAAATCGATTCAGAAATTGTTGAAAATTGTTTAATGTGAATTTTCAGATCTTTTCATCAAGGGTGTGGAACTGACCAAAAATGAACAAAATTGATCAAGAATCAAAGGTGTGGAACTGATAAATTAGATCTTTATAAATCAGATCCAACAATAATCACAGATTCTTAATTTTACTGTCAAACTTTTAAGAACCAACTCTAAAAGGTTTCAAGAAAAAAGCATGAAGTCAATCCAATAAAATCCCAATCTAACTATAATTGCTAGACAAAAAGAGGCTGATTAACTAGAAATAAACCACTTATTGATTACAACTTATCATTCAACTCTTTTCTGGTATTTGTTGCTGCATGATATATTTTTTATTGCAGTGTAATTCAACAGAGAGATAATAAGAGTCGTTTTACTGTCTCAAATAGCAGACAGAGTATAATATTCAGTGACTTTCTTTTCAGCGTTGTGATAGGTTGTGGATTTTTTTCATTTCTTAAAAAGCTACGTTATCATCTTGTCGAGGTCACTTTAAGATTTTGAGCTAAAATTTTCTTTACTCTTGAATTTGAGTTTGAATCTTAAAAAGCTTGAGTTTCAACTGTAGCTAGACAATCTGAGTATTAAAATGGGTATAGAAAGTAAATTGTAAGTCATCTCAATTTCTATTCTCTCCTTAACTATGTAAATGAAAAAAAGACCCGCCAAATTTAATTCTGATTTTATTCATTAAACAAAACGCTTCAATGCTGTTTATTTAGGATAGATCCAGTGCCTTTTTGGAGTCGAAAGCGTTATTTGATTGCATTACTCACGTTTTTTGGATTCTTCAATGTCTATACATTGCGTGTTAATTTAAGGTAAGGATCAGTAAGGATAATTTGATTTTCTTGACGGTCTTTCTTAGACTGAGTTTAACATTTAGAGGATATACCGAGTTTCTAGAGTTATATCGGGTATCTTAAACTCTGGTTTCAGCATCGATGGACTATTTAAAGCTTCCTTTAATTTTAGTGTCGCAATTGTGTCAATGACAGAAATCAGGAATGTAACGTTAAGCGACGGAACATTCATCCAACAGCAAGACTTTAACTGGGACTCAAAGCAGAAAGGTTTGGTCCTTAGTTCATTCTTTTATGGCTACATCACAACACAGTTTATCGGTGGATATTTATCATTAAAATATGGTGGTAATGTCATTTTCGGATGTGGCATTGGAGTGACTGCCTTGTTGACTTTAATAACTCCATTTGCTGCAAGTATTAGCATTTATGCACTTGTTGCTGTACGGATTATTGAAGGTGTGTTTGAAGGGATGACTTTTCCTGCTTGCTTTCATGTTTGGTCAAAGTGGGCACCGCCGATGGAAAGATCTCGTATAATGGGATTTTCTATGGCTGGCTTATATGTAGGAACTGTAGTTGGTATGCCATTTTCAGGCATATTAGCATCAACTTTAGGATGGCAGAGTATTTTCTATGTTTTTGGTGCTATTGGAGTAGTCTGGTTCATTTTATGGCTACGAATTGTAAGGAAAAGTCCTGCTGATGATCCACGCTTGTCAATAGCTGAACGTGACTATATCATGACTAGTCTTGGAGATGATTTGAATAAAAATGAAAAGATTGATGTGCCATGGATGAAAATATTCACATCTGGTTCCATTTGGGCAATCATTATTGCTCATTTTTGTGAGGCTTGGGGATTCTTTACAATGTTTACACAACTTCCAACATTCTTAAAAGGTAATGCTCCAAATTCCGTACCCAACAATATCACTGATAAAGTTATCAATTTGTAGACATGCTGAACTTTGATTTAACATCGTCTGCGGTATTATCAGGTATTCCATATCTTGCACTTTCAATTTGTGTCTGCTGCTCTGGTTATCTTGCTGACTGGTTCCAAATGAAAGGAATTTTATCAACCAGAAATGTTCGACGTATTTTCTGCTGTGGATCGTTTGCAATTCAAGCATGTCTCATGATACTTGTTGCTTTTGTTATTGACAAATTTTATTCAGTATTAATACTTACATTTGCTGTTGGTGCTGGAGCATTTTCGCTGTCTGGATATGCTGTTAATCATCTTGACATCGCACCAAAATATGCCTCAATTATTTGGGGAATTTCTAACACACTTGGATCCGTTCCTGGCATTGTGAGTCCTCTGCTGACTGGATATATTGTCACTACTCCTGTAAGTCGATATTATATTATTTCTTAAGTCTATTTTGGAACCTTTCATTGCCTTAATTGCAGACCGAAGCTGAATGGCAAATAATCTTCTATATAACAGCTGGATTTTATTTAATTGGAAGCATAGTCTATTGGTTTTTGTGTTCTGGAACTTTACGAACATGGGCAAAGCAGGAATCGATAGAAATGAACTAAGATTGCGGTATATCAGTTGAAGTTTTAATCTAACCGTTAATCAAAAATTTGAATTTTGCCTGGAATTTTGTATGAATGAAGTCAGCGTTTTTTGAAATTTTAAAAAGCGGTTTTTTATGAAGAATTATTTATTGTGAAATTAATTTTAAAAAAATTATTAAATTAATAATACTAAGGCGATTTAATTTAAAATTAGTGTCGATGCATTAAGTTAAGAGATATCTAGCTACCCACAAGAAATTTCCCTTGAAAACTTTCGCATATTCTCATAATAAACAATTTGTTGAAAATTTCCCGTTTGTTTACAAACTTTTGGAATGATTTAACGCTAATAAACTGGATGTACAGCATCAAGAGAAGAAAACTAAGCAATGCAACAGCCAACACAAGCAACGAAAGGTAAAATTCATCATATAACTTGATTTCTGACTAATATTAAAATATTGACTGGATCTCAAAACAATTCTTCTAGATTTCAATTTCTTAGTGCCTAGCACTAGCAAAAGCACCTTCAATCTGAAGAGAAATCATGGAAACGTCCAATCTACTAGTGATCAAAACTGTCCTCAAAATGTCAAGAAACTCAAAGTTTCAAATGAAGGAAGGCTGGAAATTGACGATTTTATGGACTTTAGAGCAACTTTGCAGAAATTAAAGGAAAACCATGAGCTTAGACAAAAAGATATGCCTCGTAAATATTCAGACGAAATGGACGATTATACAGAACATGAAGTTCCTGCCAAAATAAAAACCCAGCCAATTCAGAAAGTACAGAAAGTCCCAAAGCCTTCAAACTTTAAAAAGCAAAGCTCATACCGGATACCAAAAGCAGTCACAAATCGGAACGTTGTGCCTTTAAAGCCTCAAGGAAGTTTTTATGGATTATCAAAAAATCTTAAGACTTTCTTGCTGCAAATTAGAGGAATATCAAAGCTATATGAATGGCAGGAACAGTGCCTGAGCTTAAAGGCAGTCGAGGATCGTACAAATTTAATTTATTCAACGCCAACAAGTGGTGGCAAAACTCTAGTCTCAGAGATTCTTATGCTTCGTGAAGTGCTGTTGAGAAAACGAAATGTGATCTTTATAGTTCCTTATGTCTCAATTGTCCAAGAGAAGGTACAAGAAATGATGTCATTAGCTGTAGAATTTGATTTTCTGATTGAGGAATATTGTGCAGGAAAAGGATCACTTCCGCCTGTTAAACGACGCAATAAAAACTCGATTTACATCTGTACAATCGAAAAAGGTCAGATCTTGCTTGACAGCCTGCTTGAATCTAAGAGAATTGCTGAAGTAAGCTTAGTTGTTGTAGATGAGCTACACATGCTTGGAGATTCTCATCGTGGACACATTTTAGAGTCATTCTTGACTAAAATCATTTATCTTGAACATATTCCTATCCAAATTGTAGGAATGTCAGCAACAATATCAAATTTGGATGAGATTTCTGATTTTCTAGCTGCTGAGTCATTTACGTACGATTTTCGTCCGATTGAACTTAAAGAATTTCTGAAAACTGGAACTGAATTATATAAAATTAACCATAAAGCCACAAATCCATCAGGAATCCTTAAAAAGACTGAAAAAGTTATTGGACGAAGCTACACGCCAGAAATGTTAAAAAGAGATACTGATCATATTGGATATTTCGTCTATAAAGCAGCTATGGAATCGTCATGTCTAATTTTCTGCGCTACTAAAGTGAATTGTGAAAATGTTGCATTGCTGATTGCTGAATGCTTGCCAAAGGAACTGATGAAAAAGAAAAATGACGAAAAGAAGGATTTAATTGCAGCACTTAAGTCCGATTTTAATGGTGGAATTTGTCCAACTTTAAATAAAACGATTCCTTTTGGCGTTGCTTATCATCATTCAGGTATGGGGCCGTTCACTTATTACGTTATGCAAAAAAATGACTTTTTTCACCCCCTCCCCCCCCTTGTTACAATATGTTACAACTCACAACCCCCCCCCCCTGAACGTTCATAATTTATTTTATTTTGATAATAAAAGACAGGCGACAATTAGAACGTTACATACCTACCTAACGTTACAACCCCCCCCCCCCCCCTATGTTACATTTTGTTATAATTTTTCAACACCCAACCCCCCCCCCCCCCCCCCCCCCGTATTTTTTGACCGTTATTTTTCAAATGTTTTTCGACCGTTATTCTTCAAATGTTTTTCGACCGTTGTATTTCAAACATTTTTTGCCCGTTATTTTTCAATTATTCTTTCCAAATCCAGGCCTCACGAGTGAAGAAAGAAAGCGCATCGAGGATGCATTTCACTCTGGAATCCTTACAGTCATATGCTGTACATCAACACTAGCAGCAGGAGTAAATTTGCCAGCAAGTCGTGTGATTATTCGAGCACCGTACGTTGGAAGAGAATTAATAACACTAAGTCAATACAAGCAGATGATTGGACGTGCAGGAAGAGCTGGAAAGAGTGAAAAAGGTGATAGTATTTTAATGTGTGATAAAAAAGACTTTGAAAAAGTTGCAAATATGTTGACATCAAAAATGGAAGATACATTTAGTGCTTATCTTAAGGATACCAAATATGTTAAAGAATTAATTATAAATTTAATTGGAACTGGATTGTGTAAGAATTTCGAGGAACTTCATGACTATTCAAAATGTATGTTGAGTCGCGTACAACAAGACAGATTTGATATGGATATGAAGACAATTTTTATAGACAAATTAAAGGAACTGCTTGAAGCAGGCCAATTAAATCAAAAGTTTCAGTCCAAAAAATCAAAACGTCCTTCAATATTAACGTGCTTGCAAGATCAGATTGTAGTCTATGCTGAAGATCATTTTGAGATTAATAAAGTCGGTAAAGCAGCTGTAAAATCTGGAATGACATATGAAGATGCAAGTCAACTCCACATAGACTTGACTATTGCTCATACAAGTCTTGTACTATCTCAATGCCTTCACTTGATGTATATTGTGGCACCAAAAGAAGCTGTAGACTCAATTTACTTGGACTATAAAAATTACAGTGATATTTTCCTTAAATTGGACTCGTCAATGCTAAGCACAGCAAGAGTTATTGGAATTGATGAAATATTAGCCGTAAAAATGATAAGAAATCCAAATTTTCAAGGCGACTTACTTTATATGATTAAGAAATTTTATGTTGCCTTAATTCTTTACGATCTTTGGAATGGTCAGGATTTATTAAGTGTGTCCAAAAAGTATAAGGTGAATCGTGGGATTGTACATAAATTGATGTATGCAGCATCGTCGCAAGCTTATAGCATTTTTAAGTTTTGTGAAGTTTATGATGAATTTTGGATATTCAAGGAGATTATGGAGCAGTTTTCTAAAAGATTGGCTTATTGCTGTTCGACTGAGTTACTTCCTTTGATGGAATTACCAAATGTTAAGATTGTGAGTATCGGATTTAATTTAAATCCTTTAGATTAAACTTTAATCCATCAGATTTATTTTTCAAATATTTTTTGATCGTTAATTTTTCAATCTAAAATGACAGGCTCGTGCTAAAATGATGTACGCGGCTGGTCTTCGTACTATTGCTGACATTGCAGCTATAACTTCTGAGGATCTTGTCAGAACAATTAAGAATATCAATAAGAAGCAAGCAGATCAAGTTGTTAGAGCAGCAAAGAATACAATGAATGAACAAATTGACACATTAAAAGTGCAGATGTATGAGATGCAGAAAGTTTTAAGGGATGCTGGACAGAAAAATGTGCTTGACAAGATATAGTCTTTTTTCTGTAATTAATTAAGTTCTTATGGAAATACAGTCAAAAAATCAATTAAATATTTATTTACTCAATAAAAGAAGAATTGACAATAAATTTAGGTCTATAAACTTTGATCACCAGTAATTTGGATAAGCTGAGGTATCTAAAATCTACTTTTCAGCTGATTCATTGCTTAAAAAATATTGGAAATACAAAATGATTCCAAAATAAGCACATCTTAATCCTAGACAATCTTTTCTGTCAAATCAATGCTTATCATTTTATTGTGGATTGTTATCACAATAATGGTTTAATTACGATCATCAATCTATGCTTTAAATCCCATTTATATAGTTTCCCAACTTTGTTTGTAAGAATTCCGATTAGTTCCGGTTATTTAATTATATTCTTTAAGTCTTTAAACAATCTTGAAGATATTTCTGGAAAGAGGTTTAAAGAACCAAAGACAATATAGCTTATAGCTTGGAGAGCACTTTCAGCTAGTAAAATATGATAGAATCAGACCATACCTAGAATGATAATATCCAAAATCTATTCAAATCAGTTCATTCGAGTCAACTGGAAGTGCAGGAAGTGAAATTCAAAAAATTAAAACATTAAAATGGCAAAGGAAATAATGTAATTGAATATTTTACTAGATTCATCAAATTATTTGAATTTTGAGAGTGATCTTGGTGATTTTTTGGAGTCTTGATCTAGCCTTACTGAGTCGGACTGAACCATATGTTAAAGTGATTCTTACAAAGATGTCCAAAGTTGATTTTAAGGCTAAAGAATTCGAATTTCAATTCTAATGTTTGAAAAGTTATCAAACTCAACCTTGTTCCTACTTCTGTACTTATCATACCTTAAAGTTTAACTCGAGAACTAACTTAAGTTTGTCTTATTAAAAGTATGAGTCTGCACTAAGAAATCACTTTCCAATAACATAGACTAATTCCTTGTCAAGACTCAAAATCAACTTCATGCAACCTAATATCCCAGAAACTTTAAAATCAACTTGATTCCTTCATCCACAGATTCGATCCAACACCTTTATATCTAAGAAAACGATACTTGATCTTCCTACTTGGATTCTTTGGCTACCTTAATCTCTATACAATGCGTGTTGACTTTACAATTGCAATCATTAAATTAACAGAGAATCGAACAGTCAGCAATGATGATGGAAGCTACACTTATGAGCAGCACTTTAATTGGAGTACAGAAGAAAAAGGAATTGCATTGAGTACATTCTTCTATGGATATATAGGAACGCAAATTATCGGTGGATATATTGCATCAAAATTCAGTGGAAGACTGGTAATTCCATCCATTCATAAATAATTGATTGTAAAACTTAATGGATGACTTCAAATAATCTTATCAGCATGTAGTCATTGTAATTGATTGAATATAATAATTTTTATGTAGGTCTTTGGCACGGGAATTCTCGGAGCAGCAGTTATGACGTTTTTCACACCAATTCTATGTTATCAGGGAATTTCTTATCTTTATGTCTCGAGAATCATCATTGGAATTTGTAGTGGGCTTTCCTATCCGTCGATTAATGCTGTTTATGATAAATGGTGTCCACCTTATGAGGTATTAGCTTAAACTTGACTTATAGACTTATTTTAAACATCCCTAAACTTACATCCATAGCGATCAAGAGTGTCATCATTTGGGATTTCCGGAGTCTATGTTGGAACTATAATTGGGCTTTCTATGTCTGGATATATAGCAATTTGTCATCGATGGGAGTGGATATTCTATGGTTTTGGGATTGTAGCTACAATATGGGCAATCTTATGGTTCATAATAATCAAGGATTCGCCAGCAGATGACAATTGGATCTTAAAGAGTGAGAAAAAGTTTATACTAGACAGTTTGAATCCTGTTGAAAGTCCAGGAACTCCATGGAGAGCGATCCTGACATCCTTACCTGTTTATGCTATTGGAATGGCTCATTTTGCGTACTGCTGGGGATACAATACATACTTGACAATAATTCCACTGTATTTGCAGGATGTCTTAGATTATGACACAGATGGACATTATCACACAATGATAAGTTGCATTTCATATATCCTGATTACTTTATTACTGTTTCCATCAGGATATCTTGCTGACTGGCTACAAATGAACAATTATCTTTCAACAACTCAAGTCAGGAAATTCTTCAATAACATTTCCTTCTTTCTACAAATGGCTTTACTGCTTATGTCTGGATATTTTAAAGATTTAGTAGCTGTTATTGCATGCTCAAGTTTATCTGTTGGATTAGGTGCACTGGCAATGTCTGGATTTTTGGCAAATTCATTGGACATTGCACCACAATATTCAAGCATAATTCTTGGAATATCAAACAGTTTTGCTGTTCTTCCAGGAGTTTTAATGCCTTTCCTATCTGGTCACATTATTCAGACGCCTGTAAGTCTTCAATTTTAAGTTCTAATTGATTAATTCATTCTTTGACCTTTTTCAGTCTGATTCCGAGTACAAAACAATGTTCTTTATAGCAAGTGCTGTCTATCTCTTTGGATTCTTCTTCTATGCAATTTTCGCATCAGGAAAAGTTCAACCTTGGGCGATTTTGCATCGTCAGCCGTCTATCAGTCTAGAAATTCTCGAAAGTGATGTAAAAAGTCAGAATGTGTCTCGAGAAAATTCTAAGTATAGAAAATAAGAATGAGTGCTGCATGACTTTGTGTGAAATACGGACGGAGTAATTTTATATAGGAAGACCATCTGCTGTAATTTTGTCATGACAATGTTCATTTATGTTCTGGTCATCAAAATAAATAGTCTGGATTGACATACATTGAAATGTTGTCCACACTGCTGCAATACTAAGATAGTTTACATAGACTTAAGGATTCTTGATAACCATTTTCAATAAGGTTCCACTTAGCAAAGCGATGACACTTAGTTCTTAATAAACTATCCAATTAACAGCCGTGTAGACAACATTCCAATGTGTGCAAATCAAGCATGTCTGTGTTAACAACACTGGATTTATGTATGCAAACCAGATTTTTCAGTTAATTATGCACATATTGCCGTATTCACATTTATTTTTATACCTTTTTGAATATATTTAAAGAGTTCAATGTTTCCGAAACTGCTGATGCTTCCATTCTATTCTTACATTTGTAAAGTTGTTCTGAACAGACATTTTAGAGAAATAAAAGTTTTAAAGCATTCACTTTGGACTGATTTTGATCTATTCTTGTGATTTTTTGGTGAGCTGAAGTGGCTCGGTGACGGAATGGTTTAGTACTTCGGTACCTAGTTATTGCAATACTGACACAGCGATCATGGGTTCGAGTCTCGGAATGGGAAAATTTTCACTTGTCCTTTTTCGAATCATATGTACTGGAAATGAGGCTCACAGCCTTCCTTTGTAGGCTTCAGGCAGAAATGTCATCAGAGTAATGGTTCGGATCCCACTATAGACTGTAGCTCTAGGTTTGAGCGGGAGGTCTGGTCTGGCGAACCCCCTCTCTTTAAACTATCATTAGCCTTGTGATTGATTATTAAGACTCTATTTTTCAGGGTTACAATATAGTCTTCAATCTAGATTAGTTTCTTCTAAGCTTGTATGTTAATCGGTTTCTAGGGCAACCTTGATGGACGCTGCATAGAACAATTCTCAATGTTTTGAAGTTTCTAAATATAAGTATCAATTATTAAGGTACTCGAATAATTGATAACTACATTAATGATATGAGAAAGCTTCAAATTAAAACCTTACAATAATGAATGCATTTATAATCTCATTTTATAGTACTACAAAGATACAAAAGTTCTTATCAATGCTTGTCATTCAGTATGATACTAATTGTTTATTGCTACTTGTCATGGGCACACTCAAGTTGTCAAAATATTCAAACGCTCATTCAGTATTATCGCGGCCTTTGGGGAGCTACAAGCAATTCAAGTTGCTGTTTATTATTTCTTTATCTCACATGTTGGAAGTGCCGTAGTCACGTGATTCTATTTAATTACCAAACATTGACAAACAAAAAAATTATAAACCATCTGTGACTTGACAAAACAGGCAGCTAATCTTATCAATTAATTTTGTAATCAAAAGAAAATAATCATGAGTGACTTGTAAGTGCCGAAGTGTTCTCAAAATTTAGTTCCAAATCTTATCAAATATTTTATTTTGTTGTTATTTTAGGGTTGACCCAACACCTTTCTATTTAAAGAAACGATATCTGATAATATTCTTGATTTTTATTGGCTACATAAATTTGTATACAATGCGTGTCAACATGAGCGTTGCCATAGTAGCACTGACTCAAAATCGAACAATCATTGGCGTGGATGGAACGAAAAGTTATGAGCAGCATTTTGATTGGTCTTCACAACAAAAGGGTTTTGCACTTGGTGCATTCTTTTATGGATATATTATGACACAGTTTGCTGGTGGAGTTTTGGCGACAAAATTTGGCGGTCAATGGGTGAGGATATATAGAGTCATTGGGTATAGAAAAATGTGTAAATGACGTCTTCAAGATTTTGATTTTGAATCACATTTAATTTTTAATCAATCATGTCATTTTTGATCATTCTTAGGTTTTTGGACTAGGAATTTTCGGAACTGCTGTCATGACTCTATTCACACCTCTTATGACTTACCAAGGAATAACATACCTCATCATATCTCGAGTTATTCAAGGAGTTTTCAGTGGAATGGCTTTTCCAGCTGTTAATGCTGTCTATGCAGTTTGGTCACCTCCACTGGAAGTAAGTTGTTATTAATATTTGAGTCACAACATTTTTATCTAAAATCTCAATTTTTATTCGTAGAGATCACGAAGCGGTAAATAATTAATGAAATTCAGGCACGAACCTCTAATTTGTAACATTATTTGCAGCAAGTTATGGAATTTCTGGAATCTATGTAGGCACAATTATTGCTAATCTTCTATCAGGTTGGTTAGGTGACAATTATGGATGGGAATGGATATTTTATGTCTTTGGAGCAGCAACAATTGTTTGGAATGTATTATGGTTCCTCCTCGTTCATTCTAGTCCTGAGCATGATCCATGGATTACAGAAGGTGAAAAAAAGTTCATATCTGAAAGTTTAAAGAATCAAAGTGGAATGAAAAATGTCGTGAAGCCTCCATGGAAGGCAATCTTCACATCATATCGTGTCTATGCTATAGCTATTGCTCATTTCTCATACAATTGGGGTTACTATACTTTATTGACTCAACTCCCCATGTACATGCGAGATATTCTCAAAAATGATCTCACAAAAAGTGGAATACTTAGTGCTGTGCCTTACATCGTACAAACAATATTGATATTTATTACTGGATATTTTGCAGACTGGCTTTTAGTGAAGAAAATTTTAACAGTCACACAAGTAAGGAAATATTTCAACAATATAGCATTGCTTGGTCAGATGACATTCCTACTCATAGCTGCATTTTTGACAAACACATCTGCGATTATTGTTTGTATTTCGTTATCTGTTGGATTAGGAGCACTTGCCATGTCTGGATATTTGCCAAATACTATTGATATTGCTCCTCAATTTGGAAGTATCATACTTGGCTTGAGCAATACATTTGCTACGATTCCTGGACTTGTGTCACCTGTTCTTTCGGGATTTATTGCTGTCACACCGGTGAGTAGTTTGATGTCTATAGTTCCTCTTTGTAACACAAGCTCTGGTCTATGAACTCTTAAATGCACACTTAATACTGATTAATACAGATTAGAAGTCAGTTTGATCAGTTCCAACTCTTTGGATTAAATACTTATTAAGCTTAATTCTCAATTCAGAGTGCCGATGAATACCGAATAATATTCTACATCACATGCGGAATCTACATAGTAGGAGCTGTAGTTTATGGAATTTTTGCGACAGCGAAAGTTCAACCTTGGGCTTTGACTGAACATAGTTCGACAGAATCAACAACACGCAATGATAAAGAGACTAAGAATGTGTGATAATAGAGTTACTTTTAAGGCAGTTGGATATTAATTAATTGATAGTTTCGTTATTTTTTAACTTAATAAAATAATCTAGAAGCAAAACTAGTAAGCTTTGGAAATCTATACCTTAAATTTTGATTGTCAACAACTTTAAATTCTGATTTTTTTTGTAATTTAAAATTTTCTAGCTTCACATTCTTAAAAACATCAATTGATGCATATCAAGAACCTTATGACGTGCAATAAGTAAATTCTCTATGAGCAAGTAGATAAGACATTTGAAGTGCCGATAAATCCTATTTGTGTACAAATTCTTTCTTCGAAGTGATTGAATCTGAAAATTATCTTCAAGACATAAATTAGCTTTCCTATCTTTACGATTCACTGTATTACCTCGCTTTATATTCCGAGTTCAATAATGATTACCCATTTAGTATCAACACTGTGCATATTGTGAACTGAACTAATTTGAGGAACTAAGATGGAAAATAAATTTGAAAGTGAAAGTTTCATAGGAAGAGATTTGTAAGTTTTATAGATCTATGCTGTCTTTTTTTTGTGCAATCAAGTTCCTTTCTAGATCCAGGAAACCTTTACCATTTTATAAGAAAAAGCGTTACCTGATTGTCTTCCTGATTTTCTTTGGATACTTCAACCTTTATACAAATCGAGTCAATCTTAGTGTCGCAATCGTTGCCATGACTGAAAATCGAACAATACAGCATGAAGATGGATCAGTCAGCTATGAAAAATATTTCGATTGGAATTCAAAGGAAAAAGGTTTTGCTCTTGGTGCTTTCTTTTATGGATACGTCACGACTCATATTTTGGGAGGGATTCTAGCTACAAAATATGGTGGACATTTGGTAAGATATTAGGCTTAGGAGTCGTTCACTTATGACGTCCATCAAAAAACTTGATTTTTAGACCCCCCCCCCCCTCTGTCACAAAAATTCTATAGAAAAAAATTTCTATTGTTTGAACTGTCACAAAATCCTAGACCCCCCCCCCCCCCCCCCCCCCCCCTTATTTCTTATTTAAAGCTAATTGGTGGTTATTTAATTCTCAGATCTTCAATTTCGGACTGTTTGGAGCTGCAATATTTTCAGCATTAGCTCCATACATGGCTCGACATGGAATTGAATATTTAATCGCAATTAGAATAATTTTGGGTATATCCAGTGGATTTTCATTTTCGTCTGCAAATGATGTTCTTAGCAGGTGGATTCCTTTAGCGGAAGTAAGTTTGAATTTACTTATGTTGGAAGTGCCAATAAAAAATATTGAGATTCTCTTTTTTTTTATGTTTTAGAGGTCTAGAAGTGGTAAGTTTGAATTGATTCTAAATATTAACTTTATGTCCTTGATTTGACTCCTGCCTGACAGTAAAGGATGGAAGGCAAGAGCCTTTAAGAATTTTTCTAAACTCTCAATTTTAATTCACAGCAAGCTTCACAACAGCTGGCATAAATTTTGGAACATTCATGGCAAATTTTGTTTCCGGATACATCAGCATCAGTTTAGGTTGGGAATGGATCTTCTACACATTTTCTATAACAACAATAATTTGGTGCATTATTTGGTTTTTTACTGTTCATCGTTCGCCAGAGACTGATACATGGATTACAGCAACAGAGAAGCAATTCATCATCAATAGCTTAGCAGATAAGAATGGAGAAAAAGCAGTGACGAAGCCTCCATGGAAATCACTTTTGACTTCGCTTCCTCTTTGGGCTATTATTGTGGCTCATTCTTCTTATACTTGGGGCTTCTTTACTATGATGACACAGCTTCCATCGTACATGGATGAAGTTTTACATTTTAATCTTAAAAACAGTGCAGTGATCAGCTCATTGCCATACTTGGCATTCACATTGGTTGCTTTCTCTTCTGGCTTTCTAGCTGATTGGATTTTTAAGAAGAACTTCCTTACAGTCACTCAAATTAGGAAGTATTTCAATAATTTTGCACTTCTTTGTCAAATGACATTCCTTCTTATTGCTGCATTCAGCACAGACAAAACTATTATTGTGATCTGTATCATCTTGTCTGTTGGACTTGGAGGATTCATAACATCAGGAATTTTTGCCAATACTCTCGACATTGCTCCTCAATTTTCAAGTATCATTTATGGAATTTCTTCAACTTTTGCTGTGATTCCTGGAATGGTTTCACCTCCATTGTCTGGGTTTATTGCTGTTACGCCGGTAAGTATTGATTTGGGGATGTGAGATCTTTAAACATTGGATTTTATTGGACTGTTGCTAATGTTTATCTATTTCTATATGTTCCTTAAAAGAATGCTAGCGAATATCAAATAATATTTCTGATAGCATGTCTGATTTACTTATTCGGAACTGTATTTTATGGAATTTTCGCATCTGGAGATGTGCAGCAATGGGCTTTAACAAAATCTAATTCGGAAGATGAACAAATCAAATTGGAAACAGCTGAAAGCTTTAAAGAACGGAATAAAAAATAAAATTGTGTATAATTTAAGCTAATTGAGCAATTATAAAGCACTAATCGAATATTTTTAATTGCAATAAAGTCTTTGCTTTAAACTGGATTGTTCTGGTTTCAATCACATGTGATTTTTTGCTTATTATAGTCTTTACAAAATGCTTATATTTATCAATTGCATAACGTACAATCCATTAGGGGCTGTTCACTTATTACGTTCGAATTTAAGGGTGGGGGGGGGGTTGAAAAATTGTAACAAAATGTAACATAGGGAGGGGGGGGGGGGGGGGGTGTATCAATTCACACCAAAAACATTTTTTTTAAATTTTCCACCTTTTAATGAAAATTTAAATGTGCTTAATAACTACCTATAAAAAATTATCAAAATAAAATAAATTATGAACGTTTAGGGGGGGGGGGGGGGGGTTGTGAGTTGTAACAAATTGTAACAAGGGACAAGGGGGGGGGGGGGGGGGTTTAAAAAGTCGTTTTTTTGCGTAACGTAATAAGTGAACGGCCTCTTACTGTGAGTAATGAGACAAATTGCAATAAATTCACAGTTGCCAGTTGCACAGTTCAGTCCACTTTTGTTTATTTTAATTCCTGAAATTAAAGAAAAATTTTCAATGCAGTTGACTTTGAATTTTCGCACAAAAAAAATTCTTCATTCAATTAAAAAAGTTTCGTCAAATCATTAAGATGGCAGAAATGTACGTACATCAGTTGGAACTTACACGTTTTTAGCCTATAACTTATTCTCAATAAGCAACTGAATATCAGGAACATCTGCTGATCGATTAAATCTCCTTTAAATTCCAGATATAGTGATTCAACACCATTTTACTTGCGAAAGCGTTATCTGATCGTGTTCCTGGTATTTTGGGGATACTTTAACATTTTTGCTAATAGCGTGAACATGAGTGTTGGAATTGTGGCAATGACAGATGAGACAAACATTACAAAAGAAGACGGATCAATAGAAACGATTTCAGGTTTTAAGTGGACTCAGGCAGAAAAAGGAATTGCTCTAGGTTCGTACTTTTATGGATATGTGACAACACAAGCTCTGGGTGGAATTTTGGCAACAAAGTATGGCGGATTTTTGGTGAGGATTAAGGCTGAGATTCAAAAAATAAAGGATTAATGAACTGATTTTTGTCTTAGATTTTCAATATTGGTATCTTTGTAACTGGACTTTTGGCAATGTTAACTCCATTGGTGTGCAAATATGGCATTGGATTTTTAATTGCTATTAGAGTCGTTATTGGGATCTTCAGTGGATTGTCATTTACTTCAGCTTATGATGTTTTATCGAGGTGGATCCCCCCGACAGAGGTGAGTGACTTGCTGATTTTTGAGATTTGCCAATAGTTTGTGGACTGATGTATTTATCAAATCTTATTTTTTGCTTCTTTCCAGAGATCACGTAGCGGTAAGTTCAAGTTTAGCTAATCTTCGATTTTCTTATTAATTAAGCTCTATCTCTGCAAGGATTCACAGCCTTAATAATATTTTTTACAGAGGTCGAAGCGAGCATAGCGAAGCGAGTTTTTAGCGAGCTCGCTTCGCTAAAAATTCAACTTGCTAAAGTTGACCTGTAGCGAGATTTTTTTTTTTCTTTTCGCCTTAGCGAACTATAGCGAACTCAATTTTATTTTTTTCGCTTTAGCGAACTATTAGCGAACTTAATTTTTCAAAGTTCGCTATAGCGAACTATTGGCGAACTAGAAAAATTTTTTTGGCTTCATATTAAGAGATGTCTGATTGCGTTTGTGAAGTATGTAATTTCATACAAAATTGCAAAAAATTATAGTTCGCCAATAGTTCGCTATAGCGAACTTTGAAAAATTAAGTTCGCTAATAGTTCGCTAAAGCGAAAAAAATAAAATTGAGTTCGCTATGGTTCGCTAAGGCGAATAGAAAAAAATTTTTCTCGCTACAGTTCGACTTTGGCAAGTTGAATTTTTAGCGAAGCGAACTTGGCGAACCAAGTTCGCTTCGACCTCTGATTTTTTATACCTCCCATTTAGTAAGCTTCGTTATGGCTGGAATCAACATTGGTAACTTCATGGCAAACTTCGCTTCTGGATACATCACAGTACATTTCGGATGGTCATGGATTTTCTATTTGTTTGGAATTATAGCACTCATTTGGAGTGTCGTCTGGTTCCTTGTTGCTCGTCAACCGCCTCAACATGACAAGTGGATAACAGAAGCGGAAAGAGAGTACATCACTGAAAGTTTAAAGGAAGAAAATGGACAAGAAAAGCTTAAAACTCCATGGAAAGCAATTGCAAAGTCAGTTCCTTGCTATGCTATTTTTGCTGCTGATGCTGCATTTTCTTGGGGATTCTTTACACTTGTCACACAATTACCTCAATATATGGACGAAGTTTTGGGTTTCAGTCTACAAAATAGTGCAACAATCAGCTCATTCCCGTACTTACTTTATCCATTTATTGCAATGTCTGCTGGATTTTTAGCTGATTGGTTCCTCAAGAAGAAAATCCTCAATGTTACTCAAGTCCGAAAGTATTTCAATAGCTTTGCATTCTTATGTCAAATGTTGTTCCTGTTTATTGTCGCATTTGTGTCGGACAAAACAACTATCGTTGTGTGCATCATATTATCTGTTGGAGCTGGAGCTATAGCTGCATCTGGTTATCTTGCAAATCCACTTGATATTGCATCGCAATTTTCAAGCATCATTTATGGAATATCCTCAACATTTTCTGTTTTGACTGGAGTGATTTCGCCAACACTTACTGGATTTATTACGACAACACCGGTAAGGGATATACTTTTTGGAACTTATCAGGATGTATATTAAGTGTTTAATTATTTTTTTCAGGATGCTGCCTCTTACCGAATTGTGTTCCTGATAGCATGTGCTATTTATCTAATTGGAACTATTATTTATGCTACATTTGCATCAGGAGAAATTCAGCCATGGGCAGTTGCGGAACCAGTCAAAACTGTAGAAGTGGAAGTCAAGAAGTAATATTGATGCTTGAAAACTCATCCAATAATACTCAAAATCTATGGAACCAATAATTTAGGTTTAATTTCTGTGAATTAATAAATTGTCAGTCGAATTTTAATTAAAATTTTTTAGTGCTTAATTTTTATTACAAAAACTTGAAATTCAAGGAAAATTATAAAATATGAATTATCTGTCTTGCGTTTCATATTCAGCTGTTCCACTTTATTCACAAACAAATTGCAGCTTGAGACTTATTGATAAGAAAATTGTCATTTAATCACGCAAGATTTGGGAACATAAATTTTATTGATCTTAATGATATTCATTAAGCAGATTTTTTGGAAATTTGATAAGAACGTCAAGTGCCACTTAAATGAGCTACAATTAAACCTTTCTTCGAACAGTGAATATTGATTTAAATCGCTGCTTAAAATTTTAAGCTAATATCTTTATAACTGACAATTTTACTCCTAGTGCCTTACTATATAAAAACGATGCAATAATGCTTTTCAATTCAGTATCAATACTTTCTGGACTCTGAATAAGGCTGAGAATAAAGAAAATCTACGAGAATTAAAATGACTGAAATGTAAGTGCTTTCTAGTCTGACTAGTTTGCAAAAGGTAAATTCAAATTTTAATTATTCAACAGAAAAGAGAATCCAATTAAATTCTACTTGAGGAAGCGATACTTGATTGTCTTTCTAATATTCCTTGGATATTTCAATCTGTACACGAATCGAGTGAACCTGAGTGTCGCAATTGTTGCCATGACCGAAAATCATACGATTCATAATGAGGACGGATCAATTAGCTTCCATAAGGATTTTGACCTTAATTCTAAGGAAAAGGGCTTTGCACTTGGTGCCTTCTATTATGGATATATTACTACACATTTTCTTGGTGGTGTTTTGGCTAAAAAATATGGTGGACATTTGGTATGCATTAATATATTCATGCTTAGTTCGACATTAATAAAAAATAATTTTAAAAAGATATTCAACTTTGGACTTTTTGGAACTGCATTATTTTCAATGATCACACCATTTATGAGCTATCATGGAGTCGGGTATTTAATTGCTGTTAGAGTTATAGTTGGAATATGCAGTGGCTTTTCTTTTGCAGCTGCAAATGAAGTTTTAAGCAAATGGATTCCACCATCTGAAGTGAGTTTTTATACTCAAAATGTGTAAAATTACAAAATTTTATTTTTTTAATTTGATTTTTTTAGAGATCCAGAAGTGGTAAGTTTAGCATGTCCAGTATAAGTCATTAAAAATTATAAATGTTTATTGCTTGTTTAGCTGGATACATAGTTGCGGGGATGAATGCTGGAACATTCGTAGCAAATTTAATATCCGGATATATAAGCGATATTTTTGGCTGGGAATGGATATTTTATTTGTTTGGAATCGTATCACTTATCTGGAGTGTCTTATGGTTCACAATTGTTTATCGCTCACCTGAACAGGATCCATGGATTACAAAAGAAGAGAAACAATTTATTTGTGATAGTCTAGCTGAACATGGCGGTGAACAAGCTATACAAATCACAAAAACACCATGGAAGAAAATTTTAACATCACTTCCAGTTTGGGCTATTGTTGTAGCTCAAACATCATATAACTGGGGCTTTCATACTCTTCTTACACAACTTCCATTATTTTTGGATGAAGTATTGGCTTTCAATTTAGAAGAAAGTTCAGTGATTAGTGCCGTGCCGTACCTTTTTTTAACAATTCTTGTATTTATTTCTGGATTTATTGCTGACTGGATTTTGAAGAAGAATCTCCTCTCAATTACTAAAGTACGGAAAATCTTTAACAACTCTGCCTTCATTCTTCAAATGTTGTTCCTCATGGCAGCAGCATTCTTAGTTTCTCCTACACTTGTTATAATTTGTATAATATTATCAGTTGGATTTGGAGCTCCTACTTCTTGTGGCTACACTTCAAACTTACTTGATATCGCACCACAATTTTCAAGTATAATTTCTGGCATTTCATCCACAATCGCTTCATTACCCGGAATGATATCACCACCTCTCTCAGGATTTATTGCAACAACACCAGTAAGATATGGATTAATATTTATTTATTAAGGAACTAATGTTCTACCTTTTTCACAGAGTGTAATGGAATATCGAATAATTTTTATGATAGCATGTGGAATCTATTTATTTGGAGCTGTATTTTATGGAATTTTTGCATCTGGAGATCTTCAACCTTGGGCTTTAGTAGAATCATCGGAAAAAGATAATTTCGAGAAATTTGAGCATATTATTGTGGAGAAGAGTCAAGTGAAGAGAATCGAGAATGAAGTTTAAAGTCTATGATGTTCAAATACAGTACATTTAAGTTCTGGTGATATTATAATTTATGAACTATAAGAATTATGTTTAAGAACAAAATAAATTTTAATAAAATTAAAATACCCGAAAAATCAACATGTGCACAATAAAATCAATAATATGGCAACGACCCAACGAGCCATTTCCAGTCATTTCAGTAATAATGAATCTATTTGATAAATGATTATAATCATAATTTGTTATCAAAAAAACTGACCATATCCAACCTGATATCTAATCCAATAAACCTTTATAAATAATATCAGACAGCTTTAATTCTTTTAGTCTCCATACCGTCTGCTTAGTGGATAGTAAATAATTTTTTTGAGGAATAATTTGTGAATATTTGCAGCATGACAAAAATGTGAGGTTAATTTAATAAAGTGCTTCTACTAGATGCTTGAATCTAATTTTCTATCATAGTTCAATTCCTTTCCACCAGAGAAAAAGATACCTGATTGTCTTCCTGATTTTTCTTGGCTACTTCAATCTCTACTCAAATCGAGTTAACTTAAGTGTCGCAATTGTAGCCATGACTGAAAATCGAACAATTCAAAATGAAGACGGATCAATAACCTACGAGAAGGATTTTGACTGGAACTCACAAGAAAAAGGCTTTGCACTTGGTGCTTTCTTTTATGGATATATTGCTACACATTTTATTGGTGGTGTTCTAGCCACAAAGTATGGTGGACATTTGGTAAGATTGTATTTAGCTTTTATGATTTTATAGATCATAAAAATGAATTTTCTAAGATTTTCAACTTTGGGATATTTGGAACTGCTTTGTTTACCATGATTACACCCTTTATGGCACAATTTGGAATTGAATATTTGATTGCAATTCGAGTTGTTGTAGGCATTTTCAGTGGTTTTTCTTATACATCTGCAAATGACATTTTAAGCAGATGGGTTCCTCCATCAGAAGTAAGCATGGAATCAAGCATCCAAAATTATTTTTATTCTAATTATATTTTTTCAGAGATCTCGAAGTGGTAAGTTTTAGTTCCATTGCCAAAGAATTGCATAATTTTAACATTTTTATATAGCTGGATATACACTTGCTGGAGTAAATGTTGGCACCTTCACAGCAAACTTAGCATCAGGATACTTAAGCGTATCATTAGGCTGGGAATGGATTTTCTATACTTTTGGAATCACAGCATTAATATGGAGCATCATTTGGTTCTTAATTGTTCATCGTTCACCAGAGACTGATCCATGGATGACAGCTGCTGAAAGGAAATTCATTGTTGATAGCCACGAAGGCAATAGTATTCAAAAAACAGCCATGAAAACACCATGGAAGGCGATTTTCACATCACTTCCTCTATGGGCTATTATTGTTGCACATACTTCCTATATGTGGGGCTACACTACATTAATAACTCAACTTCCTTCATACCTGGATGAAGTTTTGCATTTTAATCTTCAGAACAGCGCATTACTAAGCTCATTGCCTTACATGGTTTATACAGTTCTAGTTTTTATTGCTGGATTCTTAGCTGATTGGATTTTCAAGAGGAAGTTCTTGTCAGTCACCCAAATTCGAAAATATTTCAATAATATTTCATTTCTATGCCAAATGACGTTCCTCTTAGTTGCTGCATTCAGCTCAGACAAAACCATTATAATTGTCTGTATTGTCCTGTCAGTTGGGTTAGGAGCCTTTTCATCTTGTGGATATACTGCAAACGTTCTAGATATAGCTCCTCAATTTTCAAGTCTAATCTTTGGAATTTCATGCACGATTGCTACACTGCCAGGGATGGTTTCACCACCATTGTCAGGATACATCGCAACTACTCCGGTAAGACCTAAATTGCTTCTTATTATGTGATTTATAATTGCTAATTTTGAATAATTCCTAGAATGCCAGCGAGTATCGAATAATATTCTTGATAGCATGTGGAATTTATCTCTTTGGTGCTATATTCTATGGAATTTTTGCATCTGGAGAGATTCAATATTGGGCCTTAATGGATTCAACAAAAGAGTAGTTCCGCTTCATAAGTAACAATTAAAGGGATGAGCAGTTTACATGATAGCAGCATATCATTCCATATCTATTTTGGATAATTCGTACGCAACTTGTATCGAGACTTAATCAGAAGATAAGTTATATTAAATGATTGAAAAATAACAATTGTCTGTATTGATAAAATTGTTTACTTGCTGAGCATTGTTGTGGCTATTAAATGAAGTAGATTGTATGGCTGTTTATCAACACTTTCTTTTCGTACACAAAACAATACTTTAAACTTTATCATCTCAGATTACAGGCATTCAATTTTACATTTAAGTGCCTTGCTCATATCAAGTGTCTAAAATTGTCGTCAATAATTTTTGTTTGTATTTTACTTCTTCTTATTACCTCATTATCATTTTTTTATGAATACACAAAAAAAAACTACATCTACAGCGCTGTATCTCCATCTCCACTTAAAAATATTGAATTAATTGAATTTAATATGCGTCATGCCTTGATCCACATCTGTTATCGCCAGCATTCAAGATTATAAACCATAACAAAAGTAGTCCATTCAACTTAAATGATACAACAACAAATGAATAGCTTTAATCCACAGTGACAATAAAGTCAAAAATACATCAATTCATTTCAGTTGATTAGTAAAAGTCGATCGTATTACATGTAAAAAATTGTTAAGTGGAATTAAAAATTTAAGAAATGCCGATTGAGGTGAAAGATGATAAAGGAAATGTGATAACAGAATCGCTTCCGATTTGGAAGAAGCGACGCTATCTGCTCGTGATGCTTGTCTTTTTTGGCTTTATCAATATTTACACATTGCGGATTAACTTGAGTGTCGGAATCGTTGGTACTTGATTTTTTTTGTTGTTGAAAGTTGATTATGCAAGTGACGTAGTTTTGGGAGATGAAGCTATTGAACTTTGGAATATTTTTAAGACCAATATTTATTATGCCTTTCATCCTCTTGAAAAGTGAAAAGTTTCTATTTTGGGATTATTTTAACAATTTCCTGCATTGTATCTAATCAGCTTAAGTACATGCATCTTCAAAGATTATTTCTATCCATGACCTTAAATTGTTCTTTCCAGCTATGACTGAAAACAAATTGATTGTGCATGAAAATGGAACTGAAGAATGGTACAAAGAATTCGATTGGAATACAAAACAGCAAGGACTAGTGCTAAGTTCATTTTTCTATGGCTACATATGTACACAATTTATTGGAGGAATCATAGCTGCCAAGATTGGTGGACATATTGTAAGTGTAGGCAACTTTATTATCAGCAGTTGTTTAAAAAGTTTTAAATCATCAGATTTTAGGATTAGGAATTTTCATCACAGCTGTTTTGACTTTGTTGTCACCAATAGCAGCACGTACTGGAATAGGTGCATTTGTTGCACTTCGTGTACTTATGGGATTAGCTGAAGGATTCACATTCCCATGTATGCATCAGATTTGGTCAAAATGGGCACCACCGCTCGAGAGATCAAGAATGGCTGCAATTCAGTATGCTGGCACTTTTATTGGAATGGTTATTAGTTTGTCAACATGTGGAATTTTGGCAGATACTTATGGATGGGAGAGTGTATTCTATGTTTATGGGATTGTTGGTTGTATTTGGTATGTTTTTTGGCTAGCAATTGCCCGAGCCAGTCCAGCTAACGATAGATTCATAAGTGATGAAGAGAAAAGATATATTGAGGCATGTCTAGCACAAACCAAAAGTACCCCAACAGCTAAAAATATTCCATATAAAGATATTTTCACTTCTGCAGCTGTTTGGGCGATAGCTGCATCACATTTTGCTGAGAATTGGGGTGTCTACACTATGCTGACTCAATTACCGTTGTTCTTTAAACGTGAGTTGATTTTGACTTCTTTTATAATGCTCCAAAATTACTTAATTACCAATTTTAGACAATCTTGAGTTTGATCTTTCCGGAAGTGGCTTCATAGCAGCAGTTCCTTACCTTGTTCTTGGTATCATGCTCTTCTTAGTTGGGTATCTTGCTGACTGGTTCCAAGAGCGAAAAATTCTAACAACTTCTCAAGTTCGTCGATACTTTAACTGCCTAGCTTTTGTGTCACAAACTACTTTTATGATGCTTGCTGCTTACCAGCAAAATCGTGTGCTTATTATTGTTTTTATAACTTTTGGAGCTTCATTAGGTGAGGATTTAAAGTTTTATTGCTTGATAATTTAATTATTAATTATTTTTTATTAGGTGCATTGTCAATTTGTGGCTACGGCGTTAATCATTTAGACATAGCTCCACAATATGCATCAGTATTAATGGGAATCAGCAACACAGTTGCCACAATTCCAGGAATAATTTCTCCACTTATTGCAGGATTTATAGTCACAGAGCAAACGAATGCTAGTCAATGGAAGTGGATATTCATACTGACATCGTGTGTCTACTGCTGTGGATGTCTTATTTATTGGTTCTTTGCATCTGGAGAATTACAGCCCTGGGCAAAAGAAAAGACTGAGGAAATTGTTGAGAAAAAAATTAATGAATCAAGCAGCGAGACTGAAGTTACGAGGTTTTAGATAATTGATTGTGACTTTATTGATCCTTTAATTTTTGTTATATTTTGTATAAAAAATGACATAACTATAAATTTGCATTATTTTATGAGTTCCTTGGATCAAGACAAGCAAATAATCCTCTAAGTGGATTTCTGCGATTGACTCTTAACTGTTGATTAATCCAAGAGTAATGTGGAGTATCACAAACATCATAAAATTCATTTAATAAGAAATCAAATTCAGGACTATAAATATTTGGATGATTAATTCCAACAAACAAGTATTCTCTTACATTATTACCAATGGTTCTGATTCTTTTAAAAACTTTTTGTGGAACTGGAAATCGCTCCCAATTTTTCAAAAATAAAGTTGTCAATTGGTTCATTGCATTTGGAAGATAAAGGATATCCTCAACATAAGTAAAAGTTTCCAGATCCGAAAGAAAATCATGTCTTCTAATACTGTCTTCAAGAGCAAACCAATTATCTCTATTGAATGGTTGAAATTGTGGGAAGCAATTTAGATGATAAAATGTAGCTTTTTGTTGTGCCGCAAATGGAAAATCAGCTTTGGCAGCAAAATGTCCCCTTGCTAAATATGAACTGCTCGTAAAGTATCGTTGACGATTTAAAACTCCAATTCGTCTGTCCATTAATTCACTTACATAACTTTGCTTATAAAAATCATCGATTTTTAGCACTGGATGCGATCCTTTTTTAAAATCAATTCGTTCTGTAGTCTGTACTCGTTGTGAATAGCGAGATATTATGTGATATGTACTCATGACATTTTCAGTTTGGCCATTATAAGTAGACCATATTAAGGGAACAAACTCTGTTGCTGTTATTTGAAACCCAATTTCATATGTTCCCATATTTAGTCTGTTTGAACTCTCAGGTATCTAGAAAAGAATTCATTTTAATTGATAAAACCAATGAAATATTCAACTTATACTCACAGCCTTGCACGAAAAAAAATCATAAAAGTTGAAAATATCATGATTTTCATGATTATTATTATTATTATAGTAGAATTCTTGATTATCAATACAGGTAACAGTTATAATATTTGTAAGAGGATAAAACTTAGTAAAGTAATTACCATCTCCAGGACAAGCAAGCCTTAAATCTTTATTAATTTCGACAACGATGTCTCTTGTATGTGGTTCAAGTGTGAAAAATTCCGTGGTTCCTGCATTCAAAACTAAAGGCCATTCATCGTAGTTTAATGAACCTGACATTATAGTGTCAATTGGAATCCTACATTCTAATTGTAATGAATCTTTTGCAAAATAAATAAATAGCAACACTGTATACAAAAAAGTTTCAAATAACATGTTATTTTTAAATGTTTTCAGACTGACTGATGAGTATAAACTGAAATTAAAAAGTGAAGTTTGCATAAAGTATGAGATCATCAGTTATAAATAGGTTGAAATCCACGAAAAAATAACACAAATTGCTTAAATTCAAAGATTTTCGTTGTGAATTTCAAATATTTGAATTTTGAGAACATCCTAAACTTAAAAATAGATAAACAAATGTAGTTTAACCACATTGATTTATTTTTAAAGTTCGAGTCATTTATGAACCATCTCCTCAAATGTATGCAACACATCACATGAAATTTCATACATTAGAACTATCAAAATATTTATACACAGTTTTATTTCAGCTATAGCAATCTAAACTCCCTATTTTTATCAACATTATAAGATTACTAAATCATATCATAAGCAGTCCATTTAACTCATAGATACGTCAATAAAAAATAGGCTTTCAAGTACCACAATACTGAATTATTTAGTTTTTTATCGATCGTCAAATGTTGTACATGTGATTAAGTCAAGACATAGTTTGATTGTAGATTTAATAAATTTTTGAAAGTCTAGTAAAATAAAAGGTTAAAATGACAGTGATACTTAGAGATGATTCAGGAAAAGTGATTAAAGAATCTCTTCCGATTTGGAAAAAGCGACGTTATCACCTCGCGCTTCTCGTATTTTTTGGCTTTATCAATATTTATACTTTACGTTTCTTCCTAAATGTGGGAATTTTAGGTAATCAAATGTTTCAAACATATAACTTGTTATATTTCAAAATTCTGGGGGGTTTGAGGGGTTCAAAAAATTTGCTAAATAAGGAGGTGATAAGCATAAATTGAACTGTAACATAAATACAACAGCTAAGTTCCAAATTTATTAAAAATTTGATTTATTTTCCGAAATAAAATTTTAGAAATGGTCAAGGAAGAGCATAAAGATTGGGATGAAGTAAAAAAAGGCATCATTCTAACTTCGTACTACTATGGTCATCTTTTTACTCAAATCGCTGGAGGCATGATGGTGTCAAAAATTCCTGATTTTATTGTCAGTAAAGCAACAAATTTTTATAAGTTTGGAATGTTTTCAAGAAATTAAATTTGAATTTTTTTAAAGGTTTTTGGATCTGGAGTCTTGCTGACGTCTATTCTTACTTTAGTTTCTCCTGTATCACTAAAAGCAAATTTTGAAACGTTTGTTACATTGCGCGTAATAATGGGATTAATTGAAGGATATACAATGCCAAGCATGTATCAAATTTGGTCAAAATGGGCTCCACCATTCGAAAGAACAAGAATGTGTGGATTGCAATATGCTGGACATTATATAGGAATTATGATGTCAATGTGTACTTGTGGTATTATTGCTGATTCATTTGGATGGCAAACTGTTTTTTATATTTATGGAGGTATTGCATGTTTATGGTCAGTCATTTGGTTAGGACTTGTTCGTGGAAGTCCTGACAATGATTATTTTATAAGCGATGAAGAGAAGGAATACATCGCAGCAAGTTTGACAGACATTGAAGAACTGCCAAAACAGAAAAGTTTTCCATTTAAAGCAATTCTCACATCTGGTCCATTTTGGGCTATTGTTGTAGCACATTTTGCTGAAAATTGGGGACTTTTTACAATGCTGACACAATTGCCATCATTTTTGAAAGGTAATATTATCTTTAACTTAGTAATTATGGAATTCATTGGATTTTTAATACATTTATAGATTACAATGACTATTCTATCTCTGATACTGGTTTTGTGGCTTCAATTCCATATCTTGTGTTTGGTGTTGCACTTCTACTAGCTGGCATTCCAACAGATTATCTTCAAGAAAAAGAAACACTCACAACTACTCAAATTCGAAGGTTTTTTAGCTGCTTTGCTTTTTTGGCACAAGGAATTTTTATTATGACTGCTGCATATATGCCTAATTCAATGGTCTTAATAGCTTTTATATCTCTAGGAGCTGGATTTGGTAATAAATATTTAACAGCATTAAATTTCATGCAACTCTTATAAAATTAATTTTTATAGGAGCACTTTCGACTTGTGGATACGCTTTAAACCACTTAGATATAGCTCCACAATATGCATCTTTTATTAAAGGAATAAGCAATGCAATTGGAACATTACCAGCAATTTTTGCACCCATGACTGCAAGCTTTCTAGTTAAAGATAAAAAGAATCTAAGTCAATGGAAAAATGTGTTCATAATAACAGCACATATTTATTTTGCTGGATGCATTATTTATTGGTTTTTTGCATCTGGAGAGATTCAACCTTGGGCAAAAGAAGTAGTCCAAGAAAATATTGAAGTATCAACTGTAAGCAAATCTGGAAAAAAGTCAACAAAAGAAAATGCGAAAAAGCCTAGAAATAAAAATGAAAATGACGTGGAAAAGGTTGAACGACAAGCTCCTAAAATTCGTAAGGCTGGCAAAAAGAAATCAAAATACAGACAAATTACAACGAACGAGACGAAGCTATCAAAATTTTATGATAGAGTTACGACTTATTTTTCTAAGATTTTCAAATTTTAATTTTGTTCATAATTAATTTCTTGGCTTTAATAAAGCATTTGAGGGTCGTTTGTAAATTATGTCATAATTTTTGGGTGGGGGGGTATGAGTTAAAATCTTCTTCTTTTTCATTTTGAGAGGGTCTCGTTTTTTGCGTGACGTATTTTGCAAACAACCCCTTTTGAGTATTACTATTAGGGGCCGTTCACTTATGACGTCCGACATTTAGGGGGGGGGGGGGGGGGGGGTCTAGGATTTTGTTACAGTTCAAACAATGGAAATTGTTTTCTATAGAATTTTTGTGACAGAGAGAGGGAGGGGGGCCTAAAAATCAGTTTTTTTGATGGATGTCATATGTGAACGACCCCAAATCAGATTATTATTGAAAAATTAAAAATAGTAAGACTACTCCTTGAAGTTATACAACAGACACTATACCAAATCAAAAAGATTTGATTAGATTAAATTAAATCTGTTGGTTTATTCTTTAGGTCTATAAAATTGTAAACCAGATAAAAGTTAAGATGTCCACAAATAAGCACCTTGCTTGATAACTGTTTTTATCTAAGTTATGAGAATTAAAACACAAATCAAAATCATCCTACTTAATTTAGTGATAACTTTAAAATCAGATAACGAATTGCGTGAAGTTGCAACATTGTAATTTCAGTTTTAAAGATAGTGCTGGCCGAAGTGCACATAACAAGCATTTAAAATGACAGATACAGAAGTGACACTTGATGATGAACTTCTGTTAGAAGACACGACTCCTTTTTGGAAAAAGAGACGAAATCATCTTGCACTTCTCGTATTTATTGGCTTCGTGATTATCTACACATTAAGGTTTCTTCTTAGTGTAGGAATTATTGGTGCGTACCCAAAAAATAAAATATACAAATTTTTTATTTATTTAAAATTTTCAAATTTTTTTCCAACAGCCATGCTTGAAGATACTGAGATAGATTGGGGTTCATTTCAGACTGGTTTAATTTTAGGTTCATTTTTCTATGAATATATAGCAACTCAAATAATTGGAGGAGTTGCTATCGCATTCCTACCTGATTACCTTGTAAACCTTTAAAATAATTTACTAGCGACTAATCTAAAAAGACTTTAATTTTAGGTACTTGGAATAGGAATCTTGATAACGTCAGTATTAACAATAGCTTCGCCAGTTATTGTGACTGCAAGTTTCTTAGGATTCTTTGCTCTTCGTGTAATTATTGGCTTAGTTGAAGGATTTGCTTTGCCTAGCATGAATAATATTTGGACACATTGGGCTCCACCTTTGGAACGTACACGCCTGATTGGAGTTCAACATGCTGGAAAATACATCGGCACAGTTCTTTCACTTTGTACGTGTGGTATTATAGCCATCAATTATGAATGGAGCACTGTATTTTATATTTACGGAGGTCTAGGCTGTCTTTGGGCTATCGTGTGGATTGTACTTGTTCGTGGAAGTCCTGAAAAGGATTGGTTTATTAGTGATGAAGAAAAACATTTTATTGAGTCAACGTTGCCCAAAAATGATCCAACTAAGAAGACAAAGATTCCAATGAAAGCAATTCTTACATCTATGCCTGTATGGGCTATAATTGTTGCACATTTCACAGAAAACTGGGGACTATTTACTATGCTGACACAATTGCCTTTGTTTTTACATCGTGAGATTTTTCTTTATCAGGAACTCCATCATAAATGATGTTAAAGTTTGGTTGATATCATTTGTGATTGAACCCTTCCTTAAAGCCATTTCTATAATTTTTCTTATCCTACAGATGAATTTGAATTTCCAATCACTCAATCTGGATATGTATCAGCAATTCCTTACCTTGTCTTTGGTTTAACACTTTTTATCGCTGGATTCCTTGCTGACTTTTTTCAAGAGCGAAAAATGTTATCAACTTCTCAAGTTCGTCGATATTTCAGTTGTATATCATTCTTATCACAAGGCATTTTTATGCTTTTCGTAGCTTATGTGGCCAATGCATTTTTGGTCATGACGTTCATATCTTTTGGAGCTGCTCTAGGTAAGCTTTTATTCCAAAAATTATGAAACAGTTTACATGTCAAACGAATGTTTAACTACTTAGGAGCACTTTCTACCTGTGGCTACGCAATGAATCATTTGGATATAGCACCACAATTTTCATCATTTGTAAGAGGAATCAGCAGTACAATAGGTACGATTCCAGGTATTGTTGCACCTTTAGTTGCAGGCTTGATTGTAAATATTCCAGCAGCTAAAGATCAACATCCAACAACTACAAAAGAAATTCTAATAGAACCAGAAAATGACGATCCAAAATATGAAGATGCAGTAATTCAGCATGTAAATCAATGGAAGAATGTCTTTATAGTTACGGCACACGTTTATTTTCTCGGATGTATTTTTTACTGGTTCTATTCATCAGGAGAAGTACAGCCATGGGCAATATTACCAGAAGATGCAACTGGAATCAGTAATGTGACAGACATTGAAAGTAATAAAGCAGATACAGAAGAAAATATTGAGAGACCAGCTAGAAGAAGAAACAAAAATGGTCAATCAAAAAAAGGAGCTAAACAAGATAGCTTAAAACAGCCGAATGTACACAAAAGTTCAACTAAAAATAGTCACAAAAGTCCAGCTAGATCCAAAGATAACAGAAAAAATAAAATCAAAAACGACACAAGCAGTGAAGCCTTAAAAATTGGGGCTAGATTACTTAAAATGTACGATCGATTTGCAAATTATTTGTCAAGGATGTTTAGATATTAACTTACCAAAGAGGCTCATGAATAATAAAGTACCAAAAATTCTCACAATGAAAATGGGTTGCTTGCTGTTGCAGCATCAATTAAAAATCTATAGTGACTTCCGACGTAAGTGAAACATTAGAAAAATTTAAATAAAACAAAATTGCAGTCACCAGAAGTTCAAAATAATCCAACAAGATCACCAAAAACACGAGCAGAAGTTAAACAAAAACAAAAGCGTGCAAAAACGGGTTTTGTATTAATGAACTGAATAAGCAGTAGATACAAAATTAGCATGTGACGGTGAAGAGCCTTTGCCAAAAATAAACAAAAATTTTTTATCTAAAAAATATTCAATAATACCGGTGTCCACATGTCCACATGTTATGCCAATTTAATTTATTAAGTCTTAATTTGTATTTGCAAAAAATTGGCAGTGCAATGTTCTAACTTGATCTTTCATATTTTGAATAAATTCACATAAAAAAAACATTGTTTCGGTGTCTAGCTTCAATTCTTGATTACTATAGACATTCTGACAATCTCAAGTTCATTATCAAGGTCAAATCATTTTCATGGAGATTTTTTTATTGCATAATTTATTTGTGTGATTTATGAGGGCAAATAACGAAGAGATAATGCGAGATTTGGGATTTTCTTTGTGTGACGTTAATGTTAATCTAGAATAATTTTGCTTTTGACGTAAATTTTTTGGTTTATTCTCGATTTTTAATTTGACACCTGAGTTGACCTCATCTCGGCTATTTGTTGGATGATTTTTGTGAAATTAAATTTATTACTTTTAATGCGGATGGGTTTGAAAAATAGATTTTATAAAGACAATTAATTAAGGATTTCACTTAAATTTGACATATTTGAATTTATAGGATTGGATATGATTTTTTAAAATTTCTTATTTTGGCTTCCTTTGCAATGTGGATAATAAAAAATCATTTAAAGGTGTAATGAACTTAGTTCCACCTAGTCAAGTGAAAGCCAAACTATTCTTTTGAAAATTAAAAAACGCGTTTCGGATTTTGATTTTTTTTTTCATCAAATTACATTTTGACTTATTGTCATCAAGTCAGAAATTATCAATCCAAAGAACTAAGCCAATCAACGATTCTTTCTACGTTGATGATGAAGAAGCCACGCAGCAAACTCTACAGATATGTGGCTTATATAACCAGCACGATTTTTGAAGTTGTTATTAAACTTCCCACGTAACCAAAATCCCATAGATGGATTATACATGTATTACGCGAATATATTCCATGTATAGTCCACGCGTATCATCCATGGATGATACATGGAACGATATTGTCCTATGGAGATGGATGATTTCATGGACGATTTGGGGACGTTCCATGTATAGTACATTAGGTAATACAAATGTACTACTTTATGTATTTTCAATGGATTGATGAACCTGAAAAAAAAATTGCTTAAATTTTATTAATTAATTCATATTATTATATATATATATTCTTTACACTATTTACTTTATTAATTTAAAAATTTACATAAAGTTATGCTAACAACAATCATAAATTAAACTACAAAAAAACATAGCTGGATTTCTAAAAATAGAGAAATTAAAAAATTATTAAAATCCTGAAAATTAAAACTAAATGAATATGAAAATTCTTACAATACCTATAAATAATGAAAGGAAAAGAGAACGATAATTAAATAATTTTAAGATGTCTAAATCATCTCAAATTTTTGTAAATTTTCTATATTAAAAACTCATTTTTTACTTACCTTAAACATAACTTTACGACTTATTTCACATTCTTTACCATTTTCCGTCAATTTATCACCATTTAAACATTAAATTACATTATTTAAATTAATTTTTCACTTCATATTAATTTTTCTAAAACACATTTAACAATGTAAACAAACAAGAAAAAATACCAAAATGTTTTTAATTGTCCGAATGACCAGATTTTTAAAATATTACATAGATGTATTACACATGGACTATACATGGAAGAACCATTTATGTAGTACAAAAGTAATACACAATGTACTATTTTGTGGAAAGTACATAAATCTTCCATCGATGTCAATGGAAAATGTATGGAATACTTTGGTTACGTGGGTTTAATGCACTGTTTTGTTATCAAACCTGATCAAACCAACTTAAAATCAAGAAATTTTGAAAAAAGAACAACTTTACCAGTTTTACTGAATAATTGCGAGAGATAATGTTGTTTTTAAATGGTTCTTGTTCTAGAAAAATAATCTAGAATCCGGGACGAAAATAAACTTTTGATTTGACCGTTGATTCTTTTTAAAGCAAAGAACTAAAATGCCTAAGGCTATTTCTATCAAATAAGCTATTTTCAGCCACTAGATGCTGTTGATATCCAACCAGATTATTATTATTAGCAACACAAGACGATGTTAAAGGAAAATATTTAAATTTTCTAGGAAAAGATAAGCAACAACACCCAAAACTGAAATAAAATTGCCATAAAATAAAGCAGTCATGATTATTTAATATGCATTTAAATGTGTCTTTCATATAACCTAAGTCTATATCAGCATTGATGCAATAAAATTAAAAAATTCGGATTTTGTGTCACTAGCACAAGCTGAAAATCAAGATATAACTTTTGAAGATCTGAAAAAAAATCAGATTTTTTTTTATGAATTTAACGCATCAATAAAAAAAATTCTAAAATAATTAAATAAGTTTTTATTCTCATAAGCCCGCTAATCATCCTTGTCACAGTTTTAAAGTCGAAAGTTCTTGAATTCTTGATTCGTCCATCCGCTTGTCGTTCGATCGATCGAAGCTACGAGCAAAAAGTCACGTACACAACATTTTTTTTTAAATAAAATTTTTCAGCCTAAGTCCAACCGAAAATACAAAAATTATATATGAAAAAAAATAGTAAGAAAAGCGATTATACAATCTCTCGTATGATTATGGAGTCGCTTTTAATGGAAAAAAGTGAATTATCATTATCTCATAATGATGACATTTGAACACTCGGGCCAAATTTTTATGTTCAATGCTGCACGTGTATGAGGGTCATGGAATGGAAGTTGTTTTTCGAATCTAGAAGTTTTTATGTTGCTATACAAGCGGTCATGGGTATAGAAGCGGTCGAGATTATATGAAAGCTTCTAGAACATGGAGAATATTCTGAAACTGATCATTCGACTTAATGGAGAATATTGAGTCTAATACATAGCATGATATAAATTTATAGGATTTTTAATGAAGAACTACGGACATTTACATAGATTTGTCAGAAATTTTTTGAGTTTAATGGCACATGTACGCATAAAAATTATATATGACAAAATAGTTCCAGTGCAAGATCAGTACTTTGCATTTAGGATTATATCGAACTTCATCAACCTAAAGTAATCAATACAATTCCGTCTATTTGATTTTACTTTTATAAAAAACCACAAAATTGTAAATTTGACCTTAAAGTTTCAAACCAGACAGTTCAATCTGAAAAAAACTAAGCATAATCCTAAAACAAACAAAAATAACTGCCATGCTTCAAAATATTTCAAGGGTCACTCCAAATTAAGACCTTAAATAGTTTGTACAATTCTCACGTACACTTTGCATAACTCTTGATAAGAACATACTCTATTTTTTTGTTTTTCCAGTTCCTACCGGACATCCATTCCAAAAAATAACAATAATATTTTGATAAGATTAATTAGCATTTTTACACAGCCATTGTTCAGTTACATGAACTGCTTTAATCTAGAATTTGTTTATTCAAAATTTGATGTTTTAGCATCAACTACCGGCTTTAATATGACGATAGAAATTTATTCTAATGTATTCTTGATTCTTTATTCGAATCATTTCTGTCTTCACGATAAAAATAAACTAAACTGCACGCGAAAGAGAAGAGAACTTTTTTTATCGTCCAAAATTCTCTTATTTTTGTCTCGTGAATCCCATTAAACAATAAATTTCTTTCGTTGGTCAATATCTCGTTTTATTATGGGGAAGAAATTCATTATGAAGTTACGTTAAGCATCGTCTCGACGGTTTATTGAGATTATTTGCCGTTTATTCTCATTTTTTTGCTTCTTTTGGTCAACGAAGACACGACACGTTTTCAACAAAGAAGAAAACAGGATAGCAGGCATCGTTTAGACTTAAAATTATTCAAGATAAGGAGGATGATAATGACCCCGACTAGGCGTTGTTTTTGTCGTGAAGATCATGAAATGACATTTTCAGGTACAACAATAATAAATTTTGAGATATGGCTGCAATTATAGGTCAGACAGAAATGTTATGTAATAATTGTAAAAATACTTAAGGCAGGGGAGCAGGTATAAATATTTGAAGGAATAAATTGATGGTTTTTATAAAAGATTGTCTCGAAAAAACCTTCAAAGTTTTCTTCAAAATGACTTATATCAGAAGGAACAGAACCCATGAAAATTAGCTATCTAATGCTCTATTATCCTATGAGCAGACTTGCTAAAATACGACTTTATTTAGTTTTTAATCTTGTTCATTTATACAGCTATTATTTTTGTAAAAACCAAGGCGTGGAAACTCAGGATTAATACTGAAAAATCCCGAAAATCTTAAAAAATCCAAATGACCTTCCTTAGAAGGTCCTTAGGGCCTGAGCCAAAAACCTACAAATGTGAAATTCCTCTTAAATCCCGAAATTTTTCATCAAATGCAGGGGCGTAGCCAGAAAATTTTTAAGGGGGGGGGGTGCATTTTCGAAAATAAAAAAACCGTTATTTTGTATCCTTAAATCTATATTCATTCTTCATAAGTTTAAATATTTAATTCATTATTCATACATTAAATTTAATTTTTCGTGCTGATTTTGACATTTCTTTCATCACTTCCTCTACATTAACTGGTTCTTCTCTATAAATACTTAATAAAACAATTATCAGATTTTCGAAGGGGGGGGCCAGGCACCCTATGCCCCCCCGGCTATGCTCCTGATCAAATGCATCAGGGATTTAAAAGCAATTTCAGATGCCCATGTTTATTGGCTCAGGGATTTTTAAGGATTTTTTGGGATATTTTAGGATTAATCCTGAGTTTCCATGCCTTGGTAAAATCATGTTAACAGTCGATGCAGTTTAGATTCTTCTTAACCCCTGCAGTGTAATTTGTTTTTGTCATTCTCTGTCTGCAACAAAAACAAAACAACCTTCAAGATTCCTCATAACTCACGTGAATCTTTATACAAATATTCTCAATTCACAAGATGCTGACCTTCACATTAATGCTGTAAATATTTACCACTACTTTGTGATTTTCTTACATTTCTTTTTCAAGTTTTGCTAAAAATAACATCAAGGAAGATTAAGAAATTGTAAAAGATGTAGCAACAATGGACTGCTTTATGAGTACATTGGTAAATGTAAATTTAAACTTTTGCTAAGTAAGATTAAACAAATATAAATTCTGATGAGACTAATATGTTATTTGAAAGTTTAATTATATTTGTAAGGTTTTTGATACAACTGTTATAATCGAATTTCATTTTGAATTTGTATGAAAATTAATTAATTTTTTGATATTTATTCAGCAATGCTTTCAAAAAAAAATTAATTCTTCATTTATAAAAGAAAAAAAAAATTATTTTTTCTTTTAAATTTTTTATTCAAGCTTTTTTGAACATTCTTCATTGACAAAACTGTTTTTAAGGTTCAATCACTTCAATATTCTAATGAATACTAGTGAATGAGTTAAATGAGATCCACATTGAACTATAGATGTCTTTAAATTCTGGAAAAATACTATTTTGATATTTTTGTTTGTTGTAAAGATACAAAAAAAAGTATTTTAGCTACGCGTGGAATCTATTAAAGTTTCTAAATGTATGTTCTAGATCAAATTTTTTGTGGATTTTCACAGTATTGGTTTTCAAAGAATTTATTTTTAAAGTGTTTGATTTTTACACAACTTATTGCCTCCAAAAAAAAACTTAATCAAAATTATTTTAAGAATTTTCAAATTTAGAAAACAAAAACTAGATTTTAAATCATAAATTCAAATCAGACTTTTGCATAACTTCTAGATTCAAACCTCAACTGTCCAATACTTTTTAGATTACTAGCTTCTATCCATCAACAATCACAAGATTCATCAAAAATTACAAAACCTCAATTTTATCATCTCGCTACCTACAAGACAATCAAGCCATTCAACTCAATTCTCAATATAAAATTTCTTCATATCATCTCTAATTGAAAAATTTGTTTTGTTCGCAGTTTTTTTTCGCAAATTGAATCAATCAAAAATTTTCATTTTAAAAATAAATCTTGTTGTGAAGAAGACGAAAAAAAAATTATGAAAGAAATTTCGATCGAGTTAAATGACCGCAAGTCAGTGACAAAGAGCAAAGATTAGTTTGTACAGAAGCAAACATCATCATATCAATTTAAAGTTTGAGGCGAGATAATTCAATATTATTTATTAAATTGTGTATCTCCATAACATAATGCAATAACATATTATAATAAATGAGGAGACAATTTTGTAATTTAAGTTATGATTCGGTTAAATTAAATCTAAAGAGAGAATTTGCACATCGTTGGGGTCTTTAAAGGCTGATGGTGGTTCACAAATTTTATCAGTATATCTTCTGAATTTACTCGTGAACAGACGTCTGAGTTTATCTAAGTTAAAATGAAGTTCCTTATTCTTGCTGCCGTACTAGTTGCTGGTGCATATGCCACCTTAAATGCTGATGAAGCTAAGCTCGTGAAGGGTTCATGGGATAAAGTTAAGGGACAAGAAGATGGAATTCTCTATGCAATTTTCAAGGAAAATCCAGACATCCAAGCTAAATTCCCAGCATTCGTTGGAAAGAACTTAGAAGAAATTAAATCCAATGATGACTTTACAAAGCATGCCGACAGAATTGTGTAAGTAGATTTTTATAAATTTTCTCCTACAAAAATATTAATTCATGTCAAAAATACAGCGCTGCAGTCTCAAAATACATCGAATTGGTTGGCAATGAAGCTAACACACCAGCCATTAAGACTCTCCTTAATGAATTAGGACAAACCCACAGAAGTCGTGGTGCAACAAAGGAACAATTCGAAAAGTTCAAGTCATCAGTTGCTAAATATCTTAAAGAACACTCTGGAGCCTGGTCTGATGCCACTGGTGCCGCATGGAACAAGGCATTCGATGAAATGTACGCTATCGTTTTCAGCAGCCTTGATGGAAATCCAGTTCACTAAGCAATTCGATCTGATGTACGGCAACTTCAGTCAAAAATGGACAATATGAACCGCGAAAGTATTTGCAATAGGCAGTAAAACATTTTTTTTTGTTACATTAACTCATATTATCTATTGTAAATTTTCTTACATTAAAAATATCAGTTCAACAGGCAGAAATAAATTGAAAAGTTTATGAATGATTAAAAAAAATTTGGAAGTGTTTTTAATGGAATTAGTAGAAGTTTTTGTTACAGTGAATTAGTGACACTTACTAATGGTCAAACCGGGGTCAAACCTATTAAATAAACATAAAAGTAAAGCTAATGATCAAATTTGTAGACTGAAATGGAGCTCGATTCCAGTCAACTTAGAGAATCTTCAGTCAACTTCTGCACTTACTCCATGCCTACCTTCAAATATAAACGCCTTAAAACCTGAATAAATGACCGTATAGAAAGTAAGTGACAATATAAGTTGCATTCATAGAAGCTAGGAAATTACGAAAACAAAAATCATTTAAAGTTACAACATAAATAATCATCAATCAAAATTTCACCTCTTCCTGGCCTTAATAAATTTGTTTACTTCAAAAAATGCATGTATGTCCATAAAATATTTTATCATCTTTGAAATGACTCCAAAATGTCTCAATCAGTGCTCCCAAATTATATTATGTCATTCTACAAAAACACAGCAATTTACTTGTAGATGTGGGCACAAAAACAGTCAATTATTGTAAATTGATGGAATAAAAATCTGAACCTTATCTATAAATAAATGTGAGCTCTGAAAAAAATGAACAAGATAGGAAAAGACACGAGTAGTCTTCAGAAAAAGATTTATTGCTATGACCTTATGTTACTTAAAGCTAGCTACCAAATTATGATTCTTTATTTTAGTTCACTGGATTTCCATCTAGACTAGCAAACAGAACAAAATAGAAATTATCTGAAGCTTTATTCCAAACAGCAGCTGCATTGTCGTTCCATGATGATTGTCTCTGCATAAAATCATCGAGTGATGCACGGAACTTGTTGAAAAATTCCTTTTGAATGCCACGACTTTTGTGACTTGATCCCAATTCGTTCATTAGAGTTTTTGAAGCTGGAAGGTTGCTAGGATCTCCAGCAAGTGTAGCAATTTTAGAGAAGAAGCTTACAATTCTTGTTGAATGGATTGCAAATGCTAAAGACTTTCTTAATGCTTCCAGATCCTTTCCAACAAATGCAGGGAAGTGAGCTTGAATATCTGGATTCTCCTTAAAAATGACATAAAGAATGTCAGCCTCTCTATGCTTGACTTGACTCCATAATGTTCTTAAAGTTTCAGCTTCCTCGCTGGTGATTGGATGTAAGTCACAATTTGCACTCATAATGCACAATGCAAGAATTATGAATAATTTCATGACGATGCCAATGGCTTCTGTTTTCTCAACCAATTTAATTGGTTCTGAAAAAAATAATTCTGAAATCTGCTTGTAGCTTCTAATCTTTTATATTTATAAATAAACTTGCTCAAATAAGCATTATCATGGTTTTTTTATTTGAATAATAATCGGCTATGATTTTTGAGTATAAGTAAATGATAATAATTTTTTTAAATATTTTTTGGTGCTGTGGATTAAAAAAGAGCATTGCCCATGTCAAAAAACAAAAATAACATGTTTTAAGGATTTTTTCTTCCAAATTATTATTTTATTTTCTGTAAAACTTTTCTGCAATTTTTTACTTTAAATTCTGTAACCTAATAACATCTTCTTTTCTTGATGATCAAATAGATCAGTTAGGAATTCAAATGAGTTTGTTGCTACTGAAAAATATCAACCTTTGTCATGGTATTTTAATAAATTTTGATAAGAAGTTGTTCAAATACAACTTTATACTAGTTATTTTAAGTATGAATATTTTACGTTCTTCAATCATAGATTAAAACACGACTACGGCAAAAAATCTTTGGTATTTAGAAACTAGAACCAAGAAGAGAATGTTGATCCTTGATTTTCTTTCGCATCTTTTAAAATTTGCTTGCATTTTGCTATTTCATAGATTTTATGAGTATGAGAATTATTGAAGGTATCAGTTTATCATAAAGTTTTAAAATTTTCCATATAGATATAGACAGTTCTAAAGCCACTCCTATTATCAACATGAAATCCTCAAATAATTCTTCTACATAACCCAATCAATATTGCTTACAACAATAATATTGACACCAAATATCAAACATATATGTCTTATCACATTCTAGAACAAAGAAGAATAACAAATACAGCAGCAATCTTCCAACCTTTAGTACTGTACTTTTGATTTAGTACTGACATAATCAACAAAATGAATTGGACGTGTGGGGTATAAAAGATTTAAAATTTCTTTAAGTGAAATGAGTTTACATTTGAATTCGAATCGATTTGTAAGTCAGCAGCAAAATGAAATTTCTCGTACTAGCTTTGTGCATCGCCGCAGCATCAGCCGCTGTTACACCAATGTCAGCTGATCAGCTTGCTTTATTCAAGTCATCATGGAATACAGTTAAGCACAATGAAGTTGATATTCTTTATGCTGTCTTCAAAGCCAATCCAGACATCCAGGCTAAGTTCCCTCAGTTTGCTGGAAAAGATCTCGATTCAATTAAGGATTCTGCTGACTTCGCAGTTCACTCAGGTAAGTTTTATTACACCATTAAAGGATTCAGAGTACAGCAATAATGTAATATATGATTTTAAAATTTACAGGCAGAATTGTAGGATTCTTCTCAGAAGTTATTGGACTTATTGGAAATCCAGAGAATCGTCCAGCACTCAAGACCCTTATCGATGGATTAGCTTCAAGCCACAAAGCCCGTGGTATTGAAAAAGCTCAATTCGAAGAATTCCGTGCCTCACTAGTTGACTACCTCTCACACCATCTCGACTGGAATGATACCATGAAATCAACATGGGATCTTGCATTGAACAACATGTTCTTCTACATCTTACATGCATTGGAAGTCGCTCAATAATTTATTTTTGTTTCATAAATCATTTTGATAATGCTCGAAAAATAAAATAAAATATTTCGTTGTAGTCAAGATTAAATTTTTTAATACTTTTCAAGCATATTAAACTTTTATTTCAGTTAAGAAAAATTTCAAATAAATCAATAATTTTCACAGTGGATGTCCATCAAGTGCTGAGAATAGAATAAAGTAAGCAGCATCAAAAGCTCTTGTCCATGCTTCTGAAACATTGTCGCTCCATGAGACATTATTTTGAAAATACAAAAAAATTGAAGCACGAAATGCATTGAATTGCGTTTTTGTGATTCCACGTTTTTTATGAGTTACGGCTAAGTCATTGATAAGGAATTTTGTTGTAGCAACAGATTCTTCAGCAGATTCATTATCACCAAGTGCAACGATATCTGAGGCAAATCCAATGATTTTAGCTGCATGGTTTTTAAATTCTCGAGATTCCTTGATTGACTCAAGATCTTTTCCAGCAAATTGTGGAAATTTGTCTTTGATTTCTTGGTTATCCTTGAATACAGCATACAAAATGTCAACTTTATTGTCTTTGATTTGATTAAATGATTCTTTGATTAGATTAATTTGATCAGCTTTCAATAGAACTATGTCACAACTGGCTGCGATAATGCAAAAAGCGATAATAAGAAGCTTCATTTTGATGGTCACTGACAAATTTAATTGTGAAATTTAAAATGATTTACGCTTTTATAGCAGAAATTTAAGTACATAACAAAGAGTACTGAACAGAGCTCGAAGTCAACGAAATTTTGTATGCAGTCGAAAAGACTCGCCATACAAAATCGATGAAAAAATCGAGTTGACTTCAAGCTCTGGTACTGAATCATGAGAAGCTAGTTGTTGATTTTTGAGAAACAACATTTGTGGTTTGATCATTATTCTTAATTTCTAATTAATGCTCAGGCTCATTTAAGTTCGAATTTTTTAATTAATATGAATCAAAAATCACCACAGTTTAAATGAATTTCCATCAAGAGCTAAGTACAGATAAGAATAAACACCATCAAGAGCTTTTTGCCAAACTGCCGAAACATTTTTACCCAACGGGACATTATCTTCAATATAATTGGTGAGTGATGCACGAAACTTATTAAATTGATCTTTTGTGACCCCGCGAGCTTTATGGGTTCCAGCTAAGTTATCGATAAGAAATTTCGAGGAAGCTACATTTGGTTTGCCTTCAATAATTGGAATTAATTCTGAGAAAAATCTGATGACATTTGAAGCGTGCTTGGAAAAGTCTGAAGTGTCTTTGATTGAATCAAGATCCTTTCCAGCAAATTGTGGAAATTTGTCTTGGATGTCTGGATTCTCCTTAAAGATGTAGTAAAGGATATCAACTCCATTATTTTTGATTTGATTCCACGATTCTCTGATTTTATTTGTTTGGTCAGTTGAAAATGGAATCAGATCGCAACTAGCTCCAACAATGCACAAAGCAAGAACTAGAAATTTCATTTTGTTCTGCTTTGCTGTAAATTTGATTGAAACTTGAAATATTTGAGATACTGCTCATGCTTTTATAGGAGCTATAGAACATTAATCTGATTATAAATTAAATTTTGAATAATGAATTATAATATCCGATTGGAATCGTAGTTCTTTATGAACTTAATAAAGTGTAAATTGAATTCATTATCAAATTTAATTGTTTCATATCTTAGTGTTTTAATCATTCTCATATGCATAATAATTAAAACAGATTTACAGTCGACTCAATAAATTTAGATAACGAAGTCATTCAAGTATGACGTCAATCATGAGTAGTGGAGGAGAGTGTAGTTTAGAAATGAATGGATCGAGGAAATAAAAACTGATAAAAACATTTAGGTTCTAAAGCATCTCCCTTTTGGATACACATCATAAATGATTGACCCTATAGAATAAAGAAAATTTCTTAATGCTTAATTGTTTATACTTTATTATCTTATCAGTCAAGTATCTTTCAGATAAAATAAAATTCTGAAAGAATTCTCACAGTATATTAATTCAGTCTATACTTAAACATTGTTGTGATTAATTCAATTAAAAATTCATCATCAAAATGAAATTTTTATTCACAAAATGTTTTAGCAAAAAATCTTTCAATTTAGATCCAAATAAAGATAAAGGTCTAACATCTAAAGCAAAGTACATTCAAATTGGATTTGCGATGCTTGCAAATTTTTCAATTCTCTCAACTGGGATGGGTCTTGGATATCCAGCAATTACAACTCAATTACTAGCTAAAGATGACACAGTGATATTAACAGAATCTCAAGTCTCGTGGTTTGCATCAATCACAGCAATTGCATGTCCATTCGGTGGACCAATAACAGCTTATCTAACGAATAGGTTTGGACGAAAAGGAACATTAATAATTATTGATGTAATTTCAATTATTCAGTGGATAATTATCGGATTTTCAAGTCGTAGTGATGCTCAGATACTTTTTATTCAACTAATGTTTGCAAGAGTATTAACTGGACTTACAATCGGAATGATAACTACTCCGGCTGTATTATATTCAGCAGAGATATGTCATCCATCGTTGAGAGGCAGAATGATGGTTTTGTCGACACCATTTTTTGTAGCTATTGGCACTTTGCTGATTTATTTGCTTGGATATTTGATACAGGTAGGTCGATAAGGAATTTTAATGAAGTTTTCTGTAGAGTATGGAAGTCTTTACAGCTGTACCTAATTACAACTTCAATGTTGATTATGTTTTGACAGGAAGACTACCGATTAGTAGCAATTTACTCTCTTGGAATCACAATATTGACGCTCGTGATCTGCTTTTTCATTCCTGAATCTCCAGTTCATCTTATTCTCAAAAATAATCTAAAAACTGCTCGTCAGGTGCTCTCAAAAGTTAGAAACTTAGGTGAGTTAAACAAAAACTCTTTAAATTATATTTAATTACTTGATTTTATGAATCTAGTCAAAGACAATCCAAAAATTGACGAAGAAATTCTCCAAATCCAACAAAATGCTCAAAGTTCTGCATCCAGAACATCGAAACTGTCAATATTCACAGAGTTTAGTAAGCCACAGCTTTATAAACCATTCATGATTATGGTTGCATTCTTTACAATTCAACAACTGTCTGGAATATTTGTAATTTTCGTCTATACTGCACAATTTTCGATTGAAGCTGGAGTGTCGATTGATCCATTTTTAAGTACAGTAATTATTGGAATTTTTCGATGTGCGACTACCTTTGTTACTGCATTTCTATCAGATAAAGTAGGAAGAAAGCCATTAGCTATTGTATCTAGTATTGGAATGTTTTTCAGCATGTCTGGACTAGCATTGAGTGCTGAATTTTCCTTAAAAGACACAAAGCTCTTTTGGGTACCAGCAGCACTTTTGTACTTTTTTGTCATTATTGGAACCTGTGGAGTTTTAGTTCTTCCATTTTCAATGGTCGCTGAAATGTATCCACAAAAGTCAAGAAGTCTTGCTGTTGGACTTTCACTTTCTTATTGCTTCATTGTTAGTTTCCTTACAATAAAGTTTTTCTCAACAGCCTTTCTGTTTTTTGGAAGTGCTATAGTGTTTTCATTTTTCTCAATTTATGTCCTGCCTGAGACAAAAGGAAAGACACTTAATGAGATTCAGAATTATTTTCATAAATGATTTAGTTGCTGATAAGACTGAAAATACGATAGGATTCTAAGGCTTTATATGTTTAAAATAATTAAATAAAAATAATAAATTGGATCAAAAAAAATTTTATTTTAATTCACAACAAACTTTTATATAGGAGTGCCATCAAGAGCATTGAAAAGAATGAAATAAACATTATTAAATCCTTTTTCCCAAGCTTGAGCTACATTATCACCCCATGATACATTTTGTGATAGATAAGTAATTAATGAGGCACGGAATTCGTTAAATTGAGCCTTTGAGATTCCACGACCTCTATGACTAGCTCCCAATGCATTTATGAGAGTCTTTGCGGCTGAAATACCTGATTCGTCTGGCTGAAGAGCGGAAATTTCGGAGAAGACTCCTACTATTCTTCCTGTAAGTTTGTAAATTATAATAAATACCTTAATTAATAAAATATCTATCGATTTATGTTACCTGCATGTACAGCAAACTGACCAGTCGTCTTTATTGAGTCCAAATCTTTTCCAGCAAACTGTGGGAAACGAGCTTGAATGTCTGGATTGGCCTTGAAAATTGCGTAGAGAATGTCAACTTCATTATGTTTGACTTCATCCCATGATGATCTAATTAAGATTGCTTGATCGTCAACTAATGGAACAAGATCACAACTGGCTGCAGCAATGCACAAAGCAAGAACTAAAAACTTCATTTTTGCTTCTTACTATTGAAAAGCTTAGTAAGGAACTCAAGAAAATTAAAAACAATTTTAATCTTTTATACTCAAAATTTTGAGTGAAATGGGTTAATGACTCTGCCATCTCTGTTCGTCACATACCAAAAATATAAACGAGATTATGGATTTGTTATTTTATTTTATTAGATTCACTAGAGTTGCTTTCCTAATCAGAGTTTTATTTACTATAAATTAATTTTAAATATAATCCAATTAATTACATCAGAATTACATTATTACATTGGACTTCCATCAAATGCTGAGAACAGAACCAAATAAACATTATCAAGTCCTTTTTCCCAAGCTTGAGCTACATTCTCATTCCATGTCACATGATCTGCAAGATAAGCAGTTAATGAGACTCGGAAAGCATTGAATTGAGCTTTTGAGACTCCACGTCCTTTATGACTAGCAGCTACTTCATTTATTAGTGTTTTTGCAGCTGAAACACCTGAATCATTTGGATTAAGTTCAGTAATTTTGGAAAAGAAGCCTACAATTCTGCCAGCATGTGATGCAAATGAAGAAGACGATTTCAATGTTTTTAGATCCTTTCCAGCAAACTGAGGAAAGCGGGCTTGAATGTCTGGATTAGCAGCAAAAATGGAATAGAGGATGTCAACTTCATTATGTTTCACTTGATTCCATGATGCTCTAATGATTTCAGTTTGGTCTTCAACGAATTGAGCAAGGTCACACGTGGCTGCAACAATACATAATGTGAATATAAACAACTTCATTGTTCTGCTTCTTACTTAATAAATAAATGATAGAAAACTTGATCTTTAAAAGCTTGATCTTTTATACTCAAAATATTTAAAATTGTTTTTGTCACAGTAGAGTTATTAACGAGATTAGGCTGAGTTAATAATTAATAATTAATTAAGTGCGATAAGGTGCTATTTTCTATGTCAAGGTCATATATGTTTTTGAGATTATTTCTATTGAGGAATCAAAATGTTTTTAATAATTGTTTAGAACTCAGAAAGGCATCAGAAATATTTTCTTTTTAGGTCCAACAAAAAATCATCTTTAGGTTCCAAATGTTATCCTTGTCAAAAAGTTAATGTCCTGTACCTCAGTTAATGGTTATATCAAGGTTTATGATTCATTTTTCATTTTTGATCCTCTTTAACTTACAGCGTAGCTTCAAATTCTTCAATGAACTTAAAACTTATGTGTGATACCAATTGACAATAATAAATGCGTATTTTACTTCCATTTCAATTAATTTATTATCAACTTTCTTAAATAATCACAAAACTTCTCTCATCCTTGCTGACTTTTAAGCCTGTTCTTCTCTCACAAAATCTTGAGTATAAAATAGCATGCAACTTTGTCAATAAACTAAGTTTTCAATTGACTTTCAATCTAGGAACTTTTCCAGGCAGAATGAAATTCTTAATTTTGGCTCTTTGCGTTGCCGCAGCTTCAGCAGCTGTTGTTCCATTATCAGCTGATCAAGCTTCACTTGTCAAATCTTCATGGGCTCAAGTTAAACATAGTGAAGTTGATATTCTTGCTTCCATCTTCACAGCCAATCCAGACATCCAAGCTCGTTTCCCTCAATTTGCTGGCAAGGACATCGACTCAATCAAGGACACTGGTGCATTCGCCACACATGCTGGTGAGTAAAATATATAGCTAAGTGTTGAAGCTTCTTATAACTTATAACTGTTTTCAAATTTACAGGTAGAATTGTTGGTTTCTTCTCTGAAATCGTTGGACTTATTGGAAATCAATCAAATGTCCCAGCACTTTACACTCTTACCGAACAACTTGCTACAAGCCATAAAGCACGTGGAATCTCAACAGCTCAATTCGGTGAATTCCGTGCTTCACTTGTCTCATACCTCTCAAACCATGTCTCATGGGGTGAAAATGTTGCTGCTGCTTGGAACGTTGCTCTTGACAACTTCTTCTTCGTTCTTACCTCAAACTACTAAATAGACAATTAATTTATAACAATAGAACTTTTAAAAATGCACCAGAATAAAAAAAAATTAAGTCACACAGTTAATCACATTTTTTTGGATTTTTGATATTAATTTATTCCAGAGAATAAGTGCTTTACATAATTCTATGATCCTTCAAATTCAATGATCTGAAGGATTTTGTGTAAGATGTTATAGCTTAGTAATTAATAGAATGGATGCATGTCTTCAAAACACCGAATAGATTCTAACAAGTGAATAATTTGAAAAACATATTTCATGCTTGAAAAATAAACGAATTTATTAGTAAACAAAAAGTTTAACCTTCCCAGACCTCAGAGGTGATAAGAACGACCAAATTCAGATTTGAAAATTCAAACATCTGGAAGAAGTTGCATAATTTAAAAATTTTAAATAATAACAAAAAGTTAAATTGATTGGTAAATTAGAATATTTTATTGAAGGTTTCCGAATCGTGTCAAATTATCTACATGATTTAATCGATGTCAATAAATACATGTAAATTAAGGTCCTATTTTGTTTTCACTAGCATCAAATTTACAAATATGAGAACATCATGTTGAAGACGTTGTCAAGACCTTGTGTCCAGGCAGCTCCAAGAGAATCGTTCCATGAAACTTTACTTTGGAGGTATGAAACGAGTGAGGCACGGAATTCATTGAACTGAGCCTTTGGAATTCCACGAGCTTTGTGGTTAGCAGCCATGTCTTTGATGAGTGTTTCCATAGCTGGCATGTTAGCAGAATTACCCATAAGAGCAACAATTTCTGAGACAAATCCTACGATTCTTCCTGGAAATATATAAATTATAATTAATACCTTAATAAAGTTAATCAAGCATCAATTTCTACTCACCAGCATGAGTAGCGAATTGTCCAGTTCCTTTAAGTGTTTCGAGATCCTTGCCAGCAAATTGTGGGAATTTAGCCATGATGTCTGGATTAGCTTTGAAGATGTAGTAAAGGATGTCGACTTCACTGTGCTTAACTTGAGCCCATGATCCACGAACAAGTGATGCTTCGTCAGCTGACAATGGTGCAGCAACGGCAGCAGCAATGCAAAGAGCGAGAACTAAGAATTTCATTTTATTGCTTTAACTTGTTGGTTGATTCAAATTCAATTGAAAACTTAATTAACATAGAAAAATGCATCTGCTTTTATACTCGAAATTATGCACGAGAAAGTTTCCTTCTTATTAGATGTTACTCAATAATTAAATCAACAGATAGGAATGGAGAAGTAAGCAACTGTCGCAAGAATGATAAGAATGACTTTGTTGCATCAGCAACAACAAAAAATAGCATTTTAGACTGTAAAATTTTTTAAAGTAAACATTTTATAATCAACTGGAATTGCTCAAATTATTAAATGCTTTAAAGTCAGTATGTGCTTGTATTTGGGCACGTGTAAAAATATTCATTTTATTTGCAGCTATTGGACTATTGTATGGAACTGCTTATTAATGATGGAATGTAAACGAAATTTAAGCTCTGCATAATGTTGGATTAAGCAACGGATTAGATAGTTGCAGAATAAAGTTTTTTTTTTGAATGTTGAATAAACACTTTTAAAGCCAAGAAAATGTCACAGCATTTGAGGTTAATACTTGAACGCAGTCCACTCGTTTATAAGGCTTAGAAATCGTTTTGAATTTTCGAATTGAACTATTTTAGGAGAAATTTGAGCTACAATTTAACTCAATTTTTGATATTTTTGATAGAGTATTAGAACTGAACTTTACATGCTTTACTATGATTCTGTATAATATTTTGTCAGCATGTAGCTATAGTAAGCTCAGAATTTCTAGTAAGCTGAAGATGGAAAATCGGCTTTGATCTCTGGAAAATACCTTGAAAATATCACATCAAGTATCAATCATAAGTATCAAATTGGAATAAAATGCACTAAGAAAAAGTAAAAATAAGCAAAATTTCGTATTATTCCAGAAAGTAAGTCAGAAGAGATAATGTTGTATAACTTGAGAGGTGAAACCAAATTAACAAATATTTTATCAAGTGCTAATGGAGCCATCTTTAATACAAATTCAACTTTAAGAATTATGGGAAAACAGTAAATCAATCATAAAGACCACATATATACAAATTTTTAAAACGTTGACTTTTATTAAAAATCGTTCAAGTTTTCCATACACAAGATGTTGATTCATGTATTTAAAGCTTAATTCTTGATTTACAAGTGAGCGAAGATCATTCCGAAGATGTTGTCAAGTCCATGGGTCCAGGCATCAGCGGTAGCATCATTCCATGAAGCGTGGCTTGAAAGGTATGAGACGAGTGATGAACGGAATTCATTGAATTGTCCCTTTGTGATTCCACGGTTGTGATGGCTTGTTGATAATTCATTGATGAGTGTAGCCATGGCTGGGGCATTTGATTCGTTTCCAACAAGAGCAACAATTTCTGAGATGAATCCGACGATTCTTCCTGTAAATTTAAATATAAATTATAATGAGTACTTTAGTATAATTAATCTAGCATCAATAGCTACTCACCAGCGTGTGTGGCGAATGCACCAGTATCCTTGATTGAGGCGAGGTCCTTTCCAGCGAATTGTGGGAAACGAGCTTGGATATCTGGGTGATCACTGAAGACGGCAGCAAGAATGTCAACTTCGTTGTGCTTAACTCCAGCCCATGATGCACGGATGGCATTAGCTTGATCAGATGAAACTGGATCGGCGATGGCACCGACGATGCAAAGAGCGAGAACAATAAAGAATTTCATGTTGTCTAGATTTGTTTGTTGCTTCAAGTTGAATTGAAAACTTAATTAGCTTAGAAGAAATTGGCTCCTTTTATACCCAGAATGTGCGTGAGAATTCTAAAAGAGATTAGGTATTTCACACACAAACATTAAAAGTTAGAACTTTTTAAATCTGGCAAAATTGTAAACATGATAAGGACAGCTACGTTATGAATTGATGACGGAATTGAATATTATGTACATTTGAATACTTTCTTATGTCAGAAATATTTTTTTTAAATAATAACATTCCGCAATATTTCGGTAGATTTCGTTTAGTTATTAACTTCGGAATTTTCAGTCATTGACTTAATCATTGAAAGTGCTAGACAGTTTTAATCTTTACCAAATACCCAATGATTGAAAATAAAGTCAGTCTGCTGAAATATTGGTTTGGTCAGTTATTATGCCTTATCAATATTTTTTTAAAACAGTTGTCATCCTTCTAAGCTATTTAATTAATAATGCAACATACTGAAAAATGTAACAAAAAGAACAATTTAATTATGATTCTTAGACTTTTATTAAAAATCGTCCAAATCAAGGACTATTATTGCACATGCTTTGAGCTGTTAATAAATACATGTTCTTATAGATTCTATTAAATCACAGGAATGATTTACAAAGCAGCGAAAAGGAGTCCGAAGATGTTGTCAAGACCAGCGGTCCATGCTGATTCAGCAGCAGCGTTCCATGCAACATTGCTTGAGACGTATGAGACAAGTCCAGCACGGAATTCATTGAATTGAGCTTGTGAGATTCCACGTGCCTTGTGGCTAGCTGCGAGTTGTCCGACTAAGGTTTGAACTGCTGGGGCATTTGATTCGTTTCCGATGAGGGCAATGATTTCTGAGACGAATCCGACGATTCTTCCTGTAAATTTACAAATTATAATAAATACTTTAAACTGTACTTAGTCTTTTTTTATCTATTTAACTTACCAGCGTGTGTGGCGAATGCACCAGTATCCTTGATTGAAGCGACGTCCTTTCCAGCGAATTGTGGGAAACGGGCTTGAATGTCTGGGTAAGCAGTGAAGACAGCAGCAAGGATTTCAACTTCGCTATTTCTAACTTGAGCCCATGTTGACTTAACAAGAGCAGCTTGGTCAGCAGACAATGGTGATGCGATGGCACCGACGATGCAAAGAGCGAGAACTGCGAAGAATTTCATTTTGTCAGGATTTGTTTGTAGATTCAAAGTCAATCGGAAACTTAATTTTATTCAAAAATATTGAGCCTTTTATAGTGAAAATTTGGCGAGAATGATTGTTAAAGAGAGTAAATATAAAAATATGGTTGAGAGACTGTGCTTTGTTATAACGCAATGTTAATCAGTTTTTAAAACGCATGTTTGATAAGATAATATAATTGCCAGACAGCGTGACGTAAAATTTAAATAAAAGCACGTATACCTTAAAAATCAAGCGAGAAATATCGTAGGTTCGCTTAATAAACTTTTAAAATTTAAACTTTATTGAAAAGTTTAAAAATAAATTTATTGCAGAAGCAATAACAAAATATTTATTGATTGTGGAAACGGATTGAGTGCGTGGAAGATTTTTTAACAATTAGAAATTTCAATCCTGTTATTAGAGTTTATGTTCTCACTAGTATTGATTATCGGTATTGAATGTTAATCAAATATATTTATCAAAATCCTCATAAGAAATATGTATCTTAAGAATATCGCTGCTCACCCATGAGAAATTCAATTTTGGTAGAATTATCAAACAACTAAGAAAACCTGTGAAAACCACTTTTCATAAATTTTTGGAAAACATCTTTATATGTTAAGATTTAAAATTGATTTATTTAAGATTTGTCTTTCATTTTTTGTTTGAGAAACGCACTATGGGATAAAATCGAAATTTTTTTCTCCAAAAATTATTTTACTGGCTTATTTGAAATGTTTTCATCCAAGGAATCAGAATCTTTTTTTAATTTTGGCCCAAAGTGCAGCAGTGCTGCAGATATAGCCCGAAATGTATTTTGTTGACCTTCGATAGTTAATATTTTCAATTTATCAGAACTTTTTCTTATCTCAACCAATTTTCATGAAACTTTTTTTAAATAACAGATATAAGCCGAAGCTTTAATATAAATATCAGTCACATAAGTTTCACTTTATGGAAAGTGCTTAAAAATTGACGAAACTTTAAATGTTAGTAGTACGGCACACTTTTTTTGAGTATGTGGATTTCTGATGGATTTAAATGTTTTTCTTTTTAAAGTAAATTGTAGCCCTTTACTAGATCTACAAGAAAAATATCCATTTCAAGGTTTAAAATTATATTTATGCATCAAAAAATTGAGATTTTTTCATAAAATATACGGTTTTTCTATGTTTTGACTTCAATTGACTATTACTGCATATTCCAAGTGAGTGGAGAGACAAGTTTTAACTGTTTTATATAGTCCTCACCTGTATCTTTCTAAAACTGTGAAAATCTAGAAAAAAATTCCACCAAATTTTCAACTTTGAACCATTTGAAACGTGTCATCTGCATGCGTCTCAAAAATATCTACAACTTTTTTCATCAAAATTATGTCCAAACTTGATGAAACTTTCAGGAATGTTAGAAAATAGTGTTTTTGATGTTTTTAAAATCAATTTGAGTTTTTGACATGGACTTGGATAATTTTTATTTGAAATTTCATCATTTTCCATTTTCAATGAGATGTAAATGACTTTAAATACACTATATGCTTAACAAAAAGTATTAGTATTACCTTTTCTGTTAAAATGCTTAAATTACCTTTCCAACAATATACAATATGTCATATATGAGCACAATATCTTTGAATAATGTTGAAAAAAATGAAAAATTACTGAAAATTCGAGGTGTGTGAAGAACCATACTTAACATTTTTGCTCAAAACTATACAAAATCTCAAGTATATACCATAAATTTGGTACTGTTGAAAAGATAAAAGTACTGGCTATAAGGTAAAATCAAATTTTGAGTTGAGAATTTACCCAGGGCACTGCAAACGTATGGGAAACATGTCATAGTTTGACTAGTCCTATCAGATACAGTTTGTTGCAATGTTTGTTATGTCAAACATAAGCTAAAACGGAAGAAAATTTACGTTTGCTACCTTTAATTGACCTGAAAATCAGGTAGGCTATGTGGATCTAAATTTGGGAAGTCGAGTAGTGTAAGTGTAAGGACGTAAATTTCATTTCCAGCAAAGGTAGAGAGGTGATCGATATGAAAAGAACTTATTACACGTAAGAGACTTAATGACTTGATATAATTTGATTTATAATCTATATTAATTAAATTCTTAAGTGATGTGAAAATAAGAAAACGTGCTATTTAATTACTATTAAAGATATTATGGAATTTTATTCAAAATGTTCATCTCTATATTTTTACATTAAATATTAGTCAAGATAAAATAGTTTTTGGTTAACCTGGAAAAAAATTGAAAAAAATCTTAAAGTTCTTCTCAAAATGTAGATTTTTATTAAAAGTCAACGAATTTAAGGGTTTTTTTTATCTACATGTTAAAGATGTTAATAAATAGAAGTTCTTAAAGATTCCATCAAATCACAGGATTGATTTACAAAGCAGCGAAAAGGAGTCCGAAGATGTTGTCAAGACCAGCAGTCCATGCTGATTCAGCAGCAGCGTTCCATGCAACATTGCTTGAGACGTATGAAACAAGTCCAGCACGGAATTCATTGAATTGAGCTTGTGAGATTCCACGTGCCTTGTGGCTAGCTGCGAGTTGTCCGACTAAAGTTTGGACTGCTGGGGCATTTGATTCGTTTCCGATGAGGGCAATGATTTCTGAGACGAATCCGACGATTCTTCCTGTAAATTTACAAATTATAATAAATACCTTAAACTGTACTTAGTCTTTTTTATCTATTTAACTTACCAGCGTGTGTGGCGAATGCACCAGTATCCTTGATTGAAGCGACGTCCTTTCCAGCGAATTGTGGGAAACGGGCTTGAATGTCTGGGTAAGCAGTGAAGACAGCAGCAAGGATTTCAACTTCGCTATTTCTAACTTGAGCCCATGTTGACTTAACAAGAGCAGCTTGGTCAGCAGACAATGGTGAAGCGATGGCACCGACGATGCAGAGAGCGAGAACAGCGAAGAATTTCATTTTGTCAGGATTTGTTTGTAGATTCAAAGTCAATCGGAAACTTAATTCTATTCTGAAATTGCGTGTCTTTTATACTTGAAAAAGAGCACAGACAATTGTTACGAGAGACGGGAAACTTTTGGGAGATAATTATTAAGTAACAAGAAAAGAGGGTGATAAGGAACTCTTTAGCGCTAGACACAACAAACTGAAAATATTTGATGGCTCGTGCCTGTTTATTATCAAATAATAACATAACAGAAGAAAATCAAATTATTTTTAGAATACAATCCGTAAATTTGGATTAGAAATGAAATCACACGTAGGCGAAAACAATTATTTGTCCTTTGGATTTTGATGCAATAATTATATTGTACGGTAATATCAAAACTGAATAATGGAAACTGAAAATTCAGGAAGAACACTCTTTAATCTCAAATTTTGAACTCTGAATAATCTGCAAACTATTCATAATGCAACAAAAAATTCTTAATCATAATTTTTTCAACTTTAATTTTATTTTCTAAAAACTTTAAGATCATACAATATTTGTAACATTCCACATTGTCATAATAGAGACATACAATAGAGGTAAGCGACGAGTGAAATCTGCAAACAAGACATTCGTTCCATTTGACAAAGAGCATCAACGAGGAAGATGGTTTCAGTCAAAACAAATCATTAAATAATGTGACGATGAACTCTCATGTTTTGTAATCAAATTGATGTTTTTTCTACTAAAATATTGTGATATCTGGTTTGAAAGTTGTTGACCTGAATGGTTTTTTAGAATAATTTTTTAACCATAAAAAACTCTTAATAATTTAGCATTTTCATGCTTTGCATCAATAACCCCTAAACCCTTTATTCACATATTTCTAAATCATCAATTGAGAGCACAAGCCAATTATTTTGGGTAGGAAGTAGTGCAGGTCTCTGTCCCTTTTCATTTATGGTCGTGAAATCTCCAATAATCAGAATTGTTATCAAAACACATAATGTTATTCTCCCGAGTGGACAAAGTACTAGTTAAAAGCTTGCCATTGACTTGCCTTTTCACGGCGAGTAAGTAACCATTGACGTGCCTTTGCAACTAGACTTAGGGACGACTAATGACATATTTTGCGCTTTCCATTTAACTGGACATAGGAATTGCAAATATGTCTAGTTAATGTCCAGTTACAAAAAAATCGAAATAAAATAAATAACACGTGTCTTTTTCTCCATATTTTTTTCTTTTGTAAAATTTTATTATTGTATTAGTGTAATTAATTAATTAAAGTACACTATCACTTATGAAAAATCTCTAGTAAAAATTGAGTCTCGAACACTTGCGCGTGAAACATTTATATTTACTTAAAAGTTTCATACAAATTTTGGTGGACCTTATATAAGTGATTTCTGTAAGCGCTTGTGAAGTATATGGTCAAAAAAGTAAGGAAAATTATTTTTGAGTTTCGAACACTTGATTGATTAGCATGAATGTCCAGTTAAAGTCTAGTTAACGTATAGTTCTCTATATCGTATATATTTCGACAAGTTAAAAGACTGTTAAATGATTGTCCAATAATGGACTTTAACTGGCTGTGTCCACCCGGGTCTGATGAGTAAGGAAATAAAAATCTTATCTTACGCACCAATATACTTGAAATATAATGACAATGTCCTATCTCTCACAAATTGTCTGTAGCAATTATTCTCAGTTGCGAATTCTCTCATTCATAAATTTGGTATAAAAGACTCGCAATTTCAGAATATAATTAAGTTTCCGATTGACTTTGAATCTACAAACAAATCCTGACAAAATGAAATTCTTCGCTGTTCTCGCTCTCTGCATCGTCGGTGCTATTGCCGCCCCATTGTCTGCTGACCAAGCATCTCTTGTCAAGTCAACATGGGCTCAAGTTAGAAATAGCGAAGTTGAAATCCTTGCTGCTGTCTTCACTGCTTACCCAGACATTCAAGCCCGTTTCCCACAATTCGCTGGAAAGGACGTCGCTTCAATCAAGGATACTGGTGCATTCGCCACACACGCTGGTAAGTTAAATAGATAAAAAAAGACTAAGTACAGTTTAAAGTATTTATTATAATTTGTAAATTTACAGGAAGAATCGTCGGATTCGTCTCAGAAATCATTGCCCTCATCGGAAACGAATCAAATGCCCCAGCAGTTCAAACCTTAGTCGGACAACTCGCAGCTAGCCACAAGGCACGTGGAATCTCACAAGCTCAATTCAATGAATTCCGTGCTGGACTTGTCTCATACGTCTCAAGCAATGTTGCATGGAACGCTGCTGCTGAATCAGCATGGACCGCTGGTCTTGACAACATCTTTGGACTCCTTTTTGCTGCTTTGTAAATTGTCTTAATTAAAACTTAGACAATTTAGAATGCCAAAAATCTTGTGTGATCTTAAAGATTTTAGAAAATAAAATTTAATTTCAAAGAAATAACTTTGATTAATTGAATTGTTCGTAGTTTTTTATTCTTCACCTTCTTAAATCAACATTTCATGATGCTTGAATGACTATGATACCATGTAAAGCTTGAGACCCCCATGGATAGATCCTCTTTAATTTTAGGATGTTTTATTTGTATTTGTTTTAAGCACTAGAATATTTATGCAAAGTTTCAATTCATTTGGAAAAACCCTCGAAGAAAAAAGTGAAAAAATTGATTTTGACTAGGGTCGCCTCTAGTCCAAAATTAAAAATGTATTTCCTTCTTGCTTCTTTGCTCAAAAAAATTTTAGGATGTTTTATTTGTATTTGCTTTAAGCACTTGAATATTTATGCAAAGTTTCAATTCATTTGGATAAACCCTCGAACAAAAAAGTGACAAAATTGATTTTGACTAGGGTCGCCCCTAGTCCAAAATTGAAAATGTATTTCCTCCTTGCTTCTATGCTCAAAAAAATTTTAGGATGTTTTATTTGTATTTGTTTTAAGCACTAAAATATTAATGCAAAGTTTCAATTCATTTGGATAAACCCTCGAAGAAAAAAGTGACAAAATTGATTTTGACTAGGGTCGCCCCTAGTCCAAAATTGAAAATGAATTTCCTTCTTGGTTCTTTCCTCAAAAAAATTTTAGGATGTTTTATTTGTATTTGTTTTAAGCACTGAAATATTTATGCAAAGTTTTAATCCATTTTTATAAACCCTCGAAGAAAAAAGTGACAAAATTGATTTTGACTAGGGTCGCCCCTAGTCCAAAATTGAAAATGTATTTCCTCCTTGCTTCTTTGCTCAAAAAAATTTTAAGATGTTTTATTTGTATTTGTTTTAAGCACCAGAATATTTATGCAAAGTTTCAATCCATTTGGATACCCTCGAAGAAAAAAGTGACAAAATTGATTTTGACTAGGGTCGCCCCTAGTCCAAAATTAAAAATGTATTTCGTTCTTGGTTCTCTGCTCAAAAAATTTTAGGATGTTTTATTTGTATTTGTTTTAAGCACCAGAATATTTATGCAAAGTTTCAATCCATTTAGATACCCTCGAAGAAAAAAGTGACAAAATTGATTTTGACTAAAGTCGCCCCTAGTCCAAAATTAAAAATGTATTTCCTTCTTGGTTCTTTGCTCAAAAAAATTTTAATATGTTTTATTTGTATTTGTTTTAAGCACTAGAATATTTATGCAAAGTTTCAATTCATTTGGATAAACCCTCGAAGAAAAAAGTGACAAAATTGATTTTGACTAGGGTCGCCCCTAGTCCAAAATTGAAAATGTATTTCCTTCTTGGTTTTTTGCTCAAAAAAATTTTAGGATGTTTTATTTGTTTTTGTTTTAAGCACTAGAATATTTATGCAAAGTTTCAATTCATTTGGATACCCTCGAAGAAAAAAGTGACAACATTGATTTTGACTAAAGTCGCCCCTAGTCCAAAATTAAAATGTATTTCCTACTTGGTTCTTTGCTCAAAAAAATTTTAAGATGTTTTATTTGTATTTGTTTTAAGCACTAGAATATTTATGCAAAGTTTCAATCCATTTGAATAAACCCTCGAAGAAAAAAGTGACAAAATTGATTTTGACTAGGGTCGCCCCTAGTCCAAAATTGAAAATGTATTTCCTCCTTGCTTCTTTGCTCAAAAAAATTTTAAGATGTTTTATTTGTATTTGTTTTAAGCACTAGAATATTTATGCAAAGTTTCAATCCATTTGAATAAACCCTCGAAGAAAAAAGTGACAAAATTGATTTTGACTAGGGTCGTCCCTAGTCCAAAATTGAAAATGTATTTCCTCCTTGCTTCTTTGCTCAAAAATTTTTTAAGATGTTTTATTTGTATTTGTTTTAAGCACCAGAATATTTATGCAAAGTTTCAATTCATTTGAATAAACCCTCAAAGAAAAAAGTGACAAAATTGATTTTGACTAGGGTCGCCTCTAGTCCAAAATTAAAAATGTATTTCCTTGTTGGTTTTTTGCTCAAAAAAATTTTAGGATGTTTTATTTGTATTTGTTTTAAGCACTAGAATATTTATGCAAAGTTTCAATCCATTTTTATAAACCCTCGAAGAAAAAAGTGACAAGACTGATTTTGACTAGGGTCGCCCCTAGTCCAAAATTGAAAATGTATTTCCTACTTAGTTCTTTGCTCAAAAAAATTTTAGGATGTTTTATTTGTATTTGTTTTAAGCACTAGAATATTTATGCAAAGTTTCAATCCATTTGGAAAAACCCTCGAAGAAAAAAGTGACAAAATTGATTTTGACTAGGGTCGCCCCTAGTCCAAAATTAAAAATGTATTTCCTTCTTGGTTTTTTGCTCAAAAAAATTTTAGGATGTTTTATTTGTATTTGTTTTAAGCACTAGAATATTTATGCAAAGTTTCAATCCATTTGGAAAAACCCTCGAAGAAAAAAGTGACAAAACTGATTTTGACTAGGGTCGCCCCTAGTCAAAAATTGAAAATGTATTTCCTACTTGGTTCTTTGCTCAAAAAAATTTTTTTCATCCAAAGTTTAATTTAAAAAAAATCACAGTGAACTTATAATTTGAAAAATTCGTAAGAAAGAAAAGTTTTTTGCTTTTTCTGAAGCAACGGCTGTTCCTACCTTGCCCAAAAACAATACAGCTCTTCTATAGAGCAGCACGGATCAAATGTAAAAAACTAGAAGTCTCTACGATGTCTCGTTATTGAGATTTCTTGCTGATTAACTTGCTTGTTTGCTTGTTTGCTTACAGAAAGCGTATTTTTCGATTTTCTCAGCAATGCCGCAATCAATTTGAAATCTGTTTTTTGCAAAAGATGTGAAATTCTAGGCACAAACTTTTCATGTCTGAACATTTTAAGCTATCTTGCTCCATATCCTAACAAAATTCTAAAAACTGATTTTTCTATCTGAGCAAAACCAAAATAATTCGAAGATTTAAAATCACGAATTGGATTTCGTTTAAGTCAAACAGCATGGAACCATTGGTTGCTGTAACCTTTCTTTAAGAAATGCTTGGATCTAAAAGATCCAGATGCAAGATTCTGACCAAAAAGGGATCAATTGCATTCTTACTTATTAGGAACTGCAACTGAAAACTGATGATTTGAGAAATTGAATACAAAAATTTTACATGTAGGGATTTTAAAATCCCAAAAAAAAAAATCTTTCATACAAGAGATTTAAATAAAAATGAGGGACCAAAATGAATGAAAAAAATCTGTGATGAAAAACATTATTTTTGATGAAGAAAAAAATTATGATTTTTTTCATTTACGTAAATTATTACGTAAAATTTCATCACGTAAACATCGTTTTTTACGTAGGATTTCATCACGTAAATCAAAAAATGCAATAAAATCCCACCAAATGAATTGATAATGCTAAATAATAAGAACAAGAGAAACAAAAAAAATTATTCTTACGTGATGAAATTTTACGTAATAATTTACGTAGATGAAAAAAATCAAAATTTGATTTTGAAAATTTGAAAATGATTTAAATCAAAAAAAAAAAATCTTTTTAAAATCTCTTTTAAAAATCATTGCAAAAAGATTTTGATTTTTGAATTAAATCACCCACCATGTTCACAGGTGTAAAAATTTTACTTTTTACAGCTTTTTAATGAGTTAAAATATATAAAAAAATCATTCGAATTTGTTCACAGTAAATTATTGTGTGCCTATATATTGTGCATTTTAAATTTAATTTTTTTAAAGAAATTTCTGACTATTTTTCTTCATTTTTCGTATTTTATATTATTTTTAAAAAATAAATGGACATTATTTTTTGTGTAGTAAGGATTGTACAATCCTTACAATTCTGTTGGAGTGTCTGACCCTTGTCATAAGTGATCGTCCCCATGCAAGCTTATGTAAATTGATTACGTAAAATTAAGAAGCTTCCTTTTAAGAGGTCTGTAGATTTTTTATTTTCGTGGCTTCTTTAATAATTGTTACTAAGCAACAAAATTTCAATTCTGAAAGATTTTTTTAACATATTAAAAGCCAAATGAATTTAAGAACTTAATTCGTGTATTAATCAATTTTTCTGTAAAAAATTTCAAACACCTTAAATTTTAAAATTAAAAAGTTTGATTCAATTTTGACTAAAAGATTTTTATTAAGCCACACATTATGAATTAAGACTATTTACATGCTTTGAGCTGTTAATAAATACATGTTCTTATAGATTCTATGAAATCACAGGACTGATTTACAAACCGGCGAAGAGGAGTCCGTAGATGTTGTCAAGACCGACGGTCCAGGCAGCAGCTGTAGCAGCATTCCATGAAACATTGCTTGAGAGGTATGAGACGAGTGCGGTTCTGAATTCATTGAATTGAGCTTGTTGGATTCCACGGCCCTTGTGGCTAGCTGCGAGTTGTCCGACTAAGGTTTGAACTGCTGGGGCATTTGATTCGTTTCCGATGAGGGCAATGATTTCTGAGACGAATCCGACGATTCTTCCTGTAAATTCACAAATTATAATAAATGCCTTAAGTTGTACTTAATCCTTTTTTATCTATTTAACTTACCGGCGTGTGTGGCGAATGCACCAGTATCCTTCAATGAAGCGAGATCCTTTCCAGCGAATTGTGGGAAACGGGCTTGGATGTCTGGGTATGCAGCAAAGACTGCAGCGAGGATTTCAACTTCGTTGTGTCTAACTCCAGCCCATGATGATTGGACGAGTGAAGCTTGATCAGCAGACAATGGAGCGGCGATGGCACCGACAATGCAAAGAGCGAGAACAGCGAAGAATTTCATTTTGTCTAGACTTGTTAAGTGATTCAAATTCAATCGAAAACTTAGTTTAATTGTCTAAATATTAAGTCTTTTATACTAAAATAAAGAGCGAGAACAATTGAATAGTGAGGCTTAAAAACTTTCAGGAGATAAGACAATTAAGTTTTTGAGTAACAATAGCAGCAAAAATGATAAGGAACTCTTTGGTGCCAAACAAAACATTTTATAATTTATAAAGCACGTGCTTGGAGATTTCAAGCGAAAATTGTTGATAAATCGTAAGTTGTGCAAATTTTTTGAAACATTCAGTTGCATCCTGAACTTTTCTTTAAATGATTAATAAATTTAAAATGGTAAATTTTAATTATTTTTTAAATTTCGTTAATAATTGGTTCTTCAATATTCTTATAAATGACATTTTTAATGCGATTATATATGTGGTCCTTAAAAGATTTGCAAAAGATAAAAGTTATCAAATAAAAATCGAATAAATCTCCTCAGAACACATGTTTCTGGCATCAAAGAGTTCCTTATCATTTTTGCTGCTATTGTTACTCAAAAACTTAATTGTCTTATCTCCTGAAAGTTTTTAAGCCTCACTATTCAATTGTTCTCGCTCTTTATTTTAGTATAAAAGACTTAATATTTAGACAATTAAACTAAGTTTTCGATTGAATTTGAATCACTTAACAAGTCTAGACAAAATGAAATTCTTCGCTGTTCTCGCTCTTTGCATTGTCGGTGCCATTGCCGCTCCATTGTCTGCTGATGAAGCTTCACTCGTCCAATCATCATGGGCTGGAGTTAGACACAACGAAGTTGAAATCCTTGCTGCTGTCTTCACTGCTTACCCAGACATCCAAGCCCGTTTCCCACAATTCGCTGGAAAGGATCTCGCTTCATTGAAGGATACTGGTGCATTTGCCACACACGCCGGTGAGTAGAAAGAAAGATGTTTTACTTATTATCAAGATACTAATGGCATTTATTATAATTTGTGAATTTACAGGAAGAATCGTCGGATTCGTCTCAGAAATCATTGCCCTCATCGGAAACGAATCAAATGCCCCAGCAGTTCAAACCTTAGTCGGACAACTCGCAGCTAGCCACAAGGGCCGTGGAATCCAACAAGCTCAATTCAATGAATTCAGAACCGCACTTGTCTCATACCTCTCAAGCAATGTTTCATGGAATGCTGCTACAGCTGCTGCCTGGACCGTCGGTCTTGACAACATCTACGGACTCCTCTTCGCTGGTTTGTAAATCAGTCCTGTGATTTCATAGAATCTATAAGAACATGTATTTATAAACAGCTCAAAGCATGTAAATAGTCTTAATTCATAATGTGTGGCTTAATAAAAATCTTTGAGTCAATTAAAATTTTAACAGTTTCATTCTTTTACATAAATTATTGATGAATGCTTCCTAAATTGCAGCAAAATTTTTATAAGTTGAGTGTTTATGACTTTTAAAGAGTGTGTTGTGTAAGCATATTAAAGTTAAGCGGATCAAGCTATATGCGTTTGATTTTACAAGAGCAAGCATATAGATCTTTCTGATCGATGCATTTTCAGTTGTTGCTTTCAAGCTGATATTACGAAGAGTTTGCTTAAAGTCTGATCAAGAATCTAAAATTCTAGTTTCTTAAACTGTAAAAAGTCGATAAAACAACCGATAACGATTCATAAATAAAAAGAAGCGATGGATGTTGAAAGTCACGTATCACCAGAAGAACAGGAACAAGAAATCAAAATAAGAATTAGCAAAAATAAAATTTTATGATCAATTCTTTTGGAAGAAATGCATTAAAATAATTCTAAAAGAAAGACATAAAATATTTTATGGATTTTAAACAATTATGAACCAAACTGGCACCGATCAGTTAAAAAAGAAAACAAAAACAACTTTTATTTGTATTTTTGTAGGACGATCAGCAGTTCTATAACACAGGTAGAAAGTTCTTGTCAATAAAAACTGGTTTCTATTTTTTTTATGGAGAGAATAGGATTCAAAATACAATCGGATCTTTAAAATTCTCTATACTTATTGTCTAAAACAAGAACATAAAAATTGATGAAACTTGGCAGATCTTCACAAAAGAAAGGAATTGAATTCTTATTTTTAAATGGATTCTATTTTTTACAACATCTTTTGTTGTCATATTCTTTTGTTGTGTCTGTTCTATTTGTCTAAATTGATGGCTTTTCTGTGTCCTTGAGAACAAGTTTTCTTTTGAATTTTTTGATTAATTTTAGTGTGGAAAACTTGGTCCTTAGATAAGAATGCAAAATGGCAAGATTCTCAATGTTTTGGTGAATTCTGGATCAACTTCTAGATTCGGTCATAAATAACGTTTCTACAGATTAGTTAAGTTTTCAGAACTTCAGTTTTGAAAGAAGACGGGCTGGTACCCATCGAAAAACCGTTTAAAATTTAAACTATTATAGACATGATTCAATGGGTGTAAATATCAGTAGCTGGATTGAAAATTCTCTAACGCATCTGGTTCTTCAAAAACCAATTTTTAAGAAATCTTAAAAATTAACATTTTAGTGCTACAAAGCTTCCTGACTGTATACAAAAGAAGGCTTCGTTACTTTTCATAGACTTGCTGAAAACATTAAAAATAAAGCAACAACAAATTATTTTTTGAAAAAAATCACAATGATGTTTATTGAATCAATAGATTGAAATTTATAAAAAATACAGTCTTTATCATCTCATCAGCATCACCAATCTTTATTATGAAACTGTTTAATCATCAAGTTGTTTGAATGCGATGGCCATTGTGTTATCTAAAGCGTGGTTCCAGGCAGCAGCAACATTTTCACCCCATGAAACATGGCTTGAAAGGTATGAGACGAGAGCAGTGCGGAAGTTTGTGAATTGAGATTTTGTGACACCACGAGCCTTGTGATCCTTTCCTAATTTTGTGACGAGTGTGTGGACTGCAGCCAAATTGCTTTCATTTCCTGAGAGAGTGACAACTTCTGACAAGAATGAAACAATTCTTGTTGCATGAGTTGCAAACTCACGACCGTCCTTGATTGAGTCGAGATCCTTTCCAACAAACTGTGGGAATTTAGCTTGGATATCTGGATAGGCTTTGAAGACAGCATATAAGATGTCGACTTCATTATGCTTGACTTGATCCCATGATGACTTAACAAGAGCAGCTTCGTCAGAAGATAATGGTCCGGCAATGGCACCGACGACACAGAAAGCTAAAACAGCGAAGAACTTCATGTTGATTTCCAGATATGTAAGCTAATTGACACACAATTGAATACTGAATTGTTCTGTAATTTGTGGCTCATTTTATACCCAAAAAATTCTACCTGAGTTATCTATTGCCTCCCTTTCTTACATGCAGGATAATAAGGGGAAAAAAATTTCTTTTGTTATTGTTTAGAAAGTTTTAAAACCTTTTGATTGTATTTGTGTAGATTATTATGGAGGAGTAGGTAAACTATTTTGTGTCTAGCTATCTAAATGCATTTGTTTGATGCTCAAACAAGTAAATAACATAGAAAAATATTAATCTTCTAGGCGAGAAGAAAATAAATTTGAACGATGAACTGATTAGAAATAATATTTGATGCTATTTTTAAATATCTTGATGGTTTTGTGTGATTTGAATATGGAAATTTTTTGTAAAATCAAAAATCTCGAATGAGATTGACTAGATCTTGAAAATTGTATTAAATTAATCAATCTGTTACTTGATATGAGTTAAATCATTAAAATGTTAATTGCTCCTGCATTTTTGATGATTTGATTTAATGAATTCATATTTTTTTTGTCATTATAAAGATAATTTAAGATTCAGAAATAAGAAATTAATATGAAGAATTTATAAATTTTCTATTCGCTAATCTTCATGATGAGTTTTTGCATTATCATGCTGCTTTAAACAATTTTCAAATATTAATTCGTGATAAGCTAATCTTAAGTTTCAAAATGGGTTGAAATTCGAATTTTCTGGAACTTCCAATCATTTGTTAAAACATTTTTGTTTCATACAACAAATTAATGTTTAAAAATGTATAAAGTTCGAAGAACAAAGACTCAAGAAAATCCTATAAAATGTTCTAGATTTATCTAATATTCAAATGATCCTTTATACAACATCATTGTTCATCCTTAATCAATCAAATCATAAACAATGATAAGTAAATATGAAGCGTATATTTGCCGAACTCAAAGGTTAATAATCGTCATCAAATCCACAGTTCAGATTGATTATGATTGCTAAAAAATTAAAATACGAAATAAAATATTATGCATGCATGTTTCGACGTGTTCTTTCTAGATTTGCTAGGCAAAAGACAATCTTTTTAATAAGATTATTTTAAAATAATTGAAGAGTCACAAAAACCTAGGTTGAAATAAATAAATGAATATTTCGCATGCATAAATAATTGGTGGACTTTATACTAAAGATTATGCTGGATTTTTCAATTCAGATCTGCTTTTAAACTTTTAAGTTTTGTAGATTCTGAATAATCAGTTTACAAATCTTAATTATTCATGTTTAATCTCAAAGTTTTTGAAACAATTTCCCCTCAAAATTTATTAAGACATTCAAAAATATCGAAAAATAATTCTATGTTTCTCCTCCTACACCAAATAGCTTCCAATATCCTCAAATTTCCTTTCAAAAAAAACAATCATAAACATCAGAAAAAGTAAGTGATTGGGCAAAACAAAATCAGCTGATGCTGTTACAAAATAAAAATAAATCTTTCTCACTCACTTTTCATTTCTTTCTTTAGGCTACATTTTATAGACAATCTAATACATACGCACTTTACAATATCCCTGTTATTAAATGTAATAAATATTAATAAGAGAAAGACGATGTAAAGAAGGAATCAATTTATGTCGATAAACAAGTTTTTTTTTGTTTTTTTGTGAACTGAGTGTTATGAAATCGAGAAAGAAGTATTGAGAAAAATTATGTAAGATGTCTGGTATAAGTGCTGATATCGTGGACTTTAAGCAGAATTTTTGACACAATTTTTTAGACTTCATAAAATCTTTCTTTGGTGAGAATACAATCTATAAGGAATATATAGTGCATCAAGGCTTCTTTTTATACAAATTTGAGTCGAATTCTTTAAAATTTTAGTAAATGATACGTCTCAAGCTCGGAAACTAGGCAGTGTTATTTGGGGGTATTTTAAGGTTTTTGTATGAAGGTATTTGTATAGCGCTATTTGTATGGAGATATGCTGCCTAGTTTCCAAGCCTGGATTAATTCATTTGTCTATAATGATTCATGTCTACAGTCTAAAATGAGAAACTACAAGCTTAACTTCTAATACAAATGATGATTTAAAATAACAGATTATCTGTCCTGCTAGGATTTGAACATTGAATTGACGAAGTTGCCATTTAATTCCTATTTTTTAAGCACTTTTCCACTAAGCTTGTATGATAAAATCCCAAAGTCTTTTCACTATCCCTGCAAAAAAAAATAAAATGTTTTTTTATCCACCGGGAGCATTTTCGCACGTACACAAAATTTTAAAGACACAAAAAAAAATTTTTGATTTTGTTTTTTTTTCGATAAAAGTTGGTGAATGGATGTTTTTATTTATCTGACTTGGATGTTATTTACACAAAACATTAGAAATTCACATTTTTGCACTCATCCATCTTAAAGTTCATTCTTCAATGTTGAGAAGACAAAGTCAAGAACTGGAGCCCAGCTTGATTCGACAGCAGAGTCCCATTTAGTTGCTCCCTTAAGGTAGACAACGAGTGATTTACGGAAGTTATCGAGTTGAGCTGGTGATGTACGAGATTTGTGAGACTTTCCGAAGTCCTTTGCCTTTGCGAGGATTGTTGGTGTGTTGGCATCGTTTCCGAGGAGATCCATAACTTCAGAGAATAATCCGACTACTCTACCAGCATGCTTGCTAAAGTCTGGGGTTCCCTTGATTGAGTCGAGGTCCTTTCCGGCGAATTGTGAGAATGCGGTTTGAATGTCTGGGTTTGCCTTGAAGACAGCATAAAGAATATCAACTTGGTTGTTCTTAACGGTGTTCCATGATGCCTTAGCAGCGGCAATTTGATCTCCTGATGGACCAGCCATAGCTGCAGCGACGCACAATGCAAGAATTAAGAATTTCATTTTTATTTATTTGTTTGTTTATTCAATATCGATTGTAAACTGATTATTTCAGCGAAATTTGGCTTCTTTTATACCAAAAAAATTTCTTCTCGTTCTTTTTCCGATTTCTCGTTGTGTTAATATCTAAATTAAACACTTTTATTCCTGCTAGTATAAAGTCAAGTTTCAGGTTTTTCTTCTCCAATGCGAAAGAAGAAGATAGCGCTGTTGTGTGACAACTTATTGACGACTGTTCGTTCAAATTATTATCATTTACATATCACGTACATGAAGATGCTTTAGAGTATAATTAAGGATGATTGAATGAAATCGAACGGAAGTCTTACTTCTTATGAATTACAAGTTTACAAGTAATGGCAATTAATATTAGAAGAAGAATAAGAAATTAACATATCGATCAAAAGACAAGGCTTTGATAGGAATCAAACCTTTGGTGTTTGAAAGTGACCTAAAACTCATTAGTCAGTATCGCTCAAATTGACATTTCCTCGAACTCACAGATTCTTCTATAAAATGCAATGACTCTTGTATTTTGTAATTTTAAAGCTAATCTGCTAGTTCGAAAATGATGCTTTAGTGACAGATTAGTAAGAAAACAGACCTTAATCTGCAATCAAATTTTTGTAACACGAGAGCTCGATTTCCATTAGAAATTCGATGTCACAACCATCACAAAAATTATTGTCATTTTCAAAAGGATTTGTTCAGTTCCCACAGTCCATAACATGTTGTTTTCTATCAATTAATGCTCTTTAAGACAAATCAATGACATTAGCTCATCATCCAGAAAACAATTATCCCAGAGAATCTGCAAAATGAGTCAACAGTATTGGAGAACAACAGCACTATACATAAAAAACGACACATGCAAAAATCTCGTTTTTCCATTTTGTTTAATGAAAAGAAAAAATATTTTCAAGGTTAAAATTAGTTGTTTTTGATACTCGGCAAAACTCGTGAGCATCCACAATCATCGAGTCTGCATAATATGCACGAGCGAGCATATAAAAATGCAGAAATAAAAGCAATTAAATAACTTGTTGCTGATGAAGAAAAATCAATTGTTAGGGAGCAACTTTATGATGAAGAAGATGCAGAATCATTGTGAGCTATAAAATAAATGTGCATAAAAATTAAGTTTGGATAAGAAATGGAATAAAATAATTTTGAAGATTTAAAAAAAAAATTGAATTCGAATTCATGATTTTTTTATGCAGAAAGGTGGACGTGAGGAAATTATTAATTCTAGCTGCACAATGCTTTTGAGAAACTCTAATTAAAATGATCTGCTGAAAATTAAATTTGTCTTTTAAAGTTGAATACAAATCATCTGAAGAGTAAATAAGGGACCTCATTTTTGACGATAAGGGGGGGAAGGGAGGGGGGGGTCAGCAATAATAGAACAATAGAAATTCCTAGAAATCCATTGTTCGTTTTTGAAAATTGACCCTTAATTTTGGACGTCATAAGTAAACGGCCCTAAGAAAAGTGGTTTTAATGTGCATTTATTTGATATTGAAGCAACGCATGAGGTCCATTCGTTTAATAATATATTGACAAAGTGTTTAAAGGTGATAATTTGCCACTAATTAAGTTTGACAATAGTCTGGGGCGTTTGTATGGTGGCAAATTCAGTGATTATTTAAAAATCATTCAAAGCAAAAATCATCCCACATCCAATGATTATTTCAATTTTATTGTCTAAGCTCGTGTGGATTCAGACGTTGCGAATTGTTTTGGCAAACAAAACATCTATAAAAAGTTCCCAAAAAACCAGAAACCTCTCCTCAGAAATCTAGTTCAAGATTCTTAAGGAAATGTATAAAATTCAAAATAGAACAAGATGAACCCGATCTAAAGAAAAATAAGAGTTCAAAATTTGAATGGAAAATTTTAAATTCTCATAACGTCTATGAATATTTCATGAGATTGCCTTCTGAAGATGTCTGTCATTTAATTATCATGTGTCAGATTATTTTATTGCATTTTCAATGGTTTTGTTTTTAAATAAAAAGCTTGTTAAGCTTCCCGATCGATACAAAAGACAAAAGCTCCAACGCGGACCCATCAAGGCTATGCTCTAATTGTTTTATAATAACCTTGCATATGAAAGTCATTTTGTATCGCTCGGGCTGGGATAGCTACATTAAAAGTAAACCAAATCAAAAGTCAAATCATTTATGCGTATTTGATGGATGTTCTTTATTTTCTGATCTCGTCAAAATAAATTGTCTTACTCTTACAACTAAAATTATATAATAACTTTAGTCATTTAAGTAAGAATATAATCACATAATCACAGCTCGATTAAGAAATTTATGAATCCATGGCAGAGAAAAGCATTGCGTATGTTGTGTCAAGTGCAAGAGTCCATGCAGTTTCAGTTGGTCCATCGAAGTTGATATGTGCTTTAAGGTATGTGAAGAGAGCAGTGCGGAATTCAGTGAATTGATCCTTTGAGACTCCACGTGGCTTGTGTGATGTTGCCAATTCCTTAGCAAGATTTTGGATTGCAGGAATGTTAGCATCACTTCCAGCAAGTGAGATGACTTCTGACAAGAATGATACTATACGTGTTGCATGAGTTGCAAACGCGGCAGAGTCCTTGATTGAGTCGAGATCCTTTCCAGCGAATTGTGGGAACTTAGCCATGATGTCTGGGTAAGCCTTGAAAACAGCATAAAGGATGTCAACTTCATTGAATTTAACGGTGCTCCATGTCTTTTTTAACGCAATTAATTGCATGTCAACGATGATAATTGTGAATTTATTTTCGATGGTATATGCATGTATGAAGCTGCTGATAAGTTATATTTTTGCTAAAATGAATTATTTAAGCTATTGAGCTATTGAACTGGAGATGTTTAAATTTACCTGATAATTTATTATTTTTTACCTTATCCTCAATAAACCTGTAAACACCCATAAAAGTAATTGAGTCTTTTTTTTTTGGATTTTTAAATAATCCATACCTCATAATTTTCAGGATAGGAAGACATGACCTTAAAAATATGATCTGAAGAATCAGCTGCAGTTCAATATAAAAGATTGAAGATTTCATGATGGATTGGTGGTTGAACTAGCCGAGTAGGGCTGTGAATTATGAGAACCACATGATTGAACATATTTTCAATAAATAAGCTGATGCTATTGATAAAGGCAGGGAAGCATTTCCAATTCTTTTTTTTTGGGAAACTATTGCAAACTATAGACGACATTTGAAGAATATCTCGAATAACATAGGAACAGCAATTTCAACTAAGAAGTTAAATCCTTCCAATAACTCCGAAAAACACACTTAATAATAAATTGTAGACGTCATCAGTGAACGACCCGAAGTATCCTTATCGCATTTCACCTTGACGATGATAATCCATAAAGAAAGGCACATAGAAATGCCTCTAATGGTCGTGCGATCTTCTATCACTATACACACAAATATGCTTCAAATAAAATAATCAGTAAATAAGTGAATATTCATATTTTTGCCCCCGTGTCCATAGTATGTACTTTTTGTATTTATTTTAAAATAAGTTTCTCATTTTTTGATCGTTGTTCTTAATGGACCTTTAATTTGATCTTAATTAAAACCTCTATTTTTATTCGATTTGAATTTTATTAAATAAACAAGTTTTTTTATGGGATGAAAACTAAAAATAAATATTTTGAAACTCACGTAGGCCATAGTTTTTTATCAATTTCAGTATGATTATCAGCTTATATTTGTGACATGATTATAAATAATAAGATTATATTTTTTTTTTGAAATTCTGTCATTATTATTTTTTTGAAAGATTATAATTTTTATTGCGTGGTGAAATTTAAATCATGTCCATTTTATTATCAATTACCTAGGACTGATTCGGTTTTAATTAAAAACTTTGATTCAAATTTTAAAAGTTGATCCATTTTATGAATTTGATAAAAACTTTACAAGCATCTCATTTCTATTCATATATCTAATTTTTGTAATTTTTGAACAGCATGGCGAATTTTTGAGTAATTTCCTTATCAACTGACACTTAAAAGATCAAATATGACAATCATATTTCTAGAACTAACAAGTTTAAGTTGAAAAAAGGTACGGTATCAAATATTTAATATTAGCTCAAAATGATCATACACGTCAGGTTTTGACTTATCAGCCTTAACAACGAAAATGGTAATTCTTTATTTTCAGAATTTTTGAACCTTCACTAGTGTGGAGTATGGAACCACAACGTAAGAATGATATGCTTATCACTAGACAACAAGTCTCGAATATTCTAATTTTTTGTGTACGTAATCATTATAGAAATTCTGTTGTGCCTTTTTTTTTCGTTTCTCACGTACACCAAATTTGAACAAATACTTTAATTGACGTCAAAGACATTCTAAGTCGATAACCTTTAGGAGGGGGGGGGGGTGGGGGGGGGGGGGTGGGGGGTCAGTAAGAAAAGAACAATAGAAATTCCTGGAAATCCATTGTTCTTTTTTGAAAAATGATCGTTAATTTTGGACGTCATAAGTGAACGATCCCTTACTAGAGTTTGATTAGTGTCACACAGCAAAGGAAGTCCAAAGCTGGATGTTAGAAATCCTGCACATTATTAACAGTTGTCAAATTGAGGCAATACAAAAATTTCAAGGTGCATTTAAATCATTTTGAAATTTTTATTTACGGATAAATTATTTTTACAATTCAAGGACAACAAATTTTTAATTAATTGGATGTCCATCAAGTGCTGCATACAAAATTTTATGCATGTTAATCTCAACACGATTCCATGCTGTTGAAATTTCATCATTCCATGTGCCATGAGTTTGAATGTACCCAATAAGAGCTTTATGAAAGTCATCAAATTGAGATCTTGTGATCCCGCGAATCCTGTGGCTTTCACCTAATTGATTAAGTAGTGTCTTTACAGCTGGTAGGTTAGATGGACTTCCAGCAAGACTAAGAACTTCAGAAATGAAATTTATAATTCTTCCAGCATGAATTGCAAATTCAGCAGTTTCTTTGATTTCTTCAGGATCTTTGCCAGCAAATTGTGGAAATCGTGCTTGAATGCCTGGATATGACTTAAAGATGTTGTAAAGAATGTCAGCTTCGTTGTGTCTAACTTCATTGAATGATGCTTGGACAATTGGAGCCATTTCATACTGTGCTGATACTGCAGCAACGCAGAATACCAAAATAGCGAGATATTTCATCTTATGGATTGAAACCAATTGAAGAACTGATGAGATTTAGTACAAAAATTGTGGTTTTTATATTCTTCAAGAAATTCTGCAAATCATTATTGTTCTTACTTTGGATTGATTACGGAAACAGATTTAGAATTGTTTTTATGAACTTATCAATTATAACAAAATTATTATTTTCAAATCAGGAATGATGAAGCGAAATTTTGTGTACCAGCTGTTGTTTTTCTTAAAGATTAAGCAAGATGTGAAACTGGTTGGATGTGGATGAAGGATATCCGAAGTGAGATAAGTACCTCGGTGACCGAGTGGCAGGAATCTCTGATCGAATTGTCAGAGATCATTATTTGAAGTCGTGGGTTCGATTCTCATCGAACAGGACTTTCTTTTACATTAGAGTGCACATACAGCAGTTATAGGGAGATATACAACATTAAAGTAAATTTAAATAAAGCATTCAAAAGGTGAGTGCTATCAAGCATGAACTTAAACAATCAAGTCCAAAAGTTTCTATAAATAAATTTTCAAAATTTTATATAAATACGAGCATTTGCAGATTATACTGAATAATTGATTCGAATTCTTGAAACTTAAAACAGTGAAAATGAAAGTTCTTGCTATTTTTGCTTTGTGTATCATCGGGGCATTTGCTACTCCATGTGATGACTTCAAAATAATGCAGGAAGCATGGAATACAATGAAAAATGAAGAAGTTGAAATCCTCTACACAGTTTTCAAAGCTTATCCAGACATTCAAGCTAAATTTCCACAATTTGTTGGAAAGGACTTGGAAACAATCAAAGGAACTGCTGAGTTTGCAGTTCACGCAACTAGAATTGTCAGCTTTATGACAGAAGTCATTTCACTCCTCGGTAATCCTGACAATCTTCCAGCAATCATGACTCTCCTCTCTAAATTGGGAAAAGATCATAAAAGTCGTGGCATCACAGTGAAGCAATTTGATGAATTCCATGAAGCCTTCCATAATTTCTTGCACACACACTCAGCATGGAATGACAATGTTGATGCTGCTTGGCACTGCAATGAAAAGAAAATCCGTAAAGTAATCAACGCTAACCTTGAATAAAGTATGTTTTTACTTGATGCTTAAGCTAACAATCAGCAAAAGAAAGTCGAGATCTAAAAATAGAACAATTTGACATTTGATTAATAAAACTTTCTGTTATCAAAAATAGTATTTTAATTTTATTCAATGATTCTACTTCCTCCTTGAAGCTTTGGCAGGTTTAAAGAAGTTCATAGACGCAGTTCTAATAATGTTTTACAAATCTTATTTGATTTTGACAAAAATCCATTATAATTGACTTATAAGCTCTCTTGCCTAATCATTTAGATTATGGTACATAGATGAGCATAAAAAAGAAATTTGAATTAGCAAGTCATGTTGTTGCCAAAACAAAAGTCAACTATAAAACACATCTGCTTCATTCATCAAATCATCAGTACAAGATAGAAAATTAAATCAATATGAAGTTCCTTGTAATTCTTACATTGTGTATTGCTGGTGCAATCGCTCACTGTGACAAAGCTCCGTTCATCAAAGCATCATGGAATCAAGTAAAGCACAATGAAGTTGACATTCTCTACACTGTCTTTAAGGCATATCCAGAAATTCAAGATCGGTTCCCTAAATTTGCTGGAAAGGATCTAGAAGCAATTAAAGAAACCGCCGAGTTTGCAGTCCATTCAACTAGAATTGTTTCATTTATGTCTGAAATTGTAAGCCTTGTTGGAAATCCAGCAGTTCAATCATCTATCGACTTACTTCTTGTGAAAATGGCAAATGATCATAAAGCTCGTGGAGTTACAAAAGAATTATTTGAAAAGTTCAATATTGCATTTATGGGATACCTTAAATCACATACAACATGGGATGAGAAAACTGAAAATGCATGGAAAGTTGTTGGTGATGAACATCATGCTATTGTCTACTCAATTCTTGAATAATATATTTGTGGAAGTTGTAAATAAAAATATATAATTAAAACTATTTAGTAGCTTTTCTTACACTTAACAGTCTAGTTTTAGTTTCAAGTTCCTTTTTTGAAGCTGCAAATCAATTATTTAAAGATGTAAAAACAATCATTATGAATTACAGATCTTTATTAATTCTAATAATCAGCATAAATAAGTTAATTCATTCGATATTATCTAACACTTATTAGGCTGGAATGACTTCAAAAGCAACTGTATATGTGTTTTCAAGAGCATGCTCCCATGCAGCAGCAACATTATCACCCCATGAGACATGGCTTGAGAGGTATGAGATAAGAGCAGTCTTGAATTCATTGAATTGTCCTTGTGTAATTCCACGGTTCTTGTGATCAACTCCTAATTTTTTGACAAGTCCATAAACAGCTGAAAGGTTTGCTTCATTTCCTGACAAGGCAATAAGTTCTGACAAGAATGAGACAATGCGAGTTGCATGAGTTGCGAACTGACCACTCGTCTTAATTGAATCGAGATCCTTTCCGGCAAATTGAGGGAACTTAGCCTGAATGTCTGGATATGCCTTGAAGACAGCAGCAAGAATGTCAACTTCATTGTGTTTAACTTGGTTCCATGAAGACTTAACGAGATTAGCTTCGTCAGAAGTCAATGGGTGAGCAATAGCTCCAACAATGCAAAGTGCAAGAACAGCGAAGAATTTCATTTTGACTGGATTTGTTAGTTGATTCAATGTAAACTGAAAACTGATTTATTTTGAATTTTTGTCACTTCTTTTATACTACAATATTTAATAAATATTAAACTCAAAATTACAAAAGAGAGATTATTTTAATATAAAATGCACAGCACAAGCTCATGCTAATTATTTTCTAATGATAAGGTTGGAATCTTTGTTGAAAGCTTCTTGTGATTCAATAAGTTTTGCTAATTGTGAAATAAAATTTTGTACTACTTTGGGTGAATAGTTCTCAGATATGTTCATAAAAGTATGAATAATATTGTTATTATAATTCATATTCATTAAACTTATAAAATAAACTTTCACAACTTATTGTTTTCGATTATTTCAATAATTTCAAAACTTCAGCACGTGCTGCGATAAGAGAACCAGAAAATATTATAGCTGATTATCAAGTTGAACTTGGTATTAAGTAAAGATCTAACTGTTCCTTATTAAAATAACCAAAAATAATCAAAAGCATTTCTCCTGTATAAAAGCCAAAACATCTGTTGCGACTAAATCAGTTTTCACTCGAATTTGAACAAATTTACAAATCTAGGCAGCATGAAATTCTTTGCAGTTCTCGCTCTTTGCATTGTTGGAGCAATTGCTCATCCATTGACTTCTGACGAAGCAGCACTCGTCAAGTCATCATGGGCTCAAGTCAAACACAATGAAGTTGATATCCTTTATACTGTTTTCAAAGCTTACCCAGACATCCAAGCTCGTTTCCCTCAGTTTGCTGGAAAGGATCTCGATACAATTAAGACAAGTGGTCAATTCGCAACTCATGCAACTCGCATTGTCTCATTCTTGTCAGAACTTATTGCTCTCTCAGGAAGCGAAAGCAATCTTTCAGCCATCTATGGACTTATCTCAAAGATGGGAACAGACCACAAGAACCGTGGAATTACACAAACTCAATTCAATAAATTCAGAACTGCCCTCGTCTCATATATCTCATCAAACGTCGCATGGGGTGATAATGTTGCAGCTGCATGGACACACGCACTTGACAATGTCTACACCGCTGTCTTCCAAATTGTCACAGCTTAAACACAAAAGTACCTGAACGAAGAATATTAAAAATTTTTATTTATTATTATTTTGTGAAATTGGGAATTAATAAAGATCGATTTTATTCCTACTGTCTATATAAACTTGAAATTATTTTGTTTTACTGATCAATTGTATTTCAGATTGTATTTCTTTCAATGATTTAGAACATTTCACTTACATTTGAAGATATAAAACTCATCAATCTAGAATGAACAATCTGTAAAGGTCTGAAATCATTTCTAGTGCTCAAATTTAACAAGACAAAATTTTAAGAATCATAAAAAAATAATTAAAAATGTTTATTAGGTGTTCAATTTTACATTTTCAAAATTTTAACTTTTTTTGATTATTAGTTTATTCAAGAGACTTGAGTGCAACTGCATAAGTGTTATCTAAAGCGTGATTCCAAGCAGCAGCAACATTGTCACCCCATGAGACATGAGCTTGTAGGTATGAAACGAGAGCAGTTCTGAATTCACCGAATTGAGCAGCTGAGATTCCACGTGCTTTGTGATCAACTCCCAATTTTGAGACGAGTGCGTAAACGGCTGAAAGGTTGGCTTGATTTCCTGAGAGAGAAATTACTTCTGTGAAGAATGAAACAATTCTTGTTGCGTGTGTTGCGAATGCGGCAGTATCCTTAATTGAAGCGAGATCCTTTCCAGCGAACTGTGGGAACTTAGCCTGGATGTCTGGGTATGCAGCAAAAACAGCAGCAAGAATGTCAACTTCATTGTGCTTGACTTGATCCCATGATGACTTAACAATTGCTGCTTCGTCAGCAGACAATGGGGAAGCAATAGCTCCAACGACACAAAGTGCAAGAACTGCGAAGAATTTCATTTTGATGCTTGGATTAGTTTATAGATTCAAATGCAATTGTAAACTGAATTCTAATGAAAAATAGTTCAGCTTTTATACAAAACTATTGTCCAAAAAAGTTTCAATACATTGAAAATTTATTGATTAGTAGAAACTATAAAACGCATTGGGGTTAATGATTTATGTCTAAAACAAACAAAAACTAGCTATTGTTGATAAGAGCATTTATTTTAAATAACATCTATCGTTCTTATCTGAGATCATAGTGCATCTTGTGTGTACTTAGAACGTTTTAAACGGTTAGATTCAGTGTTTTTTTAAAAAAAAATGTTAACAATAAAATAAATGGAAGACTTTCTTCCAGAGACCTTAATAGATGAAAGTGAGCAGGCAAAATAATTGTAAGATTGCTGAAAAAATTAATTATTAATAGAAAGTCAAAAGACATGCAAAACTTAGATGTTTAAAAAATCACAGAGAATTATTGATGTTTATTAATTCTTCAGCACATAATTATAAATTAATTTAGCTAGAAGTTAAATAATTTAAAGACGTGGGACAACGATGGCGAATGTGTTGTCAAGAGCTTTGTTCCAGGCAGCAGCAACATTGTCACCCCATGAAACATTAGCTTGGAGGTAGGCAACGAGAGCAGTTCTGAATTCTCCGAATTGAGCAGCTGAAACTCCACGAGCTTTGTGGTCATCTCCCAACTTTGAGACGAGTGAGTTGACTGCGGCAGCGTTTGAGTCGTTTCCTGAGAGAGCGATGACTTCTGACAAGAATGAAACAATTCTTGTGGCGTGTGTAGCGAATGCACCAGTATCCTTGATTGAAGCGAGGTCCTTTCCAGCGAATTGTGAGAATTTGTTTTGGATGTCTGGGTAAGCAGCAAAGACAGCAGCAAGGATTTCAACTTCGTTGTGGCTAACGGCCTTCCATGATGATTGGACGTATATATTCACACCGTACCATCAAAAGTCTTATGGATAGACCAAGATTTGCTTAACATAAGTTTGAATGATGAATTTAGCGAATCAGCTGAGCCTCGCTCAGCATAAGTTTTAAGGTATAAAGCTAGCTTTTTTTCATCCAAGGTTGAATTTTATAAAAATCACAGTAAACTTTTTTTTGAACAATTCGTAAGAAAGAAAAGTTGTTTGCTTTTTCTGAAGCAACGGCTGTTCCTACCTTGCCCAAAAACAATACAGCTCTTTTACAGAGCAGCACGGATCAAATATAAAAAACTAGAAGTCTCTACGATGTCTCGTTACTGAGATTTCTTGCTGATTAACTTGCTTGTTTGCTTACAGAAAGCGTATTTTTCGATTTTCTCAGCAATGCCGCAATCAATTTGAAATCTGCTTTTTGCAAAAGATGTGAAATTCTAGGCACAAACTTTTCATGTCTGAACATTTTAAGCTATCGTGCTCCATATCCTCACAAAATTCAAAAAACTGATTTTTCAATCTGAACAAAACCAATAGATTCACACGTGAAAACGGTGTGAATATAATAAATTAATTCACATTAGTTTAAGGAAGCAAAATTAATTGTTTTTCAATAATATTTTATTATTTCAACATGATTATTAGGGTCGTTCACTTATCACGTTCCAAATCGGTCATATTTAAAAAAATAACTTTTTAAAAATTTCTATTGTTCTTTTCTTGTGACACCCCCCCCCCCCCTTCATCTTTGACGCCATAAGTGAACGGCTTTTATGAATTTTAAATATTTACACCGTTTTTCTCAAATATTTCATATTTGGCGGAATCTTTGATTTATTATGTAATCCCTTAAACTTAAGGTTGAATATTTTCAAATGAAAGAAAGTTCCTGCAAAGCGAAAAATCGTAAAAATCATTGCAATATGACTTATCAAAGCGTTATTAATTTTGACTGAGACGGATTATATAGATCCAAAAATTCTTAAGATTCAATTTCATCAATGACAAAATTATAATGCATTATTCTCGTCAAAATTTTAGCATTGGGTTAGAATAATGTCTCATTTATTAATTTATATATGTGTCCGTAATCCGTAAATCCTTAAGTGATATGAGCAATCATTAGTCCTTCTATCCACTAGGCCGACGGTCCACACACATTTCAATGAATTGTCGCATGTGCCGATCGTTATAATTTGTTTTTTCACTACATGAAGTCAGAGGGATTAGGGAAACATAAAGTCATCATTTGTAACAAACTCCATAAAAGGGTCATCATCAATAAAGATCAACTTTTGAAAAGAAAGAAATTTTTTCGTTTATGGCTCTTTTATTTTTATTAATTTATTTTTAATTCAATAGATTAGTGATCGAAAAGAAAAGAGTTATAAACATCCGAAAACATTTTTAAATGAATGTCATTTATGAATAAATTTAAAAAATAAAACATATTTGCATCTAGATTCCAACATTTATTTCTGATAGAAAGGATCAAGATATACCAATCCAAATATTCTTTTTAATGAAAACTTTGAAGTGATGAATTAATAAGTAAGCTGAAAACGTTGTAACTTCAAAAAAATAATAAAATATGTTTGTATTTAGATGTTAAAAAATCACAGAGAATTATTGATGTTTATTAATTCTTTTATACATAATTTTAAATTAATTTAGCTAGATGTTTATCTAAATAATTTAAAGACGTGGGACAACGATGGCAAAGGTGTTGTCAAGAGCTTTGTTCCAGGCAGCAGCAACATTGTCACCCCATGAAACATTAGCTTGGAGGTAGGCAACGAGAGCAGTTCTGAATTCTCCGAATTGAGCGGCTGAAACTCCACGAGCTTTGTGGTCATCTCCCAACTTTGAGACGAGTGAGTTGACTGCGGCAGCGTTTGAGGTGTTTCCTGAGAGAGCGATGACTTCTGACAAGAATGAAACAATTCTTGTGGCGTGTGTGGCGAATGCACCAGTATCCTTGATTGAAGCGAGGTCCTTTCCAGCGAATTGTGAGAATTTGTTTTGGATGTCTGGGTAAGCAGCAAAGACAGCAGCAAGGATTTCAACTTCGTTGTGGCTAACAGCCTTCCATGATGATTGGACGAGTGAAGCTTCGTCAGCAGTCAATGGGGAAGCAATAGCTCCAACGATGCAGAGAGCGAGAACAGCGAAGAATTTCATTTTGTCTAGTTAGTAATTGAATTGAAGTCAAATCGAAAACTGAATTACTTTGAAAATTATTGTGGCTTTTATACAACTAATTTTGCCAAAAAAATCACAATACAGTCACAAACAAAGATTAGTTTAAACTATAGGATGAACGGATTATGTATACAAAAATACCAATACTATGTTCATTGTCTTTAAGTGATAACCGCGATTTACTCTTCTCAATCATTATATGGATGAACTCGTCACATAAAGGTTTTCTTATTTTTAATTGCTTCTTTTTTTGAGTACAATCAAAATTTGCATATGAGCTGACTTACATAGAAAATGAAATGTACATGGTGATCGACTTTTCAAGGCCACTAAAATAAAAAAAAAGTGAAATTCAAGAGATTATAATGTAAATGACATAATTTTTATTTTGCTTCTGGTTAAAATAATTAAAATTGAGAGTAAACAATTTGATATTTAAGAAACAATTTATTGAATTAATTTAAAGATTGATTCGATAAAGTTTGGCTATCGCAATTTCTAGAGACTACAAAAAAAGAAGCAATTGTTTAATAAGAGTCAAATTTGCCAAATATCCATAAAATAACTCTTAAGTTCCTCTCGAATCTTAAGACTTATCGACAATAATATCCCCTCGAGAATTACATAAGGACACTGACATGAGACCTTTCTGGAATCACAAATCTTTGCACATCAGGTATAAGCTAATAAAAACCATGCTAGAAATAATAGAATTTGTGTTTCATAATACAGTAGTGGTTCTCAAACTATGTGCCACAAAACAAAAATTGATTTCTGAAATTGGCCCTTTATTTCATGTTTTATGGCTTCAAAAAGGTTATGAAAATTATTCAAAGCATTAACATGCTGCTAATTGCTTTGCTGGTTGAATAGTTAAGGCGTTTGGCTCAAATTTGGTATGACAACTCGAAGATCGTTGATTCGAATCCAGCCATTTCCAAATTTGTTCTTTTTCGGACGTTTAGATACTTCGATTGCTTAATGTATGAGATCAAGCTATAATTGGGCATTTGGGCAACGTTGGGTTAAGGAACGGGTCATGAACGTAAGGACATGAAAAGTATAACGACACGCCCACAGAAGATCAAAACGAGAGCCTTAGTTTATTTGAAATCTAGTTTTGAAGATTGGAAGCTTAACCCTACATAATATTAATTCATATGTCTATAAATTCTAATGTGTAAAAGTGAATTATTACCCGACAGTAAGTCGTCAATAAATGCAATAAAGTGCAATTAAAATGAAAAAAATAGCGTTTCCATAGTCTCCTCAGCTGTACTGTATTAGACATTAGAAACCATAATTGTTTGAACTCATCAAGTTACACTCTGAATCAAAACTTATTCTTAAACGATCTTTATACAAATTGGAGATTTGACATAAAAAAAGGAGGAAAAACAACTAGCTTTATCGGGTTGCAAATTATCATGTATATTTGGAAAATCTATTCAATTTTCTAGATTTTTTGAGATTTCTAAAATTTCTGCAAACTTTCACTAAATCTGAAATCATTAAATTTATCAACACTATTAAAAAACATTTAAAATTAGATGTTTAAAAAATCACAGAGAATTAATGATGTTTATTAATTCTTCAGCACATAATTATAAATTAATTTAGCTAGAAGTTAAATAATTTAAAGACGTGGGACAACGATGGCGAATGTGTTGTCAAGAGCTTTGTTCCAGGCAGCAGCAACATTGTCACCCCATGAAACATTAGCTTGGAGGTAGGCAACGAGAGCGGTTCTGAATTCTCCGAATTGAGCAGCTGAAACTCCACGAGCTTTGTGGTCATCTCCCAACTTTGAGACGAGTGAGTTGACAGCAGAAGCGTTTGATTCGTTTCCTGAGAGAGCGATGACTTCTGACAAGAATGAAACAATTCTTGTGGCGTGTGTAGCGAATGCACCAGTATCCTTGATTGAAGCGAGGTCCTTTCCAGCGAATTGTGAGAATTTGTTTTGGATGTCTGGGTAAGCAGCAAAGACAGCAGCAAGGATTTCAACTTCGTTGTGGCTAACAGCCTTCCATGATGATTGGACGAGTGAAGCTTCGTCAGCAGTCAATGGGGAAGCAATAGCTCCAACGATGCAGAGAGCAAGAACAGCGAAGAATTTCATTTTGTCTAGTTAGTAATTGAATTGAAGTCAAATCGAAAACTGAATTACTTTGAAAATTATTGTGGCTTTTATACAATTAATTTTGCCAAAAAAATCACAATACAGCCACAGAACAATGATTAGTTCTTATTCTTTAAAAAAAGAAAAAGAACGGATTATATACACAAGCAATAGCCAGTAGCATCATTGTTTTATGCTGATAAGCAAATTTTCACCTCGCAACTAGTATGAATTCAATACAACTTAATAGCATTATCAGTTTTTGAAAATAATTCAACCTATGTTTAAAAATTTTTGTGCATAATTTCGAATGATCATCCAGAGCATTTAAGAACTGTTTTGTCATGTTTTTACCCTTCTTTGATAATTTTATCGTAAGAACAAATTATCCAAGGTCACAGTAAAATGTAGTTATTAAATGTAGTTCTCATAGGTATATATTCGTAGATTTAATTTTTGGTAAACATTTGAATGCATAAAATGATTTTTAAAAAAGTCAAAAAAAAACTTAAAAGTAATAATCGCACACACATGTGTTGCATGGCCACACATAATCAAAATGAAAAAAATTGAAATTTGCTTATCAAATAAGACAATAGCGTTCGCATTGGCTAGTTTTATATTTAATTATTTCATTCTATTCTTCTTATAGTTTTTTAAAAAAATAATTGTTTTGTGGCTGTATTGTGATTTTTTGGCAAAATTAATTGTATAAAAGCCACAATAATTTTCAAAGTAATTCAGTTTTCGATTTGACTTCAATTCAATTACTAACTAGACAAAATGAAATTCTTCGCTGTTCTCGCTCTCTGCATCGTTGGAGCTATTGCTTCCCCATTGACTGCTGACGAAGCTTCACTCGTCCAATCATCATGGAAGGCCGTTAGCCACAACGAAGTTGAAATCCTTGCTGCTGTCTTTGCTGCTTACCCAGACATCCAAAACAAATTCTCACAATTCGCTGGAAAGGACCTCGCTTCAATCAAGGATACTGGTGCATTCGCCACACACGCCACAAGAATTGTTTCATTCTTGTCAGAAGTCATCGCTCTCTCAGGAAACACCTCAAACGCTGCCGCAGTCAACTCACTCGTCTCAAAGTTGGGAGATGACCACAAAGCTCGTGGAGTTTCAGCCGCTCAATTCGGAGAATTCAGAACTGCTCTCGTTGCCTACCTCCAAGCTAATGTTTCATGGGGTGACAATGTTGCTGCTGCCTGGAACAAAGCTCTTGACAACACATTTGCCATCGTTGTCCCACGTCTTTAAATTATTTAACTTCTAGCTAAATTAATTTAAAACTATGTGTTAAAGAATTAATAAACATCAATAATTCTTTCTTTTAAAATTTAAAACTAATGTTTTTCTTTTCACCTTTATTCAATATGTTTTTTACAGCGTCAGTAAGAATGATATTACAGAAAAGCTAATTGGGTGCTTATAGAAGTTATTTTTTGCAAAAAATACAAGGAATTTTAATTTCATACTTTATTTTATACACTTTTTAAAATACTAATATTTTTTTTTTTAAATTTCTTTGTAGATTATTGTTTAAATGTCTATTGTGTTAACTATTAGGTAAGTATCATTAAAAAATTAATTTTAATTTTAAAAGTGCATAGATTGCCATTGTGATATCGAAAGCCTTGTTTAGAGCAGATAAAGTTTCAATTCAGAATATTAGGTTAAATAACTTAAAGATCGTAGATTGTGCAATAAAAAAAAGTTTAAGAAACACTGAAATAGAGCAAAATTAAAAGAGATCAAATGAAATTGAGAAATGAATTTAAGTGTTTTATATAAGTGATCGTACATTATAAAATATTGAATTTTTAAAAAAATACCTAGAAGATTTAATTCAATAAATTGCATCTTAGTTGTCAAGAATAAATTTTTTTTATGGATCACTATTGAACAACTTGACCCATTAATATAGCTTCATTAAAAAACAAATCGCAAGAAATAAATCATTAAAAAAATCTAGCTTAATCAGACAGGATAGACTTAATAAAACATGATTAAAGCAGAACTAGAATTTCTGAAAAACTTAATCAAGAAAACAAAATTAAAGTTAAAGCAGTAAATTTAGATGTTAAAAATCACAAAGAATTATTGATCTTTATTAATTCTTCTATTTCATTTTATAATGATAAATTATTCAGCTAGATGTTTATCTAAATAATTTAAAGACGTGGGACAACGATGGCATAGGTGTTATCGAGGGCTTTGTTCCAGGCAGCAGCAACATTGTCACCCCATGAGACATGGTTTGAGAGGTAAGCAACGAGAGCGGTTCTGAATTCTCCAAATTGAGCAGCTGAAACTCCACGAGCTTTGTGGTCATCTCCCAACTTTGAGACGAGTGAGTTGACAGCAGAAGCGTTTGATTCGTTTCCTGAAAGAGCGATGACTTCTGACAAGAATGAAACAATTCTTGTTGCGTGTGTGGCGAATGCACCAGTATCCTTGATTGAAGCGAGGTCCTTTCCGGCGAATTGTGGGAACTTAGCCTGGATGTCTGGGTAAGCAGCAAAAACAGCAGCGAGGATGTCAACTTCATTGTGGCTAACAGCCTTCCATGATGATTGGACGAGTGAAGCTTCGTCAGCAGTCAATGGGGAAGCAATAGCTCCAACGATGCAGAGAGCAAGAACAGCGAAGAATTTCATTTTGTCTAGTTAGTAATTGAATTGAAGTCAAATCGAAAACTGAATTACTATGAAAAATATTGCTCCTTTTATACTAAAGAAGTTCTTTATAAAATCTCATCTCAAAACAAACAAAATTATTTGTTTAGATGAGAGAAAATAATTGAGTTATTAAGCTTTATACAGTGCAAACCAACACCATCCTAAAATCACGTTGAAAAGTCACATATACCTCACAGATTTAAACACTTGCTTTCTTATCGATATGCTAATCATAGTATTTTTTAAAACCTTATCATTTGTTGTTTGTAATGAACATAAGAGTTTGCTCAATTTCTTTACTGATTACCACCAACATAACATTAATGTCAAAGGCCAAACATATTTTGGAACTTAGTTGTGAATATGTGATTTCTGTGATGTCATTATAATTGTGAGATAATAATTAATAATTCCAAACAATTCCTTTATATTAAATTATTTGATAAATTTTGATCACTTTTCATAAATTTACGCTTACAAAACTTCCGTTCGTGGAATTTCTAAAATAAAATTTCTTTACGCGAATAATTTCATTGTATTGAATAATTTATACTCATAATCACAATCCGCCTTATACTCATCCTAATAAATTGTTTTCTTCTTGCAGTTCAAATATTCTTTCTTCTATTCGTTTATGTTTGTTTTGAGATGAGATTTTCTAAAGAACTTCTTTAGTATAAAAGGAGCTCTAATTTTCATAGTAATTCAGTTTTCGATTTGACTTGAATCTAATAACTAATCCAGGCAACATGAAATTCTTCGCTGTTCTCGCTCTCTGCATCGTTGGAGCTATTGCTTCCCCATTGACTGCTGACGAAGCTTCACTCGTCCAATCATCATGGAAGGCTGTTAGCCACAATGAAGTTGACATCCTCGCTGCTGTTTTTGCTGCTTACCCAGACATCCAAGCTAAGTTCCCACAATTCGCTGGAAAGGACCTCGCTTCAATCAAGGATACTGGTGCATTCGCCACACACGCAACAAGAATTGTTTCATTCTTGTCAGAAGTCATCGCTCTTTCAGGAAACGCCTCAAACGCTGCCGCAGTTGAAGGACTCCTCAATAAATTGGGATCAGACCACAAAGCTCGTGGAGTTTCAGCCGCTCAATTCGGAGAATTCAGAACTGCCCTCGTCTCATACCTCTCAAACCATGTCTCATGGGGTGATAATGTTGCTGCTGCCTGGAACAAGGCTCTCGATAACACCATGGCTGTCGCTGTTGCTCACCTTTAAATCTTTTTAACCCAGTTAGAAAAATTGAAGTAATTTAACTTTAGTGCAACACTAATAAATCAATAAACATCAATGGTTTCCGATGCTATTTTTAAAATCTAAAACACTATTTGTTTACTTTTTTGTGTAGTTTGAAATTTTCAGGAAGCTCGTCACTTATAACTTATAACAAAGTTATAAGAACCAGGCTTTTAAGAAGACGTATGACCCAATGATCTTTCGATTCAATTAATTAAAGCTAAAGAGATACTCAATTTTATAATATATTTACAAAATCAGTTACTGTGACCGCACGCTTAATAATTTCATAAGGTGATAATGAATTTATTAAAAACAACAGCAACAAAAATTTGACTAAAACAAACAATTTCAGGAAGTTTAATTTTTTGGATGAGATTTTATGAAGGTCATTCAATGTCAATAAAAATATTAATAGAATGAAAAATGAACTGAAATTAAATATAACATAGGCTATTTTTTTTCCCCTGTACACAATATTGCTCCTAAACACACTACACATCTATGGCTATAGTAAGAATGGTCTGATTTGTGAGTAGATAAATAAATTTGAATAAAATGAAATCCTTAACTTAATAAAATTATTTATTTTTAAGATGTTTTAGCGAAAAATTGTTAAGCTTGTTCAACTAATGGACTTATGACATCCAAAATTAACGACAATTTTTCTTCCTGACCCCCCTCCCCCTGCACGTCATACGTTAACGGCTAAGTTTACTAAGCTTAAGTGAAAATGCGACTTTCACAAATTTAATGAAAAATCTGATTTATCACTTGTCAAAGTTGCTTTGGATCTGAAAGAATAAAAATTGTCAACTAATTTACATGAGAAGCTTTTAGTACTTTCATTTAGATTCTTAAAACTGCTCAAAGTAGCTCAATTTTATTCAATAGAAATTAATTTAATCAATCTCATTCTGCTTAGAAAAAGATTCATCTCATTTTACAACCTAGCTTACAGGTTTTCCATCATAATTGGAGAATATGACATAGTACATGCTGTCGAAGCAGTCGTTCCAAGCGTGGATGACCTTTTTATCCATTCTAGAATTGAATAATTTAATTTAAACTCCTTAACATAATTTTAAGAGTACTTACTCAACATGATCCTTCAAATACTTAAAGATTGAATCTTTAAATTTATTAAAATCATCTTTTGTAACACCTCGAGTTTTATGGACTTCTGCCATATCATTAGTAATCGTTCTCAAACATGGCTTACTCGATTCTCTTCCCAAAAGAAGGATGTAATGTGAGAAGAATGAAACAATTCTAGTTACATGAATTCCAAACTGGCTGGTACGTTTTAGTTCTTCCAATTCTTTACCAGAAAATTGAGGGAATTTCGACATAATATCCGGATGATCTTTAAAAATGTGGTAAAGAATTTCAATTTCTTTTGATTTCACTTCATTCCATGTCCTTTTGATGCTTGCAATTTCTTCTTCATCCAAATTATCCCAATGTGGATTAGCACTGACACAAAATATGCACAACGCTAGAACTAGGAACTTCATTTTACTTTTATTTTTAACTCTTTATTTTCACAAAGTCAGTTATGAACTGTCTACAGTTTAGATTCATTTGTCTGAATTTATAACAAATGTTCGTGCGGACGATGATTCTATGAATTTTTAAATTAACGAGTTCAAGTGCTTTTAGCTTGAATTTTGAATAGATGAAGTTAAATCAGTTTTCTTTGGGGAGTACTGATCCCATTAGAGGAGAGGGGTAGCTTCATATGATTCATAACTCACTAGTAAGTAAGGGTAGCACAAAATGCGCTACATCCATTTTAAACATTTTATATCTTCACATTGTCAACATCATCAAGTTGTGAAAAACATTTCTTGATTAATACTGAATAGAAAGTAAATAATGCGATTGTGTTGTAATGATAAACAGCAGGTCAAATTGTGTGCTTAAAATAGTCATCATATGTATGAGGATAATTTTTTGTACAAGGTGAATAATATTATTGAAAATTAGATTACATCAAATACAAAATCAGCTATATTTGAGTTTAGATCTTAAAAAATCTGAAATTGAATTAAGAACTTCATTTCTCTTGTTTGTTTATTCTTTTAATGCCAGTAAAGTTAATTCAGATTTGTTTTCTGTTATTAAATTGAATTATTTAATGAAGACTTAAAATGCTGCATGTAGTTTTAGGTTCTTGGGAGTTTTGTAAGATTCTTAGTGCTCAATAAGTTACAAAATTGCAGTTTTGACAGTAAATTTTTCAGATTATTTTAGGATAATTTATACCATTAAGGAGTCAAATCCTTCTCGACTTTAAAATTCTCTTATTTTCAGAATTTTCAGGGAAAACCAGCACCTTTTATCCACAAGTTTTTGGTAAAATCAATAATAAAAGAATCAATTTTATGCAGCAGACCCATTTAACTGCATCTTAAATTGTATTTTTTTTATAAAATCTTTAAAGCCACAAAAAACAATTCTAATTTAAAATTCAATCGTTGGATTAAAAATAATTTTTGACACCTTTAAGTTAGGCAATTGTATTAATATTAATAATTTGGATTATCACAGCAATTGCGGATATTAAAATCTTAAAGTTGTGAAAGGTTAAATAAGTTCCAGAAAGATAACTAGCCATTTTTTATTTCTTCAAAGAGAGCACAATGAAAGGACTTGGAGCTAGCCAAGATTCTGAAATTAACTGCTAAGTAGTGTCATCTATCATTGTGTAGATTAAATCAAAAATTAAATATTTATTCTCATCATGAAAAGCAGTCGTAGAGCTTTATTTTTGTAACATTATCATCTTTTAAAAATTGGGGTAGGTTATGGATTACTTCAACCTCTTATCACTGACTTTTGTTATTCAAAAATTAATTATTATAGAAAAACAAAATATTAAAAACGAATAAAATAATATTTTGAAATTCGAACAAATTTTTATATAAAAAATTTGTGGTTTTATTTGAAAACTTAGTTTTGATTTTTATTTCATGAAAATTATACATAATAAAATGAAAATTTGGTATGAATATGATTAAATTTTAAGCAAAACTCTTTAAAAAAAATTCAAAATTAAAAATTTTCGTCAAAAAAAACAATCAACTTATTATGTAAATTTCAAATGTGAATCGTTCAATATTACCTTATCAATAATTGCATTAACAAAGCACAAACATATTTTTAATAATCACTGTTCGAACTTATGACATTACGAGACTTTGCATTTGAATAATTCACAATAAAATTTCGATGCTGATTACAACAATTTGACTAGCAACGACCTGGTGAAGACAAAACATGCATTTTGTAAATGAAGTATAAAAGACCCAAAAATTCAACTTAAAGTCATCATTTCTTTTCTGAAGTTTGGTGTAAAAAGTCAAATAATCTAAAATGAAGTTTATAATTCTTGCATTGTGCGTTGTTGCAGCTGCAGCTGATCCTCACTGGTTCATGATGGATGCTACTGAAGTAGATAGCGTTAAGCATACATGGGAGTCAGTTAAGCATAATGAAGTTGATATTCTTTATGCTATCTTCAAAGCATATCCAGACATCATGGCTAAGTTCCCACAGTTTGTTGGAAAGGATCTCGAAAAAATAAAGGATTCTGGTCCATTCGCAGTTCATGCAGGTGAGGACACATTGATAGATTTATTGATAAACGAATAATAATTTTATAAAAATTTTCAGGTAGAATTGTAGGATTCTTTGGCGAATACATCACTCTTCTAGGAAAGGAATCGACACAACCAGCCATCAAGACTCTCTTAAATGAAATGGGACAAAACCATAAAGGACGTGGAATTCCAAAAACTCAATTCAATGAATTCAAAACCGCTGTTATGTCATACCTTAGCACACACGGTGATGGATATAATGCTCACTACTTTGATGATGTCTTTGACAAGATGTACTTTGTTATCTTCAGCAATCTTGATGGACATCCAGTTTAAATAAAAATCACGTAGCTAGAAATATTTTATGATGAAGAAACACGCAATTGACAAAATGGACTGATAATACTCATTAAGGTGTAGACACTTATATTTTTGATTTTAACAATTAGTTGGATGATCTTATTTTGGAGTGTTTGAATCTTGATACTCATTGTTTATAAGTAATGCAATAAAAAAATCAATTTGATGGATGATTGAAAAAAAACATTTTATTCTGAAAATTGCAGCAGGGTGGGAGGGGGTCATCTATGTCTATCTTTTATATCGACTAAGATCGTGTGTTTTAGTTCCCTTGGCTAAAATGAAACTGGTTTACAACCTTAAGTTACACATAAATGTCAGCCTCGATATGAATTGCTAGATAAAGAACAAATAACAAAAAAGATATAAAAGCTGATGGATTTTTACAGCACATCAGTAGTTTATCACAAACTGAGTTTTAAGCTTTTATTTTGAAAAAAATATTTTTGTAAAAAATGAAGTTTTTATTAATTTTAGTTTTTTGCATCGCTGGAGCTATGGCTGTACCATTGACACCAGAGCAACAGACTTTGTGGTCAAATCATAATAATTATAATCAAAATGCTGAATTTCAGATGTTTATAATTTTGAGAAATAACTTTCAAATTTTTCCACAAATCGCTTCAAACGATTTTGTTGGCTTATCCAAAAAGGCAAAAGATGTTATAAATTTTTTGACAGAAGCTTCCAACGTCCTTGGACAGGATTCACTCGACGCAGACATCAGGATTAATTTAATAAATATGGTGCTTGATTTGGGAATCAACAAAGGTGCCTTTTTTGAATTTAGGATTGCAATGACATCATTTTTGAATGAACAATATAAATTGGAGCCTCGAGTTCAGGATGATTGGATTAACGCATTTGATCTTATTTATTACGCAACTTTTAAACAATTAAACTTTGAATGTTATTTCCTTAAAAACAATTAATTCTTAAAATATATCAAAAGTCTGATTATAATTTTATTAAAAAAAAAAATAATGCGGAATTTACTTTTATTTTTTATGAAGAACCTCCTCCAAATAATCCTTATCAAAAACATAATTTTCAATTTCGTCACCATTAGCTTAGCTCTTTTGATAAGAGAGTCTACGTAATTATTATGTTACAAATAAGTTCTAACTCAGAAATCTCTCTCTGAATTCTCGCGCATAGTTTTGGGTATAAAAGCTGCGAGATTCAGCTTAGTAAATTAAGTTTTCAATTCAACTTGAAGCAACAAACAAATCTAGACAACATGAAATTCTTCGCAGTTCTCGCTCTTTGCATCGTTGGTGCCATCGCCGCTCCATTATCTGCTGACCAAGCAGCTACAGTCCGTGCTTCATGGGCTGGAGTTAGACACAACGAAGTTGACATTCTTGCTGCTGTCTTCAGTGATCACCCAGATATCCAAGCTCGTTTCCCACAATTCGCTGGAAAGGACCTTGCTTCAATCAAGGATACTGGTGCATTCGCCGTCCACGCTGGTGAGTAGCTATTGATGCTAGATTAATTATACTAAGGTACTCATTATAATTTATATTTAAATTTACAGGAAGAATCGTCGGATTCATCTCAGAAATTGTTGCTCTTGTTGGAAACGAATCAAATGCCCCAGCCATGGCTACACTCATCAATGAATTATCAACAAGCCATCACAACCGTGGAATCACAAAGGGACAATTCAATGAATTCCGTTCATCACTCGTCTCATACCTCTCAAGCCACGCTTCATGGAATGATGCTACCGCTGATGCCTGGACCCATGGACTTGACAACATCTTCGGAATGATCTTCGCTCACTTGTAAATCAAAACTAGCTAAAATACCAAATTCAAAAATACATGAATCAACACCTCATGTATTTAGTGATATCTTGTGATTTGAATGATTTTTAATAAAAGTCAACGAATCTGTTATTTGTATATTAGAAACTTACTATCTTTTCCTGCATTAAATTTTCAGAATATTCTCTAAACATATTGCAAGACCAAAAGTCAATGATAAGCTTTAACTTAATGTCAAAATTTGTTCATTATTCAATAAACATCTTCTTGGGGTTAGAAATTAATATTATTCACTTTCAAAAATAAAATAGTTATGATTTGTCTCCATTGGTTCTTAAAAAAATCAAACAAAACCAATCGACATGAAGAAGGACCTCTATTTTGTTAAAATATGTCTAGTCTATGGTTGTTATCATGATTAGTGTAAATTACTTAAAAATATAACATTGAGCGATGTTATACTACTAATATTAGTTCTGCGTTATACCTAATTTAAATACAATACAGTCCAACAAAATACCAATGAATTACATTTAAATTTTATGTTTATGTATGTTTAATACTATTCAAGTGCTAACGTTCATTCAGTGTTGCATTCTGTCCATTTGTCTGGATCAGATAAATTTTGAGACAGAAATTTCTTCATAAAGATCGATTCTATATGAAGATAGAAAATCTAATCTACACAAATATTATTTCTACATAAAGAATCTGTCTACATAAAGATTCGATGTAGATGTCTACAATTCTACATTCTTCTCTGATGTAGGCCTGGAAAAAATGTAGAATTGTAGACATCTACATCGAATCTTTATGTAGACAGAATCTTTATGTAGAAATAATCTTTGTGTAGATTAGATTTTGTATCTTCATGTAGAATCGATCTTTATGAAGAAAGTTTCTTAGCTAGACAAAAACTATTGAAGAATCTACATTTTTCATCTAGTGTAGACATCTACATTTTCAACACTGCGTTCATTGAGTTTATAATAATTTAATAATCTTCGAACAATATCAATAAAACGAATTATACTCAATTTTGATATCCACTTCAACTTTTTGAAAATATCTTCAGGCGTTTGAGGTTTTTGACAAATTTAATGAGTGATCTACAAAAAGTATCATTTTTTTTAAATTTACAGATATTTTGATTTTTTGTAACTTGACTGATGTGACGTTGTAGGTTTTCAACTTTTACAAAAGTTTTAATTTACAAAGCTTTACGAACTCAATCTTTCTATGTTTTTGTAAAACAGGTTCTTAAAAACAATAATCGGAAACAAAATACAATATGTTTAGAGAATATTCTGAAAATTTAATGCAGGAAAAGATAGTAAGTTTCTAATATACAAATAACAGATTCGTTGACTTTTATTAAAAATCATTCAAATCACAAGATATCACTAAATACATGAGGTGTTGATTCATGTATTTTTGAATTTGGTATTTTAGCTAGTTTTGATTTACAAGTGAGCGAAGATCATTCCGAAGATGTTGTCAAGTCCATGGGTCCAGGCATCAGCGGTAGCATCATTCCATGAAGCGTGGCTTGAGAGGTATGAGACGAGTGATGAACGGAATTCATTGAATTGTCCCTTTGTGATTCCACGGTTGTGATGGCTTGTTGATAATTCATTGATGAGTGTGGCCATGGCTGGGGCATTTGATTCGTTTCCAACAAGAGCAACAATTTCTGAGATGAATCCGACGATTCTTCCTGTAAATTTAAATATAAATTATAATGAGTACCTTAGTATTATTAATCAAGCATCAATAGCTACTCACCAGCGTGGACGGCGAATGCACCAGTATCCTTGATTGAAGCAAGGTCCTTTCCAGCGAATTGTGGGAAACGAGCTTGGATATCTGGGTGATCACTGAAGACAGCAGCAAGAATGTCAACTTCGTTGTGTCTAACTCCAGCCCATGAAGCACGGACTGTAGCTGCTTGGTCAGCAGATAATGGAGCGGCGATGGTACCAACGATGCAAAGAGCGAGAACTGCGAAGAATTTCATGTTGTCTAGATTTGTTTGTTGCTTCAAGTTGAATTGAAAACTTAATTTACTAAGCTAAATCTCGCAGCTTTTATACCCAAAACTATACGTGAGTATTCAGAGAGAGATTTTTGAGTTAGAACTTATTTGTAACATAATAATTACGTAGACTCTCTTATCAAAAGAGCTAAGCTAATGGTGACGAAATTGAAAATTATGTTTTTGATAAGGATTATTCGGAGGAGATACTAGTGTTTTAAAATGAATTATAAACTACTATACCAAGAATACCACAAATGTTCTTAAATGTTAAAAGGATTTGGATAATGATTTTATCGGTTTGACGTGTCATCATATTAATAAAGGTTATTGTTCTTTAGAAATATTAGCATACAATGATGAGACATTTGATACTTTGTAAGGTTCATAACGGTTCATTCAATATAACTTATAGAAAAATTTACAATTCCAAGTTCCACCATTTCAAAACTAATCTAATACAAAGTCCTAAACCTTTGTTCCTTAGCTTTCATAACAATCAAATTTGTTTTGTTTATTAATATGAATAAATTATGAAACAATTTTGAAGGTGACTTTAGAATTGTTTGAAAAACAATATTGATAGTAAGCACACGCTTTAAAATCTATTAATAAAGCAATTGTTATCATCTAAAGAGTTTGTCAAATTTGAATTCTGCCAGATGTTGAAAAAAATACAAATATTCCGGCTTTTGTCATCCTAATCACCATAAAAGCGTAAATTCAAATATAACATTATGGAGATAAGGAACACCTCACAACTTTCAAAGAAGAATGGACGTTTGATAAGCTGTGATGTCAAGAGTTCACACATAAATTTGTGAAAATGAAAATAATTTAGATTAATTTTGTGAATAAGAAAAATTACGTCACAAATGTAAGAGTTTGAAGTTTTCGGTTTGATTGTACTCAGCTTAATTTTATTAAACATAAAGATTTTTATACAACTTTAGTGCAACAATTTTATTTGATTGCTAATATACCAAAATATGCATAGGTTGACTGAATATGTTTTGAAAAAACTAGATGACCTGAAATTTAAATAGAGTGTCTACCAATTTTATGCATTTTCTGGATAAACTAGAACAAAATAAATCAATTTTATTTTTGAAAAATAAAAATAATAGAGACTGTCCTCTAAAAAACAAAGCTTTAAAATGCATTGAATTTTTTAAAGTTTCGATTTTTTGGTTTCTTCCAAAAAGTTGTGAACAGCCATAAAATACAAGATTTCTCTGAATTTAATGGAAATTAAATTAAAACATAAATTAATATACATTTGGAAATAAATTTCAAATTCTTCCAGGACATAACTATGTGTGTTGACTCAATAAGAATGTGTTTGAGCAAGAAGTAAGTTTTTAATACACATTAAAAGTCGTGAATTTAATTGTTTGAAATTATAAATTAAATTTATTTCTAATAATGCTGAATATTGCGCCAAATAATTATTGTCCATTATAGCTTTTTTGATTAGATTAAAACGTTGCTTGGGGTCTCCTGTCCGTACTACGTGATTTTTTCAAAATTAGAACTTATAATCAAATACAAAATGTTAGTAGAATGTTCTTAATTTATTCACAATTTAGTTTGGACACAAACATTTGTTTTGGTCAACGTATCAAAATGATTATATGCTTCTTATCATTATGTATTTGAGAAAATCACGTGAGCATCATTTACAGTAGCTTATCAGTTTAATTAATTAAAACAAGTAAAAGAGGTTTGTAAACAAAAATTGTGTCTGAACTGAGCTTTTGAAAAGATAATTTTAATGTAAAAAGTTCTTCTTGAATAAGTTGAGTAATTAAAGATTACAATACAAAGTAAATGATTATGCAAACATAATGAGTTTACTTTCATTTATTGAGATATTATAGAAAAACATTTTAAGTCTGAATTTTTCTTGCTGCTCAATTGACAGTTGCAAATTTTTCTAGACAAAAAATGACAGCCTGAAGAGGTTCTAGAACCAATAAATAATTTAAAACAAAGATTTTCACGTTCAATTTTTTATTTTTGGAATATGCTATGAAAAAAAAGCATATTCGGGAAGCATTTAGAAATCATCTAAAGATTCATTTATGCTTAATGTGCTTTAATCACCGACAAAAAATTTGAAAAACTATTTCAAATATTAAGACCCTTCTCTCATGTAGGACAACCTACTCTCGTACTCTGGATACATTCCAAAAAAATTGAATCCTTTTGTTCCTTATCTTGCATCTTAATTTCTTTTTCAGCATCAAAATATTAACATCTGTTATGTTTTGATTTTTCAAGGTCGCTGATAATTTTAAAGCTATGAGTCGAATCAGAGGCGTGTCTTAGTTATGAAACTCTTAGTCATTTAGATTACACGTTTGCTTTTTTAATTTGAGAAAGTTCCTGGAAAATTTAAAAAAAAAAACATCCTTAATATATTGAAAAATCATCAGCATTAAAAAAATACTGTTTATTTTCGTAGATGGAAATAGATCACTTTGGAAGGCCAAAGAACTCATGGAAAGAGACTATTGATAAAGACAGTGTTGCTTTTGAAATCGGCAATTGGCATACGGGAACCAGCGACAGAGCTAGTGTTAAGGGACGACTAAGGGAGGTTATGGATAATAATTGATCTGTACGACCAGCGAAATAAGTAAGTAAGTATTAAGAATATACAAAAAACTGTCGATTCAAAAAATAATCAAAGCAAATTGCCCTTAAGACTTTTTGTTGAGCAGTTGATACTCACATGATCATTTGCTAATTTACTATAATGAAAAATCGGAAGATTTATATTAAAAATTTAAATAAATAAAAAAAATCATTTCGTCACTTTTTTACGTTCAAAGGTCTTGATAATGGAAATACAAGAAACAATTTTTATTCGTAAACGCTTCAACTCCTCATTCATCTCTTTTTTCCTGCAAGATTAGTTAATTTTCTTAATTTGTACTGATATGAAAGCAGCTATATAGCAGCCGTTGTGAAACTTTATTCAAAAATAAAGACAAATGTATTTAATAATCATAGCTGTATAAAATAGGCAAATAAAGTCACAATACGCATCAGTTTACTCCTGAGTTTGATAGAATCAAAAATGAAATTCTTAGTTCTTGCATTGTGCGTTGTAACCGTCATGGCTGATCCACATTGGATTACATTGGATGCTCATGAAGTTGAGCAAGTCAAAGCCACTTGGAAGGCTGTCAGTCACGACGAAGTTGAAATTCTTGCTGCTGTCTTTAAAGCACATCCAGATATTCAAGCTCGTTTCCCACATTTTGCTAGAAAGGATCTCGACTCAATAAAAGACTCAAGTGACTTCGCAGTTCACGCAGGTGAGGACATATTGACTACATTAAGGAACTTATTACAACTTACAAATTTCTAGGTAGAATCGTCGGATTCTTCGGAGAATACGTTGCACTTCTAGGAAGTGAAGCAAACCAACCTGCCATCAAGACACTCTTACATGATTTAGGAACCAGCCATAAAGCTCGTGGTATTGTCGCATCTCAATTCAACGAATTCCGTGATTCAATGACTGCCTACCTGAAGTCACACTCAAGCTGGAATGCTGATATTTCACATAGCTGGGATGATGCTTTCGACAAGGCATTCTCAGTCATTTTTGAGTCTTTGTAAATGATTTGTTGATACCTGAAAGCTTACGCTTTAGCAATAAATGTGAAATAATATTTGTAAAAATGCAATCAATATTTTTTTGTTAATTAATGAATGATTGAGGAAAATTCTCATTTTTTTTATTCAAAAAAATTTATGCAGGAACTGATTCGTATTTGATCATTCATCTTGTACGTAATTTTTGGACATACCAAAATTTTTTGATTAATTTTTTAAATTGATAATTCTAAATTCAAAAAGCAAAACACGAAGGAGATCTTTACAAAAATAATATGACACGCAAAATATTCTTGTGCGAGGTTATTGATAATTCTGAACGGCAAATAAATTTGAAGGCGTGTTTATGTGACGAAAAAAACATTATTATGCTCCTTGATTGATTTTGTGGTTTCTGCTACATGCGTTTTAAATTGTTTGAACTTTGCTGAATTTTTCTAATACATCGTAAGATGAGCTATACTGATCAGTTAAACTTGAGCTCTTTATTTGCAATTCTGCAGACCTGTCAAGGATAATTTAAAACAACAAAAATTTTTTCCGTAATTTTTATGGCCAGCACGGTTTATTTGCTTGAGAAAATATGTTTATCTACAGTTATTTACATTTTCATAGGCAGTGATGTTGCTTTTGACTTGATTAATAAAGAAACATGAATCTTTAATAGATTTATGATTCCAAGACCTCGAAGATGACTGAGAATGCCTTGTCGAAGGCATCGTCCCAACTGTGTGAGATATCAGCGTTCCACTTGTTGTGTCCCTTGAGGTAGGCAGTCATTGTTTCACGGAATTCTCCGAATTGAGCCTTTGTGATACCACGGGTCTTGTGGAAAACTCCCAAGTCGTGTAAGAGTGTTCTGATGGCAGCTTGGTTTCCTGATGATCCAAGGAGTGTGACATATTCACCGAAAAAGCCGATAATTCTACTTGCATGAACTGCAAAGTCAGCAGTGTCCTTAATTGCTTCGAGATCCTTGCCAGTGAACTTTGGGAACTTTGCCATGATATCTGGATGAGCTTTGAAGACGGTATAGAGGATTTCAACTTCATCGTGGCTAACTGCCTTCCATGTTGCTTGAACTTGTTCAACTTCATGAGCATCTAATGTGTGCCATTCTGGATCAGCCATAGCGGCTACAACGCACAATACAAGAACTAAGAATTTCATGATTATTTGACTTGCTTTCAATCGAACTTTCAGAAGAAAACTGATGCCTTCTCAAACATTTGCCTCCTCTTTTATACTCATTTTTAATTGAAAATTACGTTTTTTCTTGTGTATTGCATAACTGCCTAGCTGAATTCTCGTTAGTATGAGATAGAAGCTTGTTTTTGTATTGCTGGTAAGGAAAAATGATAAATTTGATCAAAATTGGCCATCTTGGAAAGTATGATTTAGCGTTTTATTTTGGAGACCTTTGAACGCGGTTAGTGACGACATCATTTTCTTATCTATAGGGATACTGAACTTGCCGAGCATCTTTTACTATGAAAATGATATAAAATTGATAATGATTCTTCTTTCAACAGATTTTTGTCTGCAAACTATTAAATTCTTTCGTTATTCTTGCTGGAAGCTTCAAAATGTCTTAACATTGAAGGATTTGCGTCCTTCCGTGATTGTAAAAATGTTTCTTATCCGATTAGAAATGTGAATTGAAGAATAGAATATACCCGGGAATATCAGCATCTTAAAATACCCTACTGATATGTTCCAAAATTTCATGAATAACATTCTAAAATATAATCTTACAATGAATGATCATGTGAATGTCATATGCTCCCCATGGATTTTTAGGGGGCAAATCAGATTAATTTGAGACTGTTCTAGAAGTTTTCAGCTTATGTCCTCTTAAATAGAATACTTTATATGTTGACATTAATATTAGGAAATTGAATAAGACATGAATTGTAAAAGGATTTAATTATTTTATTTCAGGATGAACATTGAGTTAAAAAACTTTGTTTTATTGGATTTAAAATGGGCTTTAATAGCTAATTAATAACTCTGCATAAAATCACAATGACACAAATTTTAAAAGTTGATGTGCAATGCAAGTTGTCATTAATTTTGTTGACTTTTTGTGCTGATAATTCATAATCTATAAATAAAATTAGAGGCGCGTTCATGTTATGAAAGAAAAAGACTCCAACAACAATAAGAAAATAAACATTACAATGCTCGTATATTATTCAGATATTCTATTAAACTTTAGCTGCTTATAAATTAAATGATCAAAATTCTTATATGTTAAAAATTGTACTTTTTAGAATTCTAATAGTGGAGATTATTATCCACGATTATCGCAATAAGCCAAAGCACTCAATTTTGCTTTGCTACTGCACCTCAACTGCAATCAATTCTTAAATAAATTATTGACCATATGTTCGAATGATTTAATTTACAAAGTATTCTTGATTACAAATTTTACTGAAAATTTCAGAAATAATCTTAACTTAATGAGATTTGCCCCTAAACCTCAATGAGGAGCATATGACATTCACATGATCATTCATTGTAAGATTATATTTTAGAATGTTATTCATGAAATTTTGGAACATATCAGTAGGGTATTTTAAGATGCTGATATTCCCGGGTATATTCTATTCTTCAATTCACATTTCTAATCGGATAAGAAACATTTTTACAATCACGGAAGGACGCAAATCCTTCAATGTTAAGACATTTTGAAGCTTCCAGCAAGAATAACGAAAGAATTTAATAGTTTGCAGACAAAAATCTGTTGAAAGAAGAATCGTAATCAATTTTATATCATTTTCATAGTAAAAGATGCTCGGCAAGTTCAGTATCCCTATAGATAAGAAAATGATGTCGTCACTAACCGCGTTCAAAGGTCTCCAAAATAAAACGCTAAATCATACTTTCCAAGATGGCCAATTTTGATCAAATTTATCATTTTTCCTTACCAGCAATACAAAAACAAGCTTCTATCTCATACTAACGAGAATTCAGCTAGGCAGTTATGCAATACACAAGAAAAAACGTAATTTTCAATTAAAAATGAGTATAAAAGAGGAGGCAAATGTTTGAGAAGGCATCAGTTTTCTTCTGAAAGTTCGATTGAAAGCAAGTCAAATAATCATGAAATTCTTAGTTCTTGTATTGTGCGTTGTAGCCGCTATGGCTGATCCAGAATGGCACACATTAGATGCTCATGAAGTTGAACAAGTTCAAGCAACATGGAAGGCAGTTAGCCACGATGAAGTTGAAATCCTCTATACCGTCTTCAAAGCTCATCCAGATATCATGGCAAAGTTCCCAAAGTTCACTGGCAAGGATCTCGAAGCAATTAAGGACACTGCTGACTTTGCAGTTCATGCAAGTAGAATTATCGGCTTTTTCGGTGAATATGTCACACTCCTTGGATCATCAGGAAACCAAGCTGCCATCAGAACACTCTTACACGACTTGGGAGTTTTCCACAAGACCCGTGGTATCACAAAGGCTCAATTCGGAGAATTCCGTGAAACAATGACTGCCTACCTCAAGGGACACAACAAGTGGAACGCTGATATCTCACACAGTTGGGACGATGCCTTCGACAAGGCATTCTCAGTCATCTTCGAGGTCTTGGAATCATAAATCTTTATTTTTCCACATAAATCACTATTAATCAACATCACTGTAAAAGATTAGTATACTTTTCTTAAGATCCGAAAATTTTGTATGCTTTATCAAATAATAAATATAATTATTGCTGAGTACCCTTAAAATTTATGTGTTTTAAAATGACTTGCTAGAATTTGAATAGTTATTTTTATTTTTATAGCATTAGAATGATCATGGATGCTGAACTGTTAAATCAAGTTTTTTTTCAATTTATATGCAGCTTCTGGTAGTTTAAGCTAGGGATAATCTTTCAATTTTACATTCTATTTTGGTCTTTATGGTTTGAAAATTCAAAAGCTCATAAGTATCGCATGTGCTTATATTTGTGAGAATCTTAGATTGGATTCAAAATTCATTTCAGCGCCATCCTGCATCTCGTTAACCACAATTTTGTTTAAAAAATAGATATCGCATGAAGCCATGTGCATCATCCACAAATTTAAGTCTTTCATATGTTTCAATGACCAAAAAGCTTCAAATTAGCCATCAGATTCACTTTCCATCCATTCCAAAACAATTCAAATTTCCCGCACACGACCACAGTGACACCTCGTTGTCAAAATTCACCGACTTGTTTTCGTTTGTTGTTTTTGACTTAAGTGAAATAATCAAATAAAATTTTAATACTTTGTGCTAATAATTAAGCTAAATTAAAAAATGGGAATCGGTCAAGTATTAAAGAAGGTCGATGCATTTCCAAAACTCATCGATATTGAAGTCAATAAGACATTTAGCGGTGCACTTTGTGGGTTTCAAATTTATATTTTCATTACGTGTACGATTTTTATTGTGACTGAATCTAATCATCTTTTTATTGTAGTGACCATCATTAGCGGTGTTTTTATGTTTGTTCTTGTCATGTCAGAGCTGAGTGCATACATGTCACCAAATGTAAATGAAGAACTTTTTGTGGACACAACAAGATCACACAAATTGAAAATAAATTTAGATATTTATGTACCGAGAATATCTTGTGATTATCTCTCATTGGATGCGATGGATTCCACAGGTTTGTTGATATTTTTAGAATGATTTTGTGGTTTTATGATTGATTTTGGTTGTCAGCCAGCTCAAGATTCCATATTTTGAAGACATACGTTATTTGAGAATGAACCCTTAGTTAATAATCTACAATAAAATATGCTGTGTCGAAAAATATTAATTAAACCATTCAACGTTGATTTGATTTGTAGATTAGCGAACAATACATTTGTTAAGTTAATAATTCTGAGCGTTTCTAATTTGAGAACATATTGTACTGGCATGTTCACTTAGGCAGACTTTTTCTAATCTGCTCGTCAAGAAGAAATAAAGACGTGCTTCTTTAAAATCGTTTTTGGATTATAATGACTAAGAAGCGTCCAGTATTTTGATGAAATGAAGATTTTGTGATCTTTAGCATTCCAGCACATGAATCTTGATGACAAGCGCGTAACCTCATACCTGAACAACCCATTATTGAACAAGTAGATAAACCGATATCAAGCCATAAAGTTTTACTATGTCCGCAATTAAAACTTATCAATCTCCTCGTTTAGTCTTGCTTTGTCCCCTAATTTAAACTTATCAATCTCCTCATTTGTTCTCACTTTATTTGCTAATTGCTTAAAAATATCATTTTAGGTGAGCAGCACCTTCACATTGAGCACAACATCTTCAAACGGCGAATGAGTTTAGATGGACATCCAATAGAGGAAGCAAAAAAGGAAGAGATCCAATCATCGACAACAAAAAAGCTAAATCAGACAATTGAAGAAGTTCCAAAATCAGAGGAGGTAAAGAAAGAAAAAGTTGATGAGCCTCCAAAATGTGGAAGTTGCTATGGTGCTGAATATAATAAGACTCACTGCTGTACTACATGTCAAGATGTTATTGATGCATACAGAGACAAACGATGGAATCCAGACACAGATAAATTTGAGCAGTGCATAGGGGAGAAAAAGACCGAGAATGAGTTCGCGAAGAAGGCTCTGGATGAAGGTTGCAATATTTTTGGATATTTAGAAGTAAATCGAATGGGTGGAAGTTTCCACATTGCACCTGGTCGATCATTCAGCATCAATCATATTCATGTTCATGATGTTCAACCATTTTCATCCACAACATTCAACACAAGTCATGTAATAAGACGATTAACATTTGGTGAAGAGTTTGGGTTTGGACAGACAAATCCACTAGACAATATGGAAGTGACAGCAAAGGATACAGCAATAATGTACAATTACTACATCAAAATAGTTCCAACAATGTACGTCCCACAAGGAGATGTAGCTGGAACAATTCACACAAATCAATTTTCAGTGACAACACATCAAAAGACAGCTCAGTCAAGTGGTGGAGAATCAACAATGCCTGGAATATTCTTTTCATATGAGCTATCACCACTGATGGTGAAGTACACAGAAAAATCAAATAGTTTTAGTCACTTTTTAGTTAATATCTGTGGAATTATTGGTGGAATATTTACAGTCGCTGGATTAGTCGACAGTGTTTTACATCGAGTTGAGAAACAAATACGAAGAAAAATGGAACTAGGAAAATTTACATAAATTTTTTTTATTATTATCTGTTGATTTTATTATGTGTGTACTGGATGATGAGCAGCATCAAAGTTTCCAGGATCAAAACTTTCCAAAATTTAAAAATTATTCTAAGGAACATTTACTTATGACGTCCAAATTTAACGGTCATTGTTCAAAGGAGAACAATGGATTTATAGGAATTTCTATTAATCTTTTCTTGCTGAACACCCCTGGACTTCATAAGTGAACGGCTCTTAAAGCAAAATTGACACGAAATCTCCACTGCAAAATTGATTTTTTTGACAAACTTTTTATAAATGCATTTAAAAACTTTTTATATTATTCTATTCTGCACACGTGTATGAATGATTTTTTTATGTGTTAAATAGTCTGATTATTTTTAAAGGATTGAATGAATTGAATAAAATCTCATTTAATTTATAAACGTAGTGATTTTTTTCTACAATTTATAGATCAATCAACTTTGATGAGTAATATGACGATTTATTTTAAATACTAGCTCTAGTTTGATGACACTAGTTTAAGTTGTTTCACTAATTATGTTCAATTTTTTTTGGGGGGGGGGGGGGGGAGAGGTGGAAGGGTTCTGAGATTTTATAACAGCTTAAACAAGAATCATACAAAATTTGAAATTTCTGAGGAGGGTGAGGTGGGGGGGGGGGGGTGTCCAAAATGTCTCTGTCAGCGATTGTAATGTGTGATCAATTTTGAATATTTGAATGATTTTTCCTCTGAATTTGAAGCTTTTCTGAACCCCCGTCTGCATCTCATCTACGCTTATCATGAAGTTGTCTAGCTGTTGTCTTTAATGAAGTCCATTAGATGTTCAAGCCCCCCTAAAACATTACAACTCTTACAGACTTTTTGGTTCAAACTTTAAAGCGAGACACAAAAATAATAAAATCATCAACATCACTAGCGAATGAACCTTCACGTGATACAAGAAACTCAAATCAAGTTTTTGTTTGCATACAAACTCTAATCTTATGGGAATATCAATTATTACTTAATAATTTCTCTCACTTTTCTCAATCTAAGCTTCTGAGAATCAAACTACGAGTCCATAAAGAGCTCACAAGACTTTTTTTTTATATCATTTTTCGCCGTGAGTTTCGCTATTAAACTTCTCATTTTGATGATAATATGGACAATAAAAACTTATTTATTGAGTGACAAAAAAACACACAAGCTTCTCCGGCACTCAATTGTGTTTGAGGTGCTTTTGTGGAAGGTTGATTTTTATTTATTTCGTGTAAAAAGTCAATGTGATAAAAAAAAGTTATTAAGTGGACAAAAATAAATTTTAAAGTGGTTTTTATTAATTTCCTGATGAAAGTTTGACAGAATGGCTAGCAAAAATGATGGAAACTTGTGAGTTATTGTAGATTATTTGTGATCAATAAATTGTAAATTCGCAAGGGTTCGAGTGAAATTTGAATTGTTAATTATGAAAACTTAAAATTAATAGCTTAAACTTGAGACTTGAAGGGAAATTTTTTTGAAAAATTTGAATTTTTTATAAAAAGAAATGCGAAATTTCTTCAAAGTTAAACGACCTTGCTACTCAAAAATTACAACGTCAATAAATTCATTCAAAATTTATCTCAATGACTTCAAGATCAGCAGTTTTTGATAAATTAAAAGCTGATAAGAATGTCTAATACTACTAATGTGACAACTTAATTTCTATTATATCTTTTAATTCTTTTGCTTATCTTTATTGAATAAGTCAACAATGTCTCAAGCGGAACCGTTGAAATCTTTGATTTATAGCCACTTATCTGACGATAATTTTTATTTATTTGCCATTATTCACATGAGAATAAATGTCTAGAAAACTTTATTAAGGGCAATTGATTAATTTGTCTATAAATATTACAATCTTCTGATTTTTTTACATAGTACAGTTAAATTGAACTGACATTCACAGTGTATAACGTGTGACACAAAAAGAAAATAATTTAATGTTTACAGTCTGCGTCATGATCTACCTCAATATGCTTTGAATTGAAGCATTTCATTTTTTTTACTCATCATGCTTCTGTATTTATATTAATGCTTTTGTAGGGAAATGGATAATGAGCTGTCATTTGATCCTACACCAATTTTTAAGCGAAGAAGATACTTTGTAGTTTTTATGGCTTTTCTAGGATTATTTAATGTCTATGCACTTCGATCAAACTTGAAGTAAGTATTTTGTTTAGGAGTCAATCACGTATGACAGGAATGGAAGGGGTCCATTGAAGAATTCAATTATGATCATCTCGCAAAATTCACAGACAATCTTTATTTATTCAGTGTTGCAATAGTGTCAATGACCGAAAACCGGAACTCAACGGACGAGTTTGGAAATAGTATCGACATTGGACCAATATTTGACTGGAATTCTAAGGAAAAAGGCTATATTTTGTCAGCATTTTACTATGGATACCTTTGTACACAGATCATTGGAGGTGTCATTGCTGCTAAAATTGGCGGGAACATTGTAAGGAACATAAAAACTTTTTTTCACACAAGTCTATATAAAATTTATTTCCTCAGCTTTTTGGAATAGGAATTGGAGTGACAGCTGTATTTACATTATTGACACCCTTAGCTAGTAATTTGAGTATCTATGCATTAATTACAGTTCGTGTTCTTATGGGAATATTTGAGGTAAGTTTTTGAATGCGTCATCAATGACTTATTGTCTAAAAACTTTAATATATTCCAGGGTGTGACATACTCAGCACTTTATGAGATGTGGTCTAAATGGGCTCCTCCATGTAAGTGACAAATTAATAAATTAAATTATCAATTTCAACTTAAAATCCTCCATAGTTGAAAGATCCCGTATGGTCGTTGCTGCATTCACAGGAAATTATGTTGGACTAGTCATTTCATTACCAGTGAGTGGAATATTAGCCAAAAATGTTGGATGGGAATGGGTATTTTATGTTTTTGGCATAATTGGATGCGTTTGGACAGTCTTTTGGCTATTATTGATCAAAAGAAGTCCTGGAAGGGATCCATTCATCAGCATTGAAGAGAGAAGATACATTGAACAATCGTTGAATCGACAATCGAAGGATAAAGCAGTCAAAATTCCATGGAAAGCTATTTGGACATCAAGCGCTGTTTGGGCTATAATTGGTAAGGTTAATTGAAGCTAGAGTTCATGTAGGATTGACTGAATGAAATGTTCTTCCTTAGCTGCACAATTCTCTGAAGGCTGGGGATTCTTCACACTTCAGACACAGCTGCCTCAATTTTTAAAAGATGCACTTAATTATGATATAGCAAAATCAGGAACCATCTCTGCACTACCATACCTTTGCATGTGAGCTTTCCCTTTCTTCAAAAAAATATATATTAATTAATGTTTTTCTTATTATTAGGGCTGTGATGCTTCAGGTTGCAGGCTACTTATCAGATTGGGTCAGAATCAAGGGATATTGGACAACAGGACAAACCAGAAGATATTTTAACAGCATGGCATTCTTGATACAAATGGCGTCAATGCTGTGTGCTGCCTTTTTCCTTAACGAAGTGGCTTCAGTCACTTTCATTACAATTGGTGTGGCAATGGCTGCATTTGCTTACTCAAGCTTCTCTGTTAATTATCTTGACATTGCGCCTCAATTTGCTGGATTACTGATGGGAATTTGTAATAGTTTTGCAACTGTTGCTGGAATAGTTAGTCCTATTTTGACAGGATATATTGTTACTGATGCTGTAAGCTTTTGAGATTTATTTTCATTTACTTGAATGTGAGAAAGTTGATTTTTTTTTGATTTTTTCAGAGTCCTGAGCAATGGAAAATTATTTTCTATATAGCAGGTAGGTTTAGAACATCCTGACGACTTTGTTATCTCTTGCTTACCAGATTTAAAATTATTTTTAATAATCAACAGGTGGAATCTACTTATTTGGATGCATAATCTACTTTATATGGGCTGAAGGAGAAGTTCAGCCATGGGCAGTTCAGGAAGACATTAATGCAACGAATGAATCAACTGAAATGAACGCTAAACAAGGATCGATAAATCCAGCATTTGCTATTAAAGAATGACAAATATGAAAATAAGTTCGCAGTTCTAAGTGCCTTTCCTTCCTCAAACACCATTCATTTTCGATATTTTTAACATTTTAAGATTTTTATTGTAAAAATTTTCATACAAGAAACTAGAAATACATTAATTTTTGTATCAAAAATGTTTAAAGTCTTTGGATTTAAGCATAAAATTCATCGATTTCTTTCTTATACTTTTGCATGACAAACCCTCTTTTGAGTTTCATCGTTGGTCCAAGCTCTCCAGTATGCATGTTGAAATCATTTGGAAGTAACATGAATTTTTGAACTTTCTGTGCATTTGAAGCTGCTTTTGTATTTGCTCGATCAATTGCTTCTTGAATTAAATTCAGAATTTTTTCATCAGGTCCTGCATCCAAAACTTCACTTAAGAGTTTATAATTCAATCCAAGATTTGTCATGTGATGAAGAGAGTCTTCAGCTAGTTCATCTTGAGGAACTCCATTGCTGTCAGATTCAGTCTTTAAAGCAATCAGCATTGTCAAAAACTTTCTTTTATCTCCAATTAAAAATGCATTTGAAATTGCTGAACATTCAGCTAAGACTGCATTCTCGATGTTTAAAAATGGAATATTTTCTCCACCGGCAGTAATGATCAGTTCCTTTATCCTCCCAGTCAAGAATAAAAATCCGTTTTTATCAATATATCCAACATCACCTGAACGCAACCACAGGTCATCATCAAAGACTTCTCGTGTCTTTTCAATGTCAAAGACATATCCCATAAAGGAATTACGTCCACGCGTGCAAATTTCTCCAATTCCGTCCTTATCTGGATTCAATATTTTGGCTTCTATGTTTGGAACATGTTTTCCAACACTTCCAAGTCTAACTTTACCAGCATGTGATGCAAATGTAAGACCAACTTCAGTCATTCCATACAATTCATAAATTGGTAGATCCATGCTTAGGAAAAATTTTATTGTGTCCACATTGGTGGGAGCTGCACCGACTATTAAGAATCTGCATCTTTCAAGTCCGATCTTTTTTTTGACTTTGTTAAGAATTAAAGTTTTAGCAGTAAAATATGAAACTGCTGATGCTGATTTTTCATCAAATCTATTCAAATGGTAGTTCATTGCTTTATTGGTTGCCCAAGATGTTATTTTTTTTGCTAATCCACCGATATTTTCAATGTCATGACTAATTTTTGCATGTAATTTTTCATAAACTCTGGGAACTCCGAAAATAAAAGTTGGTCGAGCAGCTAGTAATGTATTGATAAGAGTTCCTTTCAATGCGTTTTTATCAGCAAAATAAACAGTTCCTGCTATTCCGATGTTCACAAAAATTTCGATAATTGAGCCAGCCACGTGAGATAATGGAAGAAAAGAGACAGAGACTTCTGGACTAGTATGACTGAAGTTGTATGATTCAATAAAGTTTTTAACGGTAAAGATTATATTGTCATGACTACTCATTGCTCCTTTTGGATTGCCTTAAAAGAAAAGAATGATGAATGAGGAGCTTGATATCAATTGTATAATAATTACCTGTAGTTCCAGAAGTAAATATTAAGCAGCAGCAAGAATTTGCTTTTATTTCCTTTAAATTCTTTTCATATTCTTGATCATAGTCATCAGTATCCATTTCTTCTATTTCCTTCCAACTCATAACTCCTTCATGAGTATTAGAAGATGGCAATGTCTTGATGATAGCCTTCAAATGAGGGAGTTTGTCCTTGATCTTTAAAATTTTATCCAATTGATAATCTTCGTCGACTACAACGATGTTTGCCTGACATTTTTCAAGAATGTAATGACACGCTTCTGCTGAGTTTGATCCATAAACACCGACTATTTGACCTCTTAAAAGATACAATTATTAAAGGTAATATTAGGCTCTTGCTGTCATTGGCTATACTCTTATTCAAAAACCATGAAAGAAAAAAGGACAGGAATTTTTACTTTTTTCTTCATATAAAATTATATCATTTTCAAATTATTTTGCAACTATTTTTACAGCTGTTATCGATTAAATAGTTGTACATGGTACGAACATGCTTAGTTGTTTAAGTTGTCTGTTTTAAAATTCAATGAAGCACTCAGCTTTTGTCTGTAGAGTCTCAGACAAATGATATTTTTCAAATTTCTTACCCAGCATGAATCACTCCTAATTGTGATAGGAACCACTCAACACTATTGAATGCAATTACAGCAACTTTACCGTTCTTTTCTAATCCAAGTTTAAGGAATGCTTTTGCAACTTTCTCAACACGATTTTTATAATTTTTATAACTTATTGGAATCCACTCGCCAGTTTCTTCATTTTGATGCATCAATGCTGTTCGATCTGGATAAAGATCAACAGTTTTTGCGAACATTTCAGGAACTGTTGAGATTCCGGATGTAAAATCATTCTTCAACTTGATTATTTTAACACATTCTGAAGGATCGGAAGTAAAGAAATTTGATGCATCTCCAAGTTTATTATCTACAATATTTTCCATTCTAAAGAGAATTATTTTAGCTATGAACACTCCAAGCTGTTAAATTATACTAAGTTTTAAAGTTCAGGTGATAAAATAAAACATTTTATTGTGCAAATAAGTAACGAACAAAACTAGTAAAGAAGACGCCGTTACAGATGTGAACGAGCGCACTTACCTAGCGTAGATCAGTAATTTCATATTGAAAACATATACAATGATCCAGTCAGAGATAAATATAAAAAAACAAAGTTGACCTATAAGCGCATTGTTTCTGGTATGAGTACATGAAAAGTAGGTTTTTTACAATTGAACCTCGCCTGCCAGAATATATTATATTTTATTTCAAGAAGATAAGAACGCAGTGGATTTATAAAGCATTAAACCATTTTAAGCATAAAATTTTTCTATCTCGTTCTTATACTTCTGCATGACAAACCCTCTTTTCAGTTTCATCGTTGGTCCAAGCTCTCCAGTATGCATGCTGAATTCATTTGGAAGTACCATGAATTTCTGAACCTTTTGTGCATTTGAAGCTGCTTTTGCATTTGCTCGATCAATTGCTTCTTGAATTAAATTCAGAACTTTTTCATCAGGTCCAGCATTCAAAACTTCACTTAAGAGTTTATAATTCAATCCAAGATTTGTCATGTGATGTAACGAGTCTTCTGCTAGCTCATCTTGAGGAACTCCATTGCTGTCAGATTCAGTCTTTAAAGCAATCAGCATTGTCAGAAACTTTCTTTTATCTCCAATCAAAAATGCATTTGAAATTGCTGAACATTCAGCTAAGACTGCATTCTCGATGTTTAAAAATGGAATATTTTCTCCACCGGCAGTAATGATCAATTCCTTTATCCTTCCAGTCAAGAATAAGAATCCATTTTTGTCAATATATCCAACATCACCAGAGTGAACCCAAAGTTCATCATCAATAATTTGTCGTGTCTTTTCAATGTCAAAAACATATCCCATAAAAGAATTACGTCCACGTGTGCAAATTTCTCCAATGCCATCCTCATCTGGATTCAATATTTTGGCTTCTATACTTTGAACACGTTTACCGACACTTCCAAGTCTAATTGAGTCAGAAGTTGACAGAAAAGTCAAACCAACTTCAGTCATTCCATACAATTCATAAATTGGTAGATCAATGCTTAAGAAAAATTTCAATGTGTCAACATTAATGGGAGCTGCACCGACCATTAACGTTTTGCACCTATCCAATCCAAGCTGTGCTTTGATTTTGTTCAAAACTAAAGTTTTAGCTGCTGAATATGACATGATTGATGCTGGCTTTCCAGAAAATTTGCTCAAGTGATAGTTTATTGCTGTATTTGTTGCCCATGTGGCTATCATCTTTGCTAATCCACTGGTTCCTTTAATGCCATGACTAATCTTCTCATGAAATTTTTCGTAGACTCTGGGAACTCCGAAAAAGAAAGTCGGTCGAGCAGCTAGCAAAGTATTGATAAGAGAACCCTTCAATGCATTCTTATCAGCAAAATAAACAGTTCCTGCTATTCCGATGTTCACAAAAATTTCGATCATTGAACCAGCCACGTGAGATAGTGGAAGATAAGAGACAGAGACTTCTGGGTCAGTATGTCTGAAGTTGTATGCTTCAATGAAATTTTTGACGTTAAAGATTACATTATCGTGACTAATCATTGCTCCTTTTGGATTGCCTTAAAAGATAAGAGAAAAATGATGAATGAGGAGCTTTATATCAATTTAAATAATAATTACCCGTGGTTCCAGAAGTAAATATTAAGCAGCAACAAGAATTCGCCTTTATTTCCTTCAAGTTCTTGTCATATGCTTGATCATAGTCATCAGTATCCATTTCCTCCAACTCTTTCCAACTCATAACTCCTTCATAAGTATTAGGAGATGGCAATGTCTTAATGATAGCCTTCAAATGAGGGAGTTTGTCCTTGATCTTTAAAATTTTATCCAATTGATAATCTTCGTCTACAACAACGATGTTTGCCTGACATTTTTCAAGAATGTAATGACATGCTTCTGCTGAGTTTGAACCGTAAATGCCGACGATTTGACCACTAAACAGCACAAAAAATTTAATTATTAAATATTTTATTCTCATTGAGCACTAATCTAAAATAAACTGAATTAACTTACCCAGCATGAATCACTCCTAACTGTGACAGGAACCACTCAACACTATTGAATGCAATTACAGCAACTTTGCCATTCTTTTCTAATCCAAGTTTAAGGAATGCTTTTGCAACTTTCTCAACACGATTTTTATAACTTTTATAACTTATTGGAATCCAGTCGCCAGTTTCTACATTTTGATGCATCAATGCTGTCCGATCTGGATAAAGATCAACAGTTTTTGCGAACATTTCAGGAACTGTTGAGATTCCGGATGTAAAATCATTCTTCAACTTGATTATTTTAACACATTCTGAAGGATCGGAAGTGAAGAAGTTTGATGCATCTCCAAGTTTATCATCTACATTTTTTTCCATTCCAAAGAGATTTTTTTTTAAGATCTGAACACTTCAAGCTTTCAAATGACACTGATTTTTTTTGAAAATAAGATGAGTTAACAAAATAATCAAGGGTTGAAGTCAATGAATGTGTATGTAAAGTAATCGTTATCTACTTGTATGATATACTGAACTCAATGAATATATTCAAGACTTGTGGTTTTACAGCTCATTTTAAATAGAATTATTCTGTTAATTAGATCTACTAATTTGGTTTTTAATGGTTTACATATATTTATTCTGAGAAAATATCAATATCCTTACAAACTTATTTTTTGAAATAATTATAAACAAAATATATGTGCAGTTATTGATAATTAATTTTGGAATGCACACCTTTCATTTAAATAAACAGATCTGTTCAAACGCTTCATTTAGTCTTATTTAATTTTTAAAAATTAAAGGGAAGTAGAAGAGTAAAGTAGGTGCAAAAATAATTCTAAGCATAAAATTCTTCTATCTCGTTTTTATACTTCTGCATGACAAACCCTCTTTTGAGTTTCATTGTTGGTCCAAGCTCTCCAGTATGCATGCTGAAATCATTTGGAAGTAACATGAATTTTTGAATTTTTTGAGCATTTGAAGCTGCTTTTGCATTTGCTCGATCAATTGCTTCTTGAATTAAATTCAGAACTTTTTCATCAGGTCCAGCATCCAAAACTTCACTTATTAATTTATAATTCAATCCAAGATTTGTCATGTGATGAAGAGAGTCTTCAGCTAGTTCATCTTGAGGAACTCCATTGCTGTCAGATTCAGTCTTTAAAGCAATCAGCATTGTCAAAAACTTTCTTTTATCTCCAATTAAAAATGCATTTGAAATTGCTGAACATTCAGCTAAGACTGCATTCTCGATGTTTAAAAATGGAATGTTTTCTCCGCCAGCAGTAATAATCAGTTCCTTTATCCTTCCAGTTAAGAATAAGAATCCATTTTTGTCAATATATCCAACATCACCAGAACGCAACCAAAGTTCATCATCAAAAACTTCTCGTGTCTTTTCAATGTCAAAGACATATCCCATAAAGGAATTACGTCCACGCGTGCAAATTTCTCCAATCCCATCCTCATCTGGATTCAATATTTTGGATTCTGTATTTATAATGCATTTGCCGAGACTGCCAAGTTTAAAAGAGTCAGGATGTGATGCAAATGTTAGACCAACTTCAGTCATTCCATACAATTCATAAATTGGCAGATCTAAGCTTAAGAAAAATTTCATTGTATCAACATTGAATGGAGCTGCACCGACCATTAAGAATCTGCATCTTTCAAGACCGATCTTTGCTTTGACTTTGTTAAGAACTAACGTTTTTGCAGCAAAATATGAAATTTTCGATGCTGACTTTCCATAAAATCTATTCAAATGGTAGTTCATTGCTGTATTGGTTGCCCAAGATGCTATTATTTTTGCTAATCCACTAGTACCTTCGATGACATGACTAATTTTCTCATGAAATTTCTCATAGACTCTGGGAACTCCGAAAAAGAAAGTCGGACGAGCAGCTAGTAATGTATTGATAAGAGTTCCTTTCAATGCCTTCTTATCAGCAAAATAAACAGTTCCTGCTATTGAAATGGTCAAAAAAACATCAATCATTGAGCCAGCCACGTGTGATAATGGGAGATAAGAGACTGTAACTTCTATGTTAGTGTGATTTAATTGGTACGTCTTAATAACATTTTTAAGATTGAACATTACATTATCATGACTCATCATTGCGCCTTTTGGATTGCCTTAAAATATAAGAGAAGGATGATGATTGAGGAGCTTTATATCAATTTAAATAATAATTACCTGTAGTTCCAGAAGTAAATATTAAGCAGCAACAAGAATTTGCTTTTATTTCCTTTAAATTCTTGTCATATGCTTGATCATAGTCATCAGTATCCATTTCCTCCAACTCTTTCCAACTCATAACTCCCTCATGAGTATTAGGAGATGGCAATGTCTTGATGATAGCTTTCAAATGAGGAAGCTGATCCCTAATTTTAAGGATTTTCTCTAATTGATAATCCTCATCAACTACGATTATGTTTGCATGACATTTTTCAAGAATATATAGACACGCTTCTGCTGAGTTTGATCCATAAATGCCAACGATTTGACCACTTAAAAAAAGGTTAAAGAAAAAATTAATAAAATGAAATTATTAATCAATGAAAATTGACGTAGTAATAAACAAAAGCAATTTGAACGTAAGTATTGTTAGGTCAAAGGACATCACAAAATAATTAGATAGTGGATGGTTGCAAAAAAATCAAAGTTGATTATTTAAATATGTCTTTCACAAAAAACGACAAATTAAAAATATTTTATTTTTAATTCAGATTGCACCTTATCAACATTAAATACGACTTTATTTAAATCTTTGCATATTACTGTCACGTGAATTGTTATGGGTCAGTTAACAAATCATGTCAATAGATTATAACAGATAATTCTGTGGCCTAAGAGGTGGATTGCTACCCCAAACGTGAACAACTTCTTGTTTCACTAATGATTTATTATTTAATAATCTTACCCAGCATGAATCACTCCTAATTGTGACAGGAACCACTCAACACTATTAAATGCAATTACAGCAACTTTACCGTTCTTTTCTAATCCAAGTTTAAGGAATGCTTTTGCAACTTTATCGACACGATTTTTATAACTTTTATAACTTATTGGAATCCAGTCGCCAGTTTCTTCATTTTGATGCATCAATGCTGTTCGATCAGAATAAAGATCAACCGTTTTTGCGAACATTTCAGGAACTGTTGAGATTCCGGATGTAAAATCATTCTTGCACTTGATTATTTTAACACATTCTGAAGGATCGGAAGTAAAGAAATTTGATGCATCTCCAAGTTTATTATCTACAATGTTTTCCATTCTGAAGAGAATTGTTTTTAAGATCTGAACACTCCTAGTAATCGAATAGAACTAACGCACTTGAATTCAGCTGATTACACAAAACAAAGCTGGACGGTTCTTTTACATTTCAAGAGCAAGTGTTTCACAATAAAATGAGTAGAATTTATGAATGAATGAGTCTGGGCTGATATTCTTATCGGCAACTCCAGAAATTTTTAAAGAGATGATTTGAGAGAAATGTTTCTCTCGATTACTCCGTCAATTTTGTTTACAGCACGTGCATTTATTTAAATTAATTTCAAAAAATATTATGAGTAGAAAAACTCTGTTCCTTAAAGCTATACAAGATTGTCTACGTGATTATTGGTTTGAATCTTTAAAAACTGTTGTATGAATTAAATTTGATAGCTTTTTTAAAAAGCCTTAGCTAATCTGTGTGATGATCTAAATACTTAACCTAATTGTGTCTTGATTGCAGTTTACCAAATTACTTCTCTAGATTCTAATTTAAATTAGCATTTGTCTTACTTAATTTTATATTTGATCACTTCGAAAACATTCAGTCGTCTCGAACCTCCCCGAAGGAATTGTCACAATATTTTCATTTCTATAACTTTGACATTAAATCAGATCATTTTTTTTTCATTCGGAATGTTTACCTGGCATGTCTAATTCATGAAAAAAAATAATTTTATCCTCTAATGCTCTTTAAGATGTCGATGAAAGGTGACAGTCATTTGGCTGCAAATGACATTCTTTTGAGAAAAATAATATCTTTGAGTGAAACTGCATGAAAATGAAAAATTATTTCCACAGTTTGAGGCTGAGTGAATAATTTAATTTATCATTCGGAATATATGTTTTTGTTTAATGTCCATTTATCTTGAGCTGTACCAAATTTATGATTTATTGGGTTCTATGGGGTATTTTGTTTTTTAAATTTTTTTCTTATCTCTCTTATTCTCTCTCAAATTCTCTTTCAACTCACTCAAATTCTCTCTCACTTCGCTCAAATTCTCTCTCACTACTCTCAACTTCTGTCTCACTTTTCTCAAGTTTTCTTTCAACTCTCTAAATTTTGGTTTTAAACCTCTCATATTTTCTCTCATTTCTCTCAATTTCTCTCTCAGTTTTCTCAAGTTCTCTTTCTGCTCTCTCAATTTTGGTTTTGATCCTCTCGTTTTCTCTCAGTTTTACTCCCAATTCTCTCGCAGTGTTCTTAATTTTGCTGTAAACTTTACACAAATCATCCGCAAGAACCAATTCGCGAAAAAAAAAAATCACCATATTAATCCCCTTGTTTATTCAGTTGCTGATATTTTATCATCTCGACAATTTTGGCGACAACATGTACGAATTTTTTTTATAGCCATCAAATTAAATCTATTTGTTCCTCGTCCATCTAAAAATAATGTGTTATGAAAAATGCGCATAATATTTGTGCTAAAAGAAGCTCACAATCATGACCTAGGCAAAATGAAAACAGATTTTGATGAAATGGAGACAACAATGTGAAGAAAATTTTTAATTTTAAATCATGACAAAATGTTTGTTTACCAGCGTAGCATGATGATAGGATCGAAGTGCGTAGAAGAAAAAAAATTTCGCGAGATATGTTTCCACATAGGTATTTTGAGGTCGAACAGCAAATGATGTTGACTATATTTTTATATTAAAATATTTTGTTTTCGTAGATTTTGTGTATTTTTGGAAAGGCAAGCGAGACTTGGCGATTTATTTGTAAATTAAATGGAAGTGAATGATCTTGGATGGAATTTGGGAAAAAATTATTTGATGTTCGGCTGTAAAATGGATGAATCTAGAGGATCTTATTTATATTGAGGTTTTCAGGTATCAATATGATGTCATGAGATGTAGTTACGAGAATCGAGAAGAATGGTAACTATTATAATCAGAAATCATCAGACATAACCTCAAAATGCTAAAATTCTTTAATATTAAAGAGAATCAAACTGTTTAGTAAAGACTCATCAAACATAACCTTTAAACAACTCCACAAACTCAGTTCCACTAAATTTATTTCGAAAAATTTCAGCTGCACTCCCCAACATCCATTAATCTCCTTACATCTTGCATTTAATTAATTTTTAAACAAATTTTTATGTTTCACTCTCATTAAGCTCAATCTTACAAAGCAACAATGTAAGTTTGCCACATAATTTGCGAACGAAATTGAGCGACGAGGAAATGATGCACATAAAAATACAAAAAATGTCATTTTTTCTTGCATATTTATGCTGAAATGAGCTCGCATTGAATTGATGAATTATGTGACAGAAGTTAAAAAAGTTTTATAGTCGCAAACATGCAATCAAATGTGAAGCTGAAAAGTTGAAAAATGCAGGAGGACATTAAAGTGCATGTAATTAAATTAGAACAGTGAGAATAATTTTTAATTAAACCATAAAAAAGGTTGTAGCGAGGAAAATTCGTTTATGATCTTTTTTTGCATACTTAATTAATTTTCTGTGCATTCTTTCGCTGTTTTTAAAGGTGCAAAATTGCACGTGGGCTTATAAAATTTTTCAAAAAGTTAAAAAATTAAATTAATGGATCCAACAACTTAAAAACCAACAATTTCATAACTAGTAATTAATTAACTTCAATAAATCGTCCCTTAAATCACCAATTTACAATGTCAACGAAGCTTCACAAGTCACATGATCAAAAGACAAAATGGAATGTGCATTAATAATGTCCATCATCAATCTTTCAATAAAAACTTATTACACATTATTTTCCTCGAAGGAATGCAAATGAAAATTGTTGAAAAGAGATGAAAAAAAAATATTTTTATAACCCAATTTTTTTCCACTTTAACAACAACGCAGTTAAAATGTGCCACAACTTAATTGAGAGAGCAGAAATCTATGAGAGCAATAATTGAGCATGATGGTCAAATGGCTGTGATTCAATGTGACTGCTTTTGTAATGGTAAAGGGTTTGTGAAATGAGCAATTTGTCTGAGTGGAAATTTGGGTGTTTAGTCGAATTATCTTTAAATGATATTCATCAAGTAATGAGAGTAGGACTGTGATCATAGTTATTACTTACTTACTTCTTTGGCTGTGGCGCACGTGGGCCCATTGCCACGCTTAGAGATCGTCTGAAGACAGTTCTATCGATAGAAATCTTCTGCCAGTACGGAATATTAAGATCTTCGGTCTTCCTCGTGATCTTTTGCCATCATAGCTATAAAGCCTTAAAACTACAAAAGAGGGGACTATATGCTATGCGACACTGCTTAAAAAGATATTGTTGACCAAAAAAAATCTAATTTTTCTAAATGTTTCCACAAAAAACAAATCTCAACGCTAGACCTCGAGCATATGACATGAAAAATTGTAAACTATCAATCAATTAATTAGTTCACACTGAGTATCATATGTCATGTGGTTTAACGTCTCTAATCCTCATCATAATAATCATTTAACATAATTTATGACTTACCATTTTGCTGTTGATTTAGATAAAAGTAAAAAAAAATCATTGACGCCATTTTTAATTAATTTTCAGGTATGCATGATGATCATATGATCCATTCGATCACTCATTAAATTGTACCTTTCATCTTACTCAGTATGACTTGTTTATTTCTTCTTTTCAAATTTTGTAGTCGACATGATTTTTCATTTAATTTTCTTTCTTATTTTCCTTTTTGGCATAAAATTTGTTTTTTATTCAGTCACGAAGTTAAAGAAAATTATACAAATTAGAGGAATTTGACAGCTATTCAGAGCCATTAAAGGTAATGTAAATAAAGACAATTGAAGATTTTCTTGCTTTGTTGACTTTTTTGACTGATTCTTCCTGTTTTTCAAATTGGTTATAGAGTTTCACAGTGATTTGAACTAGGAATGTGGAGATGAATGGACGTGAATAACCTCAGAGTCGATGAGTAAGGACTTCAAATCTCACGATGTCAAAACACACTTAAAAATAATTGATTAATTTATTATTCAGTTCCAGTTCATGAGAATCGCAAATTAAGAAGCATTTTCGTTCACGCACGATTTGTTCTGTTATTGACTGTAGCAAGTAATATAAATTTAAAGGAAATAGAACTAAATTTCATTTACTGTCACAAACTTAATAAAAATCTTGTAGAAAATAAAATTTTGTATCAACTTAGGAGATTTATTGAGCATAAAAATGTCTGCTTAATTGAGCTACAATGTGTTTTTTTCGTATTTTGTTTTCCTACATTCTATGCTTTAGTTGATGAAATTTTTTTTATGTAAATAAGAAATTCGCGACTTTAGGTTTTTTGACCCCCCTCCTCAACCCTAAGTCTTCATTGACATTAATAATAAAATGACATTATTTTTAAATTACCCCATTTTTAAAATCTCAGGTATACTTCATCATATCCAAACTACCTCAAAACATCTCCCTGTCTATCCCAAGTCATCCTTCGAACAAATTTACATTACAGGCAGATATTGCATTACATGTTGTTTATCCATTCTCCAAGGTGTTACAAATCAGCATTGAATATTCAACTTGAAACCCAAAATTGACAGATTTTTTTCGTTTTCTTTGAAGATGAAAATTAAAAGTCAAGTGAAAATGTTTTCAATTATTCTAGTTGTTTGTTGAGTGGACTTCAGGTTGTGATGAACATTGAGACATCTTTGAAGATCTTACGATAATATTACAACACACGTGTAAATTTCAAACAATGTGTCATAGTCAAGGTTTGGACACTAGGTTTAATACCAAATAACCCCAAAAATGTCAAATATTCCTGAACAGAGCTCGAAGTCGATGAAATTTCGTATGGAGTCTCGGAGTCGACTCCACCATACAAAGTCGATGAAAATCTAGGTTCGAGTTCGAACTCTGATCTTGAATAATCCCAAAAATCACAACAATCCTGAGTAATCTCAGCATAATTTTGAGTGTACACGCATGGTCATAGTACTTGATAAATTACATTTTATGTTTTGTGTCAGATGAGTTTTGAATTTGATTAATGCTTAGGGTAAGGTTCTTTTTAAGATCATGATGCAGTTGATAGAGACAGTTTTGTACTTAGTATGTGAATCCACATTAGGGTAGCTAGTAACTACACGTTGGGGAGGATCATCATAGATCCTAATCGACAAATATCGAATAAATCTGCAAACCAAAAAAATCAACCGCGCAAAAAATTTCCATCACGTTTGAGTCACAATTTAGCAATCTATTGTGAATAATATTTCAACATTCTACGACATCTGACTTCTTTCTAACATTGAAAAAAGTGACATTTACATAAGAGTTCATTAGCAAGGCTCTAAAAATATTTTCTTAATCTGTTTTTAAAAATATTTTCATTTTAATATTTTTCCATATTTCTTTTGTCGTCTCGCGAATATTTTTAAACGCAAAAAAAATATGAAAATAAAGCTTGTGAAATATTTTTTCTCAATTTTCATTTATGACAATGATTTGTAAAATATTTTTAGCAGTATAATTGCGGTCTCACAATACGATAACAAATGAAATGAGAAAATTGGTGAAATCATACCGGATATTTATCTGACAGTTATGTAGATTGATGATTCCTTTTTTTGTCACACTTATTTTCATTTCTTTTAAAAATAAATCTTCTCAAAAATATTCTATTTTTTAAACAGAAAGGAATTTTAAGCACCATTATTCATACTTTCAACTGCGTCGACGTATTTTTCTTGCGATAATTGATATTTTTATGAAGAATTTTTTGGGGTACAGAATGAACAATTCGGTACAATTTGAATGGTTGGGCTATATAGAGGGTAGAGGGGATCAATAAGTCTTAAATAGAAAATACCTTAACAGCATGTTAAACTGGAAATGCAGAAAATCCTTCATTTACATTTAAAATTTCAAACCACACATCCAAAAATTCCTATTTTAATGCAGCTACAAATAAATTTAAGTCACGAGTCTCACAAAACCCCAACAAAACATATACAAGACTTTTTTATATTCACAAAATTTCCTCATCTGATGCACGTGCAAGTCACTAATTGAGGAGCGGAAGTAGATCATCAAAAGGATAACATCTTGTTTGTTTTGAAAACTTTTCAAAACTTTTGAGTGGCGAGGAATTTGCATTTTTTTTTATTTTTGTACGAGTGGCAGACAACGTGACTGAACAATTTTCATTCACTTTTATTTTTGCCAAATTATTTTTATTTGGTGAGGAATTGAATAAATTTAATGAAAATTTTGAGATAAGTTTTTGACATTTTCGTGGGGTTTTTATTTGTATTTTTATAAAAAGCATCAATTTCGGGGGTCTGGGCAACAGCTCACACTTCTAGCTACAGCAAAAGTATACCAACTCGTTCTGCTATAGCTCAATAAATTAGTAGATTTCCAGCGCAATCTATAAGAAAATAATGATGAACATAATTCAATCCAGAAAATGAATTTGAAAGCATTTAACAATAAATAAATATCGCAAAAAAGAGACCTCAAAATTTATTTAATTCCAATATATCTTCAACCGCTGTGCCATCTCACCAGATCCGATTTATTCAACCTCTTAAGTCAATTTATGAGTCAATTAAGTGGTTTGCCAAAAATATCAAGATGAAACTAGAATGTGAAAAGTAAGTGAGATTTTAAAAAGGATTTTCAATGTGAATGCTCTCTCATCTTAATCTTGGAAGTGAAACTTGATACAAAAGTTGCTCATATTTCACTCATTAACAAATGCTAATCAAGTGACTAACATGAAAAATTGAGGCAAAGAATGTGAAAACAAAATATTATGAGAGCAGCTTGAAAGTCATAAAATAATATTCGTAAAATGATCTGTTTATTTGCCGAGAGCTTTTAGTGGTCATTTAACGATACTGCACAAAACTTCTGATTCATCATCATTCAGACATGTGAGAAATATTTATGGATAACTTTAAAATATCATTGAATCAGCACTTTTCATTTTCCTTTATGTGTTGTTTGTGGAATTCAATGCTCTCCGTCCGTCGTCTCTTATTTTTTTCCTCTCTGCTCATTTTCTTCATCGCTAAAAATATTTACAAAATATTCATTTTCATCTTTTGTATGAAAAAAGAGACAACAAAGAATTTTCCACATTTTTGAGTTCTTTGCAAGCGTGGAAATTTCTTTTTCTAGGCGAGTCGGAGTTAATAAGAATTGAGGAATTTACATCTGTTTTGATAAATTTCAGTCCTAGTCAAGTGTTTAGTAATTAGTTCATTGCATCCTCGGCTCCAGATGTCTGTGGTATTATTGAAGATTTTCATTGAGTGATTATTTCATTCATTATGAAGTTTTTGCAGTCACTTAGCGTAGCAGACTCAATTTAGATCTGAATTTGAGGAAATAGGATAAAGTTTTTTCCAGGATGTTGGAACTAAGCAGTATTATTGACATACTTGACTTTATTTTAAAGTTTTGTGGGAGTTCTTACTCAAGTCCGATGATTTGATTGCTAGAGATTTTTTTTTGACACAGTTTAAAAAAGCTCAAGCACCCCCTTTCTCGTCTGTCATCAAAAATCCAACAAATATGCCATCCCTTGAACATGAAAGAATGTGTGATGAGTTGTACACCTTAGTACTTTATTAGATCGCTTATTTGAGAAGAAAATAATGAAAGAAAATGAAAGCTAGTTGAAAAAGTGTTTAATATGAAAAGATTACTAAGCGCATATGAGAATGGGTTGTCAGATCACTGTTGTGGGTTTTTAAGACTCACTGAGGGACTTTACCTTTGTCACAGTCTGTTTTACCTTAAATTCTAGAGATCTTGATTTTACATTCAATGCTTGGTCCCCCAAACCGGCATGCAGAAGGGTTTTGGGGGTAATCTTTATGTTTAAAACATTTCTCAATGCGACATGTCTGTTCTTGATCATTTCCAACTGAGGAGTCTTCAACTACTTGAACAAGATAGAAATTAACATTTATCAGCATTATTTGTGGTTTTTAATTGATGCATTATGATATATAAGTAGCTAAAGCCTCAAATTTACTATTTTTATGCTTCCTTAAATTGTGACACCCCAAAAGAAGTCTTGTTGCTACGATACTGTTAACGTAATGCGTACAAAAATCGATCTCAAATAAATAATTCATGGATATACAACGAAGAATTAATAAACTAATTTACCAACTTAATAATCTCTTTTTGACAGTGTTTATTAACTTTTATCGATCTAATAATCAAAATAATTGAGTAAATCCAACCCAAAATGCCGAAATTCTCTCATTTTCACTCTCGGAAAATTTCGCTAAAAAGAATTTACTTCCATTGGCTTCTTCTCAAATGAGTCGTGAGGTTTTTCTTCTTTTCCTCATTTCTTTATTTTCAAACAAGCGTCGGGCGAACGACTAAAAAAGTAGAAAAAGAAGAAACAAAAAAAATAAAAAAAAAATTCGCTCACTTTTTTCGTCGAAGCTCACAACTGTCAGTTGATAAAATACTCTCGTACAATAAAGACGTACTTTAAACAAGCAGAGCAGAGCAAACGAAAAAGAAAAAATTTATAGATCAATTTTTGTTTCTCTCAAAAAAATACATTTTGTGTATAAATTAAAGAAGGTGAATCAGTTGGAAAGGAATTTTCACAAAGAGAAAAAAGAAAAACAATTTTTTTTGAAAATTTTTCGCAAAAAAAAGAAAAAAACATTTAAAAAAATTCAGTGTGTTGAGCACGATTTTTAATTTGTTAAATAAAAAGACAGACAAGAAGAAGTGATTTGTGAATTAAATAAGCTAATAATGATGACTCTTACAATGCCGCCAGCAACAACAGATGAGAATCTTCGACTATTGTCGACAGAAAATAAATTAAAATCAACAGACATTCAAGAAATACTTAAAAGTGCGAGTAGTACTAATGATGAGAATGTCAACGATAATGCAAACACATCAATCACATCAAGGTAAGTTGAAGTTATCTTATCGAGTCTTGACTATTTACATATGACGATAGAAATAATATTTAGAACAGCAACAACAGGTTGTGCATGAAATAGTTTAAAATAAGATTTGTAATTTTTTGGGGAAAACTAAGTTGTTGGGTATAAGATGCGATAAAGAAGGCAAATATTGATTTTTCACTAATCTTTTTCGGATTCATACAATGACTCACAACCCCCCCCCCCCCAAAACCATTCAAACAATTTTAAATTCTCTTCATTTAAATGCAAGCGCTTAAATAAAATAAAATAAATCACATTGCAATTTAACTGCTGTTTGTGACTTTAACGACAATTTTAATGCGGTCGTCTGAAGGATGAAGCAAATTCATTCTGAAAGTAAACAAAAAAGGCAAAAAAGAAGACATTCTTGAAATAATTTAAATTTCGCTACAAATCTTGAAACATTAAAAGATGGCAATTGGTGCTTCTAGAAAATAAAGAAAATTATTTTATTGCTATAATTTTTACTTTTTTTTGCGAGTTGAGTCAGACCTTGGAGGATTAATAAAAAAATTTAATAGACACGGCTTTTTCAATGTTGGATATTCAATTTATAGGGTAAGCTAATAACTTGTTGTAAGCATATGATTGCTTAAGATGAGAAGATGTCTATTTTGCGGTTTATTGATAATTTTAGGGTTGATTGATTTAATTTAAATTGAAGATTCGGTTGACTTTGGAGTCAAATAGACATTGAGAAGGTTAATCGACTCAATTTTTTGTGAATTCTACTAAGTACGTGAGACATCACTAGGTTTTGGGTTGAAAATGATTATTTTCAGTTACATAACAAGAGCACAACCCTCTTTATAGCTCCAAGTCTAAAGTTCCTTTCACTTCTGCCATTCTCATTGAAACAAAAACACATTAGCATAAAACCAATAGTCAAGGTGCTAATTTGCATTTAGTGCTGTAATATTCGAGTTTTGCCTCACTTTTGGTTGCTATAGTTTTAATGTTATATTAGCTTAAGATTCTGATGTCATTGAATTTATTTTTAAAAAGTTATAACTTGATATATGGCTCATAAAAAAGGTGCGCTGAAGTAATGCTCAAGTGACGTTTGTGAATGTTATGTCAGGTTTAGTGTAATAAAATTTATATTGCAATTTCTTCAATGCAATGATAAAAGATAATTTGAAGTTCAATGAATTTGTCATCATTCAATAGTAATAAATTCATTAAATTGTTGTTTTTAAACAGGAACAAAAGCATGAAATGTAAGATCTGAAAATACTTCCTAAAACCTTTCACATCGCCTTCAATCATCTCATCAGTCATTAGTATCCTCATTATTTTGAGATATTTACTTCCGGAAATGTGGCTAAGGTTATTTATTTACTTTATCTTTTACGAGAGTTTATAACTATTCTTTAAAGCGGTCATTAGCTTCGAATTTTCAATATTTATGGAAAGCTAATTAGATCTTCATAGTGTTCGACTCTCCATACAAACTCATTCATAGGAGTTGGAGAAGAAATGGTGGTCCCATGGTTAGAATAACTAGAGCTGAGTAGACTGGACCTGATACCAAATTCATGCCGACATTGTGTTTAGGGAGTTCCTGTGGAATTAATATAATTTATTAAAAATAAACAATCTTTCGCACTTCCACAAGATTCTATATTCCTCTTACTTTGAATTAATTATAAAATCTTAGCTATATAAGATCTCGCTTCTTAATTTGCCAGGTAAAAAATAAAAAAAACATTTCAAACGTGAGTTATTTTAAATTATTTGGCACGATTTGAAAGTCTAATGAGAAGATGATGTATTGATTTAAACCAGATCAATATTTATTTAATTAATTAAGTAATAAAATTGATAGCTACACCTATTCATGGCAATAAAAATCGGATAACATTGTTTGCTTTAGTCAAGCTTCTTTTTATTGCTGGATCCATAAAATGTTTCAATTCTTGACTGTATAAATTTCATATTCATAGCTAGAACTTCATTAACATTTCTTATAAATCTAATATTCATTTCGCAATAGTTTGTCATGTCTTTCCCGCCTTAACACAAAAGTTTTCCGCCCTTGTAATTTCATATTTTTTCATCTTAATAAAAAATAATAAATTTTTCTTTTTTGAAAAAAGAAAATTCCACTTGGAAATGAAAAAGTTTTGCCGTTCAGAAATTCTAGCTTCTCTCTTTATTTTCATTTTAATCGAAAATGAATTCCACTTAGTGGCGCCCTTTCAATGTTTTCATGTTTACATGCAGTAAATTCCTAGCTTTTCTTGATTTTGTTGTTTCTTTCTGGTGGGGGTTCTTGGGTTTCGGGAAAATGATGCTTAGGATTATGTACTTCGGTTGAGCTAGTTTGAGACATTGCTAAGACGGTACGACCATAAATACAGACTTTAATACCATTGTTTAAGGCAGTGGTTATCAAATTGTTTGACTTCAAAAAGATCATAAAAATCATTTAGTGTGCAGCGAGACTATTCAGGTGTGCTGCAAAAAAAAATTAACTGAAAAATTCGCCGTGGACCAAAACCTTTTGAGAAGCACTGGTTTAAGGCATGAAAAGTTATCTTTATCCATGAATGGAATGTAGTCACTTTGACTCACTTTGTTTCATCTTGTCAAGGAAATTTTCATTCAAATTCCTTTCTGTCATAATTTTCGTCTTCACATGCTTCGTATTTATTTTTCTCGTAGCTGCTTATAAACTAAAAATCATAGTCATTTAGACGATCGGAAAAGCGTGAAGTGACACGAGAGGAATTCTTACATTTTGCATCTTCTCTACTTTACTTTTGATTACTTCGTGCAACATGCCTGCCTGATTTCTCGACAAATCTACTTTAGACCTCGTCGCATAGTTGAATTGATGCCAAAATATTTTAATAATTATGAAAATTATTGCTCACTTTTGACTTCTTTTATGTGCGCTTTATTTCTGATGAATTTTTTTATTTGCTGCGCTTGCAGTAATTTATGCAGATTTATCCATTAAAAATGGCAATAAAATTCTGTTTTATTGGGATGTGATGAATATTTTTAGCGGGAATGGGTGTTTTTTTCGGTATTAATTGGGATTCATTTATTTTATGGGAATGGATGCTGAATTTATTTAATTTTATGGAAATAGATTAAGATTTATTAAGTGAGAGTAGGCACAAAATGTGATACTAGGTCGTAACTAGACAATGGAGTCAAATTTCATAACAATCTACCTTCAAAGTTCCCATAAATTTTCTAATTCCCTAAAACCACTACAAGGGCTTAACATCCACTAAATTCTCAGAATATTAAGTAACTCAAGCGATTGGAATTTAAAGCGACCTGTTTGAAATTAAACCGAAGTAAATTTTCTTTTTCTATGTGATAAATTTTTCCCGACGACACAAACCTGGCGACCGAACGACGATGCTTTCTTCTTTGATTGTTTATTTCATTGAATGAATGTACGATTGGGATTAAGAATTTGTCATAATTTATAGCACATTTCAGGATGAATATTTATTTTATCATTTCTCAAATTTCCCAGCCTCACTCATTTGCGAACTCAACATTCTTGCTTTATTAAATCATCGCCCATATCACTTCCTCCTGACCACTCACTGATCATCACATAAATCACTCAGAATGCGGTCGAAATTCTTTAATGCTCGCATTTTTCTTCATTCAGGTGCTTATGTTGAATGAGGTCGTCTGACTTGTACGGCTGATCGTTGCTCAGTTGACAACAATAATCTACTTGAATATTTTCTATTTTGTAGATTTTTAATTGCCTCTTGAACATTTTTTTTTCAGTCACAAATCAATGGCTTAAAAATAGAAATAAGTAAGAATCGAAATTGAAAATGAATGAGATGAGAAAAATGTGAAGTTCAAGGACTTTTGATGAGTTGAAAATAATGAAAATGAAAATATTTTTCAAGTGGGTATTTTATTGCATTTTTTGTAGATTTTTCTTTGTTTGAGATATTTTTGGATGGAATATTTTTTTGTGGGGTTCAAGGACTTTTTTTGGAGATCAGTTGATGGTCATGACTCATGGCTTTTATTAGGAATTGTCTTATACAGATCCAACATAGTCCATTAACTCCACAACCTACTAAACACCAAAGACTGATCAATAATATTTACATAAGAAGAAAATCAAAGAACCCATCGTAAATTCCCACACATGCCTCTACACCTCCTATAGCTCTCAACTATAATTTCCACCTAAATATTAACAATTTTCCAATTTACTCAATTTAATAAAAAAAAAGAAGAAAAAGAAAAATTCATTAAAGAAATTCTGTTTACATTAATGAGCAGCAGCTGAGATGTTTCAATTTAAAAAGAAGGTGTAAGAAGAAAGAAATTGAAAATATTTACACAAAGATCTCGTCTCTTTTTTCATTTTTCATCATGTGAAGCTGAGATTTTTTATGTACGTACTTGTGAAAATGTAAAAATTCCAAACTTTCAACAGCACCCTCACATTTTACGCAATTTCTCATTGAAAATGGATGGTCAGACATGAACATTAAATATTATTTAACATCTAAATGACTAACTGAATAATGCGTAATAGTAATTATTGTAGCGCTCGTCACGTGGGCATGTAGATTAATATGAAATGAAAAATATACGCTTGAAAAAAAGAAAAAAATTCATGAAATTAATTGAAATTCTTTGTAGTCAGTTTTATGGCAGTGCGAAAAATTTGATGTTCTCACGCAATTGGGATTGGTGTTTTGGTGGATTCAGTATTGATTATTTTTGGATGGGTTTGGGATTTTAAGTATGAATCAGATGATACCTTTCCCCGAAAAGAATATTTTCTTTAATCTCAAATTATCAAAATGTTTATGAAAATCAAGCAGCTGAAACAGATTATTTTTTATAAAATGTTTAATAAATTTTGAAGAGTGACTTGAGTTATAATATCGCAGATTTTTTGACAACTTAATCTTCAGCGCCAGACGTCTTTCGAACAAAGAGTGTGAATCATCAACATCAACCCAATTTATTCTCTTGTATTGCTTTTAACGACACAATAAATCATTGTGATTTGCGAAAAATAAATTAATTATTATCACATGTAAATGCTGACCAGTTACCACGTCTTTAAATTATGGTATCTAAAGTTAAGATTTTAAAATAAAACAAACATGAATTCCTCAACTATTTCTAGATAGAAAAAAATTTATATTTTGTTTCTCATTTATGCGCACCGGTGATTTTTATCATAAGAATAGAAAAGAAAAATTAAAAATAAATTTCCACAGTTGAGATGGAATTTCACGAGAAAAAAGAGATGCCGGGCTATTTATTTTTATTTTGGCGATAAATTAAGATTTTTCGTCCTTATTTCATTCATTAATGTTGACTGTGATTCAGCAGATTCTTTTACGTGAGGGGTTTGGTTGTAGCTAATGGCTATTGAGTTTCTTAGATGTTCTTAGAACCCCCCTCCCCCACCTGTAATCTATAAAAGATCAAATTGATAAAGAAAAGTGAATTAGATTCTAATCAGAACCTCCTTCAGCCTTGCTTGTTCACCTTAACCTACGAAATGTTTCACACCAAATTTAAACAAACCCAAAGAAAATGTTTTATAGAAAAAAGCTAGAAGAGATAAAACGTTTTCTCTCGGGATTAATAGTATTTGACATTTACATGAAAACATGTGATAAGGCAGATAAAATTGGCATAGGAATTTGTCCTACTTATTTTGTTGAAGATGTTTTTGATGAAAATAGCTCTCAAATAAATTTTGATAAAAATGTGTAGCTGCTTAATCCTACAATACTAAGACAACATGACCCTCTTGCCAATAAAAATCTAGACATTTCACTCAAAATCATGTAAATTCCAATGCTTAATTGACTGTAAAATTTCAAAATTGACCAAAAGATCAGCAGTCACCAAAAAGATAATCAAAATCATAAAAATTAGTTGATAAATTTAACATTTTGACATTTTTATTTGAGCGTTAAAAGTCAAAACAATTTTTTTCTCATCCAGACAATCCCGCCTATATTCTCATCATTAATATATTTTTTTTAAATAAATTAAAAGTGCGCAGCATATTTTTACACATGTTTGACGTCAATTGAACGTGCATCTTCATCCTTCTCTCTCCCACATGTTGTTGCTTCTTTAAATGGACATTAGCCTTGTGATTGTTATTGTTTTTAATTGTAAAGAGCGTGGAAATTGAGAAGATGGAATTTAAGGAATGAATCACGAGAAAAAAAGTCACCAACTAGCGTGGCTGTATTTTTAACAACAAAATTTTTCTTTTTTTTTGACAGAAAAAATTTTTCTCTCTAAAATTTTTCCGAACGCACAAAGAAAAAATTTCTTGAATGAGAAAAAAAATTTCATTCAAGTTTTTCACGTGTGAGGGTTGGTCGATGCTATTGTTACGACTATTTGATGAGATCACAGATTTAAAAATGAGTAAGACAGACGTGTGATTGTTTAGGTCATAAAATCAACAATTTATAGAATGGCACAGTGAATAACTGAACGTAAACAATGTTGATTCTGATGGGTTCGACAAATTATTGTGGGATGATTGTGATAATTATTTGGTTTTAGACGGGGAAAATTGGGATTGAAATGAATTTTTGAATGTTGTATAATAAGTTACGATGGTTCTACGTCAGAGAGTTTGAAAGATGTTTTGTTTGTAGCTTGTTTTGAGGAATTTGGTCATTTTTGGTCATGAAAAATTTGGCATTGACCGTGATTTAGATTTGAGTCGGCATTTAGAGTTTGCTTGGCATCTGAGGTCAAATTCTTTAAAATGTTCTTACCCAAATGGGGGTGCATCGCACAACTTGACATAAATTTTAATATTTTCACAACAAAAGATCAAAATATCGACAACAAAATCTAACAATCTCTTCCAATTCTTATTTCTCATTACAGCAAACAGATGCCATTCTACTTCGGAATCTCAGAAATTCTCCCAAACCTTTACCTTTGTGGAGCATGTGCAATTGTCAGACCAGAAACACTTGAAAAGCTACAAATAAAGTTTGTTGTAAATGCCACAGTTGAATTACCAGATACACCACTTCCAGATGACAAGCCTGAATATATGAGAGTTCCAGTCAAAGATGTTCGTGAATCAAATTTAATGGAATATTTCGATACGGTTGCAGACATGATTGAAAAAACAAGACAGGATGATGGAAAGAGTTTAGTTCATTGCGTAGCTGGAGTTTCACGATCGACATCCTTGGTATTAGCTTATCTTATGAAGTACGCAGACATGTCATTGATACAAGCATTCCAGCATGTGAGAAGCATACGACCACAAATTAGACCGAATATGGGATTTTTCAAGCAACTAATTGAATATGAGCAGAGACTTTATGGCACAACGACAGTATCTATGGTTCATTGTTCATCACTCGGTGAGGAAATTCCTGATGTTTATGAGTCGGAATATAAAGCAATGGAAATGTTGTATCAAAAATACAGAAGAAGCTTTGCTAGACGATGAATTTCCTGGCTATAAATAAGCTTTAATTCAGTGATATGAATGGTGAAAATTGAATATTAAGATGGATGGAACCAACGCAAGTGTAACCAAATGATGGATAATTAATTTAGTTGACTAAAACCTCTAAATGTATTGTAATTAATTTAAGAAGAAATCTATTGTAATTTCGGATTAATTCAGCTAATTATGATGAGTAAATTTAATTAATTGATAATTTCTAAATGTGTAAGAATCATGGAAAAATTAAAATTCAATAAAATTTATTGACTTAATATTTTAAAAAAATCATTTTAGATTTTTTTCAAGATTTTTTCGAACATTTTTTAAATTTCAGCAAATTTTGAATTTTTCAGTTCTCTAAAAATCTTGTTGGTGAATTTATTGGTTTTAACCTTTTTAAAAAAAATCAAAAATTTCAATTCTTAGCCTACGAATCAGAAGTGTGCGAATTTGATGCCATTTCAGTTCCAGATAATTTAAGCAAATATTTATTGAAACTCCAACTCAATTTACACGAGTTAATTAAGAAAGAAATTTGAATGCATTGCATGAGATAAACAAAATAAAGCAGAGATGATTTAATGAATTCTTCTTTATGATTAAGGTAAGAGTTATTTCAGGCTAATGAATAACGTGGGTTGATGTTTTGCATTTTTGTTTCTTGTGTTTATGAATCTTTTGAGCAATTCTAGATCTATCAACAGAGCTGAAATGATCCAAATAATTGATTCATTGCTGCATTTAATTTTAAAATAAGATTCTGGATTGAAATAAAAATATTTCAGATTTAGACTTTAAGTTTTATGACTTTCGAAACATCTCCTCAAAAATACTCAATTAATTTAAATTTCGATTTAAAATCTGAATTCACTAGTAATTGATCTGCTTAAAAACTTTTAATGAAAGCTTTTTTTCTCAACGTACTTTAAAAATTCAAAGAGCTTTCAATAAGAATGAAGTTGACTTCGTACAGAAGATCTTCAAATATTTTTTCGTTACTATAAAAAGCTTTATCTATTAAATTTTTGAATTAAGAATCTTTACAGCTAAGAACCTATGATATGCCAAGAGACGATGTCAACGTTGATTCGAAATAAGTTTAAACTTGTTTCGAATGTATTTCGAACAAAATTTCGCAATTTCGAAAATAATATTTTTTATGAAAATTTTAACTTTTCGCAATTTTTGACTCAATTCACTTATTATTTAAGAATTGAATCCTTCAACTATGTCTTTTAACACTCATATAATCGTTTAATCGATGATAAATGCAGCAAACATTAGTTTAATATGATTGTTTTCAAAAATATTCTAAATTTTTTGTTGTTGTTTACATTGAAAATTAAAATGTCATTAATTCACTTTCATTAATTATTTAATAAATAAGTAATGATTCATTACAGTTGAGTGGATTTATTTAGCATTTTGATGATGAAAAACAAATATTTAAACCATTAATTAAAGAGATTAGACATTATTAATTTAACGTGTAAAAAAAATTTGAACTAATGCTCGAAAATAAGGTACCAAAAAAAATTCAATATCGAAAATAAGGACTCGTTGGCGTACCATAGCTAAGATCATTAATCAAAAATAAATAAAGGTGTAATTATTTATTTTACAAAGCATCTTCTTCTCTTACTTGACTAATCAATCAGTAATAATTAATAGATATTCCCATCTTTTGGTTATATCATCATTCATGATAATCCGGGAATATATTTGAATATTACAATTTTAAAATTGTTAATTTTTAAGTGATTAAGACATGATTATTTACTTAAAATCGCTTCCTGGTTTATTGTTAATTTTTATTGATTATTTATCAAATTGTTTAAATATTATTTCTATAAATTTTTAATTTGAGTAATTTTTCAAACTTATTTTAAGCAAATTCTTATAAATTTGTAAAATCATGATTTTGTAATTTTAATTCTTAAAAACTGAGCTCATCATAATATTCCAAAATGACACCATTTCCTATAAATCAAACCCATTCCTAAAGTCTTAATCTCAATAAAACTATAAAAATCCTTCTTATTCTAAACTGTAAATTAAAGAAATTTCACGGATTATTTCTTCACATCACAAATCATTCAATAAAAATTTATTCAAAAAAGAATATTCATTAAAATGAATGAAAAGAACCTCAGCATCCTCTAATGAAGCATAAAAAATAGAAAAGTGAAATTTCGTGAGTCTAACAATTTAACAGCAACTGTTAAAGGCTGAAAACGATGAAATTTGTGTTCTAATAAGATTTCTTTGTTGTATCTTTATTGCTGTGTAATGGTTCTAACAGGCACTTCTCTTCATTATCCTTTACATGACCTTCACACACTTTCTTAGTTTTATGATTTATGTTGGATTCTTTTGAGGCTATTTTTGGATTATATTAATTTCTGGAACCTTGAATTATGTTACCAAGCACGTTTTAAGTTTTTTAAAAAACAGTTTTGCTTATTATTTAATAATTTTGCTTATAAATGAATATTTTCATACCCCCTAAGCTCAAAAACAATAAATATCATAAAAACAACAAATAATATATAATAAATACTTCCCTGAAAAATAAGATTGATCCAGAATAACTTATGCAAAAATATTTTTCTGGCGTAATTCGCGTAAACAAATAAAAAACTCATAATCGCGATCATCTCAGTTGCGCACGTCTCTAAATGGTGTCAATTGTTCATTCTTATCAATTAATAAATATGGTGCACTTAAGTTTCCGCGTATTGATTTCTATTATTTAGGTTTCACGATCACTGTCAAGGCTGAATAATTAGCCTTAAAACAATTTTTTTACTATGCACATTAACATGAGAATCCCTCATTTTTTTGTGCCTTATCAATTTGTTTCATTTTACTTTTATGATGTAAATTGAAAGAAAGAAATTGCATTCCATGCAACCTAGTTATTTGAGTAGTCTACTAAGGATTTAATGAGGAAAAACGTGCAACGAAAAAATAAACGAAAATCAGCCAATATTGTTTTATGATTGAAAATGATTTGTTTCAAATCATATGATTAGCGATTGATTAATTTCAGTTAATTTTTAAACTGTAAATTTTATTTTGGCTAGTTTTTAAAGCGATGACTTAATTTTTACCAATTTCTAAAGCTACGACTTAATTTAAGTTTAATTTAAAAGCAATGACTTTAGATTAAGCGCAGATCTTTTAGAGCAGTGACTCAGTCCTGGATTTTTTTGAATCGATGACTTAATTTTGGTTAATTTCTAAAGCGATGACTTAATTTTCGAAGCAACGACTTAATTTTCGAAGCTAGGACTTAATTTTCGAAGCTATGATTTAATTCTTGCTTAATGAAGAAGCGACGACTTAACTACTATGTCAAATTTCTAAAGCAACGATTTCAAATTAAATCATTCAACGCTTTGTGTATCCAAAAAGACTAAATCCACAACAAACCATTTTGCCTTCATGGGAAATTTCTTTTCAATAATCGGTAATAAAACGATCATATGTGCAGCAACATTGTGTAAATATATCCATAATCTTAAATGCGATTGCCATGAAAAAGCAATTTTATTCAGGTTTTTTTTATGAATCATTATAAAGCAATCACAATCATTAGAATTCCTGAATGCTTTCATCGCATCATCATTTTGAACAAAGAATGAATCAGAATGAGGCACATACAATGGACGAAGGTAGAAGGAATAAAAAAAATAAATAGAAGGGAAAAAGATAGTAAAAACAGCCGTGAACAGATATGGGTCAGATGTATTTTAAGTCCAGTTATGTAATAACAATATTCTAGTCAGATTTTTATTCTTTCCTTTCATGTCGTTGACTTTCAACACTGAGCGATTCATTTGACATAGAAATAGACTGAAAAAAGAGTTTGTAATGTAAAAGGTAAGAAAATAAACATGCATGTGCGATAAGTTGAGTAAATTAATTCTCTTTCGGCTTTCATTGAGCGTCACTTATTATGTGTGTGGTAGCTGTGCTGAATTATTGCGGATGTTTTGAGACACTTTTTAATATTTTTTGTGGCACGGATTCAGAACTTTTTTCTGATTTGACAGTGGTTTTGTATGGGCGGAAGATTTGGTTTAATTTTTGTTGCTGATTTCTTGATAAAATTACTTTTTTTGTTCATTTGTCAGCTTTGATCTGTCATGGGTGGTCCACTAATGTGAAAAGTAAGTTTTTCTCAATTTGACTTAGGGAAGTGATTTAAAATAAAACAAAAAATGATTTTAAAAACTATAAGAACCTTTTCAGAAACATCCCTTCTTCAACTGCAATCAAATAAGTTCGCAGAGATCCAAGATAACGCTCTCCTTCTGTAGCACATAAGCTACAAGATTTCATGCTAGCTTGTCTCTTTTCAAATGCATTTTTCATTTTCCACACATTTGGTTTTCTATGAATTTTCAATCTCCTTGAAGTAAGTGCACTTAATCCTGCAAGCACACTCTTGTTGATAAAACTACTAAAGAAGATTACATGCACTCTATTTTGATGTTTAATGCTTGTGCATTCACACGTTAGTAAATCATAAGCCGCAACATTATAACAAAGTTTAGCAGGATTTTACAGCAGTGACCATGAGCTGATGCGGTACAGTGTGAATGCATTTACTAAGTGACATTATTGGATCATTAATCTGTAGCTTAACCAGAATTATAGAGGCCTTATAAATGGCAATATTGAGAAGAACCCTCAAATTTCGATTCCTTGTGCGAAGTTAATTTCAAACATGTTCAAAACTTGACCTTACTTCATAAAAATCCCTTCAAACCTAAGACAAAAAACCTCATCAATAGAACATAAAATCCATTTGCGGAATCAAATTGACACACAGAATCAAACAAAGCCTCATTTAATGTAGCGACAAAAAGTACACATTTAATAATGCAAAGAAATAGAATAGATTTATTTGCCATAAAAAGCCCGCAGAGATTTTCAACAAAATGAAAACAATGGAGAAATGGGAAATGATACCGACACAATGAGTTGGAAAGTACAGCTAGAATTTTTTTCAAAATCACAATTTTAGTTCTTACATTGACGCCGGTATTGAATGCGGGATGCTTGACAGTTTGTTTTTATTTTGTTACTGTTTTTTGTAGCGGGAAAAATTTTATATTTTGATATTATTTTATTGGCTATGCGAGCTTGTGATTGGAAGTTTAAGAAAATTCTTTGAAGTTTTCACTGAAAGTTGTTGAAAATGTGAAAAGTTTCGTCTTCTTTTTTCTAGAAATATTTTTTTTTAA